TATTAAATATGTTAACCTCCAAGAAACTGATTGTGCTTCCCTCCTTTAAATTATGTTCCACTCCTTAAAACTATGTTTCACTCACTAAAACTGTGTTTCCCTCAATGAATCTCGTTCACCTCACTAAAAATGTGTTTCCCTCACTAAAACTTGTTTACACTCACTAAAACCATGTTTCCTGCCTTAGAACTTTGTTTCCCTCCCTAATACATTGTTTCCCTTCTTGAAACTATGTTTCCCTCCTTAAAACCATGTTTCCCTCCCTAAAACCATGTTTCCCTTCTTAAAACTACATTTCCCTCCCTAAAATCAAGCTTTCCTCTTTGAAACTGTGTTCATCTCAAAGAAAATTGTTTCCCCACCCTAAAATTGTGTTTCCCTTCTTCAAGTGTATTTCCCTTATTCAAAATCTTGTTTCCTTCCATGAAACTCTCTTTAACTTAAACATTGAAAAACAATTAACATCATTAACAAGAGCTGTCGGTAGGACAGCAACGCTCGACTATTCTTAGTGCTTGATAGTAAAAAAAATGCTTGATACAGTTACCTCCTCCTGTTTACAGGTTGGGGTCATGATGGTGAACAAGTGTGCAAAGTTTCAAAGCCATATGTCAATGGACTTTGAAAATATTTGAACTATTACAAAAACTTTAACGTAAATTCTAAGTCGAAAAAGGGGCATAATTCTGTCAAAATGCTTGATAGAGTTACCTCCTCTTGTCTACAGGTTGGGGTCATGATGGTGAACAAGTGTGCAAATTTTCAAAGCCATATGTCAATGGACTTTGAAAATATTTGAACTATTACAAAAACTTTAACGTAAATTCTAAGTCGAAAAAGGGGCATAATTCTGTCAAAATGCTTGATAGAGTTACCTCCTCCTGTCTACAGGTTGGGGTCATGATGGTGAACAAGTGTGCAAAGTTTCAAAGCCATATGTCTATGGACTTTGAAAATATTTGAACTATTACAAAAACTTTAACATAAGTGGTTACGCCGACGCCGGGTGACTGCAATAGCTCTACTTATTCTTATCGAATAGTCGAGCTAAAAATGAGCCACGTCACGACAAAACCAACATAGTGCGTTTGCGACCAGCATGGATCCAGACCAGCCTGCGCAGTCTGATCAGGATCCATGCTGTTCGCTTTCAGTTTCTCTACTTGTAATAGAGTTGGTAAGCAAACAGCATGGATCCTGATCAGACTGAGCGGATGCTCAGGCTGGTCTGGATCCATGCTGGTCACAAACCCATTATGTTGGTTTTGTCATGACGTGGCTCAAATGTGTTTATAATAGTAACACTGACCTTGAACTATCTAATGGTAAGCTACATGTAATGACCTTTGAAACATTACTGATACATGTATAAGGTCCTATATTTAGAAAAAAAAATGAAAATATTTTTATGGAAAAGGCAGTCAACAAGATTCTCAAGTTTTTTCAATTTTACCCGACATATATAGACAAACATACATAAAATCTTACATCACTTTTTTTACACATCATGATAGGCACACAGTAAGCCTGTGGGGAATTAATTCCAGGTATAATTTAAATATCAAACATAATTATTTTCATGTTTTGGGTAGAATTTTTACTTTAATAATTCAAATAATTCTAAAATTTACATGCTAATCACCTTTGTCTGCTGTTAACATCGTGATAAATTTGATACCCCCTTTAGTTAATAAGACATACCACAATAAACTCAAGTTTAAGTTGTTGTAATTCTACAATATTTTTAAACAAATTTTACCTTAATAAACCCTTTCTTATATTTTGTTTGACAAAGAACCCCATACACTTTTTTTGTCAGTTTCCATTTTTAAATAACTTAGCTTTGAAAAATGAGGTATTCTTAAATTTGGCATTTTTTGGTGTATCAGAACACTCAAAACTTAACTTACTAGAAATATTCATGAATAAATTATACACAGACACTATACATTCACTTGATCATACATATTTTATAATACAATGAAAAAACATAATAAAACACTATTTCAAACAAGTATACAAACATTATTTTAACAAACATGTGTAACAAGATATCTCAAAATATTCATTGTTAGGTTTAGTATTTCCTAAATCATCTCTTTAATCAACAAGTGTCCCTACATTACAATCAAGTTTCAAACTGAAGAGAAATAGTTGGGTCATTTTTTCAATCCAAGCGAAGTTTCAATTGGAGAATAAAAAAAAAACAAACAACAAACACCACAAGTAATTAATTTTATGTCCACACATTTCTAATATACATAATTCTATATAAAAAAATATCTTTCATTTCTTGTGGCAGAGCAGACACAGGTCTTGTAATCTGTACTGAATATTTATTTCAATGATATGGCATTTAAGATATAATGTGCTCCCTTTTTTCATATTTGAAAGTTTGAAGTAAAACATTCAATAGTTTATAATTATACTGACTTTCTCGGATAAAACTATTTCACTTAGTTTGCAGGATAAAAATAAAAAGAATAAGAGGACAGATTTTTTTCAGTAACTTCACTCAAGATCATATCAGGTTCAGTTGTGCACATGTTCAAACAGTTCAAACCAAAGTCAATCAAGAACATCTCACAAAAACATCATTACATTAATTTATTGTTTTGATATAAAAAGAAATCTTAGAAGCTAGGTATAATAAGTTTCTTTTCCAACTTTTCAACACATATCTAATCTAAAATACATCAATTAATTTCAAGCAAAGACTTTCTTTGAAGACAAACAAGTAAATTAAAAACCCTGATTTCTAGCACTTGGCCAATTTTTGACTCGAGATTTTCATGTATAAATAATCTGTTCAACTGGTCAACTTTAAAACGTTTCTTTCTGTACATTTAAATTCATATCTTCCCAGTAAAGAGTACGTTTTACAGAAACATAGATACTTTAGAATATATATATAATACTATATATAATGAACCTCTAGCATGCATGTACATAAAATATAGAAATACCAATAAAACACTTAACAAGAGGGCCATGATGGCCCTGAGGTCGCTCACCTGTATATAGGCTCCCAGAGCGGGACCAGTTTAAACCCCAGGGCTTTTATTTGACCAAACTTGGAAGACACCCTTTAGAAGATGTTTCATGATGTTACGTTTTTACTAATGAAAAACAATGATCTCCTTTTCACCCCTCCCCACTCCCCCCCCCCCCCCGGCAGGGGCCAAATTTAACCCAAGGGCTTTTATTTGAACAAACTTGGTAGACACCCATAAGCAGATATTTCATTTTAAACATCTAAGCTCTAGCTCATTGGGATTTTTGAAAGAGAATCTTTTTAACTATACACATATAGTTAAAAACAAAGACACCCCTGGGGCGGGGCCAGTTTGGACCCCAGGGCTTTTATTTGAACAAACTTTGTAGACACTTACTAGAAGATGTTTCATGCTTAATATCTAAACTCTAGCTATTTGGGTTTTTTCAAAGAAGATTTTTAAGTTTTTACTATACACATATCAGGAAAATCAATGACCCCCGGGATGGGGCCAATTTTGACCCCAGGGCTTTTATTTGAACAAACTTGGTAGACACTCATAAGAACATGTATCATGCTTAATATCTAAACTCTAGCTATTTGTTTTTTTTCAAAGTAGATTTTTTAAGTTTTTGCTATACACACATACGGAAAATCAATGACCCCGGGGCGGGGCCAATTTTGACCCCAGGGCTTTTATTTGAACAAACTTGGTAGACACCCATTAGAACATGTTTCATGCTAAATATCTTAGCTCTAGCTCTTTGAGTTCTTTAAAAGAAGATTTTTTAAGTTTTTACTATATGCATATAGGGAAAATCAATGACCCCCTGGGCGGGGCCAATTTTGACCCCAGGGCTTTTATTTGAACAAACTTGGTAGACACTCATTAGAAGATGTTTCATGCTAAATATCATAGCTTTATCTTTTTGGGTTCTTTAAAAGAAGATTATTTAAGTTTTTACTATATGCATACACATGTATGGGGAAAACCAATGACCCCTGGGGCGGGGCCAATTTTGACCCCAGGTATTTTATTTGAACAAACTTAGTAGACACTCACTAGAAGATGTTTCATGCCAAATATCTAAGCTCTAGCTATTAGGGTTTTTTACAAGAAGATATTTAAAGTTTTTTCTTTCGGTTGCCATGGCAACCAGAGTTCTGCATGGAATTAAATTCCTTGAACACTTTTTAAAGGTGACCACCAAAGGAACATTCCTGTGAAGTTTGGATGAAATTGGCTTAGTGGTTTATGAGGAGATGTCATTTATGGAAGTTTACGGACGGACGGACAACGGACGGACATATGAGGACGTAAAGCGATCACAAAACTCACCCTGTCACTTTGTGACAGGTGAGCTAAAAACAGGACAAAATTCATTATGCCTAGAAGTTAAGGTCAGAACATAGTTTGGCTTCTTTTTTTCAAATACAGATGAAACTATTCTCTGTGATTCATTTAAGTACTGTTTCATCATATAATATAGAATAAAATTGTTTGTGCTGGTAAAAGAACCTTGCAAAATATCTTCACCTCAATTTACATTTATGCAAGTGGGTATACATTAAAAAATATACATAAAACATTACAGATTTGCCCATTAAGTACAGTAAAATGAAAACTTGGAGTTGCTTATTAAGGCCAGCATAATCTGATTTTTGACTTGCTCTTCTGTTTTATCCTAGGCATTTCTAAGCTTGTCTGTCTGATACTAATGTGGTAAATTCTTGAAAATTTCCATTTGTCCTTACAGGCTGTGGGATAACCTAAGTAATATGGACAATTGATTTTACCGCCTCTGCTTATTAATTGTATTACAAATTCACTACATGAGAATAAAGTTCATCATATGACACAAAGTGCCCACTGAAGACCAATTCACTTTAATGTAAGGCTTTATATTATATAAGCCTATTTTGCTAAAACCTTAAAAACGAAACTGTTTCTCTCTAACCAAGCATGGCAAGTACTTTCCAAGTCACTGTAACCGACACCAAACTATATACCTAGATATAAAAACAATTTAAAATATTCAGCCTAGTACTAATCCTGATACATGACTCGTAATTCATAAATAAATAACTTCCAGATACCATCAAGCAAACACATTTGCTTCAGTTAACAGTATCTAAAAATAAATTAAAATACAAATTTCCTACAATTCTTTGCACCACACTGACAAACCATTCGATAGGGGTCAGTTTGCTGACCCTGTTGACCCTGTGATTTCTGAGGACTAGATTTCGGTGTATTTTTAGAATCTCCCTTTTCAGTAGGCAAAGATTCAACTGCACCATCTCCATTTATGTCACCAATCAATAACTTATTGTTCTGTAAATCTCCTCCAATGTCTCCATTTTGTACCTCTTTCATTTCCAAGTGTGCCTCGGATCTGTCATCAGCATTGAGATCAACAGCTATGCTTTCCCCTTCTAGACTCTCCTCTAAAGGAGCTATAAATACACAGGAAAACATTAACATGATTTTGGTCACCTCCAGATTATTCTGTAAAACATTTGTTACAGAATGCATGATGATATACAGTGAAGAATCATACATCGAAAAAGAATCTGCTTATTGAATTTTTAGACTTCAATCAATTTATCTATGGAAAATCCATTTCAGATACAATCAGTTTTGAAAATTTACTTATCAAATCATAGCGCAACTACATGCGTAAGTACTGATACTTTTGATAAACAGAAAAAAATCTAAAATAATATGCTAATTAAAAGGTTTATTTCAAGCATACTTACAGTGCACTTTACTGGACATGTAGTCAAACGTTAGCTCCTCGCCCTTTTCAATGTCACGTCTTGAGAACAATGCTATTCTCGGCAGTCGTGGATCCAATGTATTGATCCATACGCTGTATACCTCCAAGTTAGGATCACACTGAAATGGGACAAGAAGTTGATTGCCATAACAACAGTGGCTTTTAACCTGCTGAAGCCAGAAGTAATTAGTCTTTGCCATCAGTTAAGAGTTCGAAAAACCTAGCCTGCACATAAGTGCAGTTTGACCAGGCTCTATACTGCTGACTAATTTTTGATATCCCAAAATAATTATTGAATTGGAAATATAAGAGAATTGAAATTTAGAAAATCAGAATGGTTAAGGCTGAAATAATGCAAACAAGAATTTGTAACTGTATTATCAGTGTCCCCTGCCTCGGGGAAGTTTTCTATGAAGCAAACTTAAGTTTTATTTCAAAAGTTTGAGGTATAGATCTGGACTTTACGTGCAAAATCTTGAGAAATGCCAGGTCTGAACATGCAACAATAAGTTAACTAGAAATGTGTCCATAGGACACGGATGCCCCCACACGCCACTGTTCTGTCAATCTTATGACTCTAGGTCAAATATTTTTTGGACTACATGTGCCACAAGTTGAAAACTAAAAATCAACAAAGGGCATAGTATATAATGAAAAAATCAACAAAGGGCCATAATTCTGTTAAATTTGGTTGCAGCAAAAATTCCTTCCTTTACTGCCATCTACACATTAAGGTTGTTCATCCCTGGAAGTTTAAGCAAAATCTGCCATCCGGTTTAAACGGAGTTGCATTCACAAAATTTCTACATAGTATATATTGAAAAAATCAACAAAGGGCCATAATTCTGTAAAATTTGGTCGCAGCGAAAATTCCTTCCTTTACTACCATCTACACATTAAGGTTGTTCATCCCTGGAAGTTTAAGCAAAATCTGCCATCCGGTTTAAGAGGAGTTGCGTTCACAAAATTTCTACATAGTATATAGTGAAAAAATGGGTCAAAGACAGAAAAGGCCGGGTTGCATATGTATACAAAATATCATGAGGCTGTGATGTTACTTAAATTTTCTACCACTGTCTTGACCATTGATGTTGAAAATTTAACTTAGTTGGTAATGAGCATCAGACCTGAAATGGAATCCCACAATATGGGACCACATCTCAATGATGTGAACCACATATCAAGAAGCTGTGGTAAGTAGTTGCTGAGAAAACTGTTACGAAAATTTCCTACTATCTATAAATCATTAATTATGTCAAAATTTAACTAAGTCGGCAAACAGGAAGTGGATGAGCAACAGACCTGAAATCAAATCCCACAGTATGGGACCATGTGATAATGCTGTATCAGAGATCTGCCGAGGACGCGATTTTGCGCCATTGGCGCTAAAAAAATGAGAATGGCGCAGGAAAATCGGCAGCAAAGGGCCATGGGCGCATCTAAAATCTGTGCCAGACTTATAAGAAAACAAAACTGTCTGCTGGGTTATTTAGTCATCCAGTCAAAACTGGTACCAACAGCAACATGTTACCCATGCTCCTGTAATTACGCATATTCTTTAGTTTATCCATTCCCCTATAGCTTTTGTCCATGTTATCTAACTTACCGCATTTCTTCTCATAATCCCTTTCCCACACAGATACTCATTTCAACTACCGTAAATTTAATCCAATAAAACAAACAAACAAATTATACAACTACTTAATATTTAAAATGATTATCGGTAACTGAATAAAAAGTGTTGCTACAGTCTAACTTGCCCATGCGACCACGTGTATTAAGCGACTTTTGTCTTAAACGACCACTTTAAATTCCCCCCGATCATTTTCTCTCTATATCTTTAATGTATTAAGCGACTTTTGCTCAACGCGACCAGCGACCGCTAATTAGTCACCTAATTGACATCAATCTTTTCATTAAACGACCATTTTTATCTGTCAAGTAATTGTGTTTTTAGAGAACGCCACCTCGTTATGTCACAAGTGTCAGCAATCAAAACACAACAATAAACGTGTGAAAAACTCTATTTCCCATACCGTTTTAGCGTATGCAAATGAAGTTAAGTATACGCGTGACGTGTATTATCCAATAATATCGGATAAACAATGCAACGCTCCGCCCATACTGAGATGGTGTATACGCTTCGCTTGTTGACATTTAGACTGGATTGAATTGACCTTGAACTTGATCAGCCATTAAATTAATCGTAACAAATAGATGTAGTTTGTTTATTTCAAATGAAAAAATGCACAAACGAAAACATCCTCACTAATAGGGTTTTCGTGTTGGAGACAAGGAAAAACAAAGGAGAAGTTAAAAAATTCTGGAAAAAATGTCAAACATGTACGTAATGGATCAAATCTGTTTTGTCAATAAATATCAGAACGTTATTTTTACATTTGCATCCGTTTAGATTATCGGAGCGTACTTATTATTCAACATTTATATAAAAATGAAGTTGAAAAACAATCCCAACGAATAAAAAAGATGTCATTTATAAATTTTGACTTATATATCATGCTGACTGTCTTAAGAGACCGTTTCATTAAGCGACCGTTTTTGGTGTTTCCCTTGCCCGGTCGCTTAATACACGTTTGACTGTATTTTAAGAAATGCTGTAAGTTACAGTATAATCTGACAGGTGTTCAACTTGATCAACAGTAAGGTCACTCAAGTTCACGCAAGTTTTGGCTGATGAAGTGTAAAAAAAGATGTATATTTCGTCATCAGAATGTTTGACAGGGTGATTAACCAATCAGAGAAACATTGTGCATGACTTTTTTCATGATCAAAAGGTCTGTCGGCAAATGTCTTTGATGTATGCTGTCTACACAGAGGCATACAAGGGGCAATAAAATTCGTCAATATACATTGGTAAGGGACATTTTGTGCAAAGTAGGAACAATTAAATGGATAATGCACAATATAAAATTGAAAATTACATCACACATTGTAGATGAGAAAAACTTCGTTATTTATATAAACTGGAAAATTATATGAAAACAACATTACAAGTAAGAACCAGCAATTATGTGAATAAATTTGCATATCAAATTTTTGAGCAGCCATTAAAAAAATATTTTCATTTTTGCCTGCAATTAATATTAGTTAGAAAGTTACCATGTAGGCATAATTTTTAATTATTGGTAAAGTACTGAATTATAAGTGAACCACTTGTCATAAAATATGATTTAAGTTTTATTACCGGGGAAATTCAATTACATGTATCTACAAACTTTTTAACAGTTATTTTGGTCAATGTTTACTTATTTTCCCAAGGCCCATACTTTGGTAAAAATGGCCCATCATTTTCAAACCAAGTGGGCCCAGGGCCCAGTACTTTCAAATTCTTGGCAGATCTCTGGCTGTATACAAAATATCAAAAGGCTGTGATAAGTAGTTGCCAAGAAAAGTGTTACGAAAATTTCCTACCATTGACCATAAATGTAGAAAATTTAACTTAGTCAGCAAACAGGAAGTGGATGAGCGACAGACCTGAAATCAAATCCCACGATATGAGTTCATGTGTTGATGCTGTATACCAAATATGAAAAGGCTGTGATAAGTAGTTGCTGAGAAAACTGTTACGAAAGTTTTTCCCCACCCGCCGCCCAACATTCACCATACTATAACCCGGGTTTGCACCAGTGCAACCCGGCCAAAAATCAACAAAGGGCCATAATTCTGTTAAATTTGGTCGCAGCAAAAAATCCTTCCTTTACTACCATCTACACATTAAGGTTGTTCATCCCTGTAAGTTTAAGCAAAATCTGCCATCCAGTTTAAGAGGAGTTGCGTTCACAAAATTTCTACATAGTATCTAGTGAAAAAATCAACAAAGGGCCATAATTCTGTTAAATTTGGTCGCAGCGAAAATTCCTTCCTTTACTACCATCTACACATTAAGGTTGTTCATCCCTGTAAGTTTAAGCAAAATCTGCCATCAGGTTTAAGAGGAGTTGCGTTCACAAGATTTCGGGACGTACGGACGGACGGACGGACAAGTGCAACGCTATATGCTCCCACATTGTGGGGGCATAATTATAGCAATAACAGTGTTGGCGACGTTCCAGCTTTATTGGTAGAGGAAGACCTCAGGTGCTCTTTCCTGCATTATTTCAGGCACGAACTGGCACCCGAGTAGAACCACAGATGTTCCGTAAGCTCGCTGGATAGCTTCCTCACATGAAAGAATCCAAAGTCCCTGTAAGGATTCGAACCCACAGCGGTGAGGGGCAAGTGGTTTGAAGTCAACAACCTTAACCACTCAGCCATGGACACCACCGTTTTCTTTATGGTAAACATTTGTGCCAAGTTAATACAAAATCCCCCGATGGATGAATAAAATTATGGACAGGAGATAAAATATAATTATCAAGTGTGACCTTAACCTTGGAGGTAGAAATCTGGGTGTTATGCATATACATGTAACATCTTTGTCTTCTTTTTATGGTGAACATTTGTGCAAAGTTATTTCAAAATCCCTTGATGGATTAACAAGTTATGATGCAAAGGAAAATCTGATTTCGCATCTTACATCTAAAGAAGAAGCAATATAAAGGTGGCTCAACCCCCTACCACCAGTAAAATGCTTTAAAAAGATGCAATTTTTTGTCATGTAATATTTCACTTTCCCATCCAACATAAAGACTACATGAGTTTTGCAGGTTATAACTCAAAAGCAAATGAACTTTACCGAGTGATTGACAAAGTGTGACACATTTCCATAAACAGCTGCATCTACTGTAAAAGGACAGTCATCTCCATTGAAATCCAAATCAAAAAGGTAAGTCCTGCCAACAGAATCGTACGTCTTTCCTCGTACTTCGGCCTCCTCACTGCTTATCACCTGTAAAATTTCAACATATATCAATGAATATTGCCTTTTAGTGACTAGCAGACCTGAATAAATTCCTTTTTAGATCTATTAGAAAAGGGCCCTCAATCTACCAAATCTGCAGCGGAATATTGGCCGCAATCCCCCATCAAAAGTGTTTTTTTCCCTCTCAGAGGTAAAAATTCCCCCTCACAACATAGAAAATCTAATGGAATAAAGAAAAGTTAGGATGTTTTGACAAGTAAAATCAACTTGTTCACGGGATTATTGTATGTCTGCACCGTTTTCTGTTCCACCTGGTTTGATACTTGTATGGATGCATCAGGAAAACTTTCATCCTCAAAATATCTCACATTAATAATAATTAGCAAGTTGTAACTTGTATCAAGAAAAAAACACGATGATATCTAAGTGGTAGTTTATTGATATTTGACCAAAAAGGAAATGAAAAAATTCCCCAATACACTAAAATTTCCCCTGCTGAGGGAAGTGACCAACTTCCACCAAATTGGATTGAGGGCCCTGTAGAATAATACAACTTTATGCACAACATTATCAATGTGAGTGTATCACAATAAAAACAATTTTGTAAGTAAACTTTTATCTCTCTCTCTCTCTCTCTGTCTCTCTCTCCCTCTCTCTCTCTCTCTCTCTCTCTGTATATATATACAGAGCTCCAGATAGCGTGCGTATAAGCGTAAAATACGCATAGAAAATCTAAAATACGCATCACTTTCAAAATTCGTGCGTCACAGTTACGCACAACAAAATGAAAATACGCTCGTATGTCAAAATTTATGCGTAAAAGAATAGAAGTGTAAACATTTGATATGTAGAAAGAAAATGTTTTGAGCATAAAATACAATATATTTCCATTTAATTGCATTGAAAACTAAAAATTCTGTTGTCAACAATGCATGTTAAAAACGAAAGTAGCAGGAAATATAGAAGGGAGGTAACTCCCGTAGATCTATCAACCTGTGAAATTATTGATGAAATTTGTGCCAGATAATCATCGTAGGAGTTAACACAGTATTAAGTTTGTTTAGGCATCTATTGACATACTCAATATAAACAAAAATATATTTTAATTCCTTTAACTTTAGTTGTTGGAACAAAATAACATGTTATTCACCTGCAGTTTTGTACTCAATATTTTCGTACCCAGTCTACAGTTACGGACAATTTTCTCTCAGACAAATAATTTTTTTTAAGGAAAGATAAAAAAAATCTTGTTTATGTTTCTTTAATTCTAATTTCAACTATAATTGTTCAAACTGGAGTACATAATTAGGTACATGCCAACAAAAATAAAGAAAGAAAAATATTGACTCCTAGAATATAAAATAACTTGAGGGCTTCCACTAGTGGAAGTTTGGGAGTCTTTTACTCCATCAATTGGCCTGTGACTTCCAAAAGTCAATACTTTCTTTCTTTACCTATATAATGTGACTTCCAATATCAGAGATTTTGAAGTCTTTGTCTTCCAAATTTTGAAAATGGAAGCCCTGATAATTTTGCTGTGTATCCTAAACTTGAGTTCCAGTATACTCTGGAAGTCTGACTTTACATGGCATGTTTTGTATTGTTTCACATTAAATCAGTATTTAATTTGTAAAGGTTTTTCTAAAAAAAGAAAATAAACAAACAAACAAACACAACAATAAGTTTAATTTGTTTATAAAAAAATGCAAGATGCTTTTTTGACAGATTTTACCCCTTAAGTTTTTTCAGAATTTGCATTTTACCCCTCACTCTAAATTTTTGAGGGGTAAAAACCCCTTGGCCAAAAAAATTATCTGGAGCTCTGTATATATATATATATATATATATATATATATATATATATATATATATATATATACACGAATTTTCCTTACATATACAAAACATTAAAATGACAAAATAGTGGATATCTACCTCTCCTACATATTCCATAACAAACGTCCCAGCCTTTATTTTCTGCATTGCCTTCACCCCCCATCCACGACAATTTTTTGTCCTAAAGATGCACACTTTATGCTTCCTACCATGTTGAACTACCCTGTTTGAACACTCTGGACCACACTTGCATTTCTTGTTACACTCATAAATAGGCCTGCCAGCATGAATTCTCAGTCGTTTCCATTTGAAATAGGCAAACTCGACACCAAATTGAACAGCACAGCACTGCGACTTTTCACCGAAACAATCCGAGCACTCGCATCCGATCACTGGATCATTTGGAATCACAATACCTCTACCTGCCTTATAATCATTGATATATTCAAAGTTCTCTGGTGGTCCTTCAAGATCTACCTCATTCTCAACACTGATGGGTGCCGGGTCTGTGCTGACCGCATTTAGATGTTTCTCCCAGTCTTTCAGCGCTTCTAGAATTTGCACTTTCTTCCGTTTATAAGCTTTTGTCCTTGGATTTAACAGGTACTTACTTGCATTATTAAACTTTGGAACTTTAAGACCTTCACACGATACCAGACCTCTGTAAGATTTAGGTTTTCCTTTATCAGGACTTGTCAATGAAATAAGTTGGAGAGGGGTTAACACTTCTTTGCATGAAACCAACTTATGGAACAGTTCATCTACTCTTGTTCTTTTCATTTCCCTCTCATCTTCCTTCGATTCCTTTATTTCATCATATTTTCTTTTCGAAGAAGCCCGATGCAAAACATTACCATTATTATTCTTTGTATGAAACTCCTCCATTAATAAAGGACAGTCAAGATTATCTTTTGGTTCCCAGCTATTGTGTGCATGGCTCCAACCTTTCCACTTGATCAAATAAAACTCCACACCCTATAAAGAATAAATATTCAATATAATTTCTCAATCAATGTAAATGTCAATTTGATTAAAAGGACTATATGTTTGCTTAACCTTTTTTTTTTTATTAAATTAAAAGCAGTGTGGCAAAACAGTGCTTTTTAATATTCAAAATGCTTCAACTGCATTTATAAAGGGGAGCGGTGGCCTAGTGGTTAAGGTGTCTGCCTCTCAACCCAAAGATCATGTGTTCGAGCCCTACTCGGGTCATCTTCCTTCAACATGTTTCTCGAAAGTGATTAATATAAGTTGCAAGAACTTGTTTCGCAATCGAGCTTAAATAAATGTTTAAACCAAATATTCTTTTAAACAAATTATAGTTAATACCTACATATCAATGCAACATTACACTATTTAAACCATAAGGAAGCAAATATTTTATCTTTAAAAAGCTTTTTTGGGGTTAGTTTCCAAAAAGTTACTCACTGGTATTATAGTAGTGGCATCTTTTGCTACTTATAAATGCGTTTTGGCAATTAGTGCAGTTATAGTGATTAAACATTTTATATGGAAGTCAAAATACCACTTAGTTTACAATTTGCTACCTATCATTGCTCTGAATGTGCCTTTCATATAGAATTTCTGTATGTTGACCAATATACAAGCAATGCATTACATAAATCGTATATTTATAGATATTGGTAACAAAATTCATAATTACATCTTCTTCTACATAATCTACAATTTGTTCCACTTCAAAGTCTTCATCATTCTCCCAAGTTATTTCACCCTTCTCCACCACTGAAATATATAATATGCATCTATAGAACTTTATTCAAACATAACTTAACTGAATGTCATCTTGATGCATTATCTAAGGCCATCCATAAAAAATTGTTTGTTTGTAGTGCTCCGACCGACCCATGAAAATGGCCCCGACTCTAAAAAATTTTTTACACCTTCGAGGATTTTTTTTTTTTTGAGATCATTATGTACCCATTCTGTTAAAAAGATTTTTCTCCAATAACTTTTCAGACAAATTTTGAACTGAGAAGTAGAAGAGTAAAAGAATTTTATTCCAAAATAAACGCACGCTTATCATCGATATTTTGCCGAACATCGGCGATTTCACATTCGCCAGAAACCTTAAAATTTCGCAAAGGGCATAAAAATTCTCAGTTTCCAAGCCAAACATGTGAATGAATTGTTCTTTTGTTAATTATTTAACATTAAATCTTATAAAAGTCCATCCCCTTTTGAAGATATTAGCTAAAATAATTGCCGATCGGATGAATCTCTTACACACTGTGTGAAGCTGTACTCGATTTTCCTATTCATTCCACCAAATGCTGCATATATATATACGTACACGGTACAGTTTATGGAAATGATGCCCTCTTCAAGGTATTTTTACAAATATAAAGTTTTCGTCTGGACATATTAAACCAGACTAAAATTCAATTTATTTTTTATATAAAAAGTGAAAAAAAAAAAAACGATTGCAACTTTGTTATGTGAAAATGGACAGAAATGGTATCCTCATTAAATTTTTTTTTACATGAGTTGACATATCTAACTTGTATACAATTTGATTTTTTTTTTGGAAGAAAAAAAGATTGCAACCTTGCTTCAAAGATAATATACATACATCAATGAATGTTAAAATGGATCAGGGTTTCTATTGACGCACATTTCCTGCGTCCTTGACGCAAAAATAGTAACCTAGGACCCTCAGTTACTCTAAGTGTGCGTCCATGGGGACGCAAATTAAATTTTCCTCCGTAAATATCATTTGGAAATTCCTTCCGCTTCTTTAAAGGAAATGACGTAATTTGGTAGACGGGTTCTAATATTGAATAAAGCAGAGTTATCTTTCTTTCAATTAATTACAGTTTAATACGGAAAAAAAACGGCGCACACTAGAATTTAGTCGACCTTAAAAAAGCGTCCCAGTCTATGCGTTTTTTGTTATAAAATAATTCGTAAAACATGTCGGCTGCTCTCCCAATTTTAATGAAAAGTGACTAAGTTAACTTACCCGTGGCTCGTCCAAAACGAGACGACCACTTAACCATAAAATGTAATCCATTTGCCTCAGAAAATGGATGTTTGAACTTCCAAAATAGTAGATACATTTGTCCGTCATCAAGACGTATATGCAGTTAAACAATTGATAAAATTAGTCGGACCAGATGTGAAAGATCTTGACTTTATGCAAGTTACACAAACATTCAGTCAAATGAAAGAAATGAAAAATTAAAAAGTAACAATAATAATAAATGGTTTATATTTTTTATTTTATTTAACAAAGTCAATAAAAATGCATATGTAGTTGAACAATGTATATAAATGTAAAGAATTAAACCTAGACAATATATATAAGTAACACCTTACTTTTAAAGTAATAAATGATTAGGACCCTCATATTTTTCTCTGGGACCCTCATATTTTATGAGCACGAGTCCCTGGGACTCTTAAATAAAAATGCCTAGTAGAAACCCTGATGGATTACCCTCCGTAACCATAGACCACCACTGTATACATATATTTTTACACAAAATAATACCAGAAAAACTTTATTGTTTACATAAATTAATTTTAATCATTTTGCCATTCATGAATGTCAGAAAATGAGGTTACAGTACACTAAAACTTGTTGAAAAAACAAGTTAATTGATAAAATTTTCGCGGGAAAATCGCTGGAAATTAATGGGTCTATTCCCGATACTTTTAAATAAGTTATACCTGTGTTTTCTTTATAAGAATGATAATTATTCATTAATTTTACCTTTTCCTAAGGCTAAATTGTAATTTAATAGCCATATTTTTTAATCTTTGAGGCAAACAATTTTACAAATCATGCACTGTTTATTTTTTCTTTTGTTTTTGTTCCTTTTTTCTCCTTTGTAATTGTCCGTACTATATTCCCTTTTAAACACCCAAATGGGTTTATTAATTGTTGCTCTCTTTAATCCAACTTTCTAAACAAACTCCATGCTCCAGGACCTGTTGATTACACACTATACATGTATACAGCAGGTGACGTAGATTTTTCTACATACTACACTGCCATATATGGTAAGTACACACGACTGTGTGACAGGTGTAACATACATAATGATCTATTATTATGCTGGCTAGTGAATGGAGTTAATTAACTGGGTTAATACAGTATGGTTTGTTGGTTAAGTGGAAAGGTAATCTAAATATTCAAGTGTACCCCTAAAATTTAACAAAAAACAAACAAACAAAAAAGAAAAAAACAAACAAACAAAAACAAACAATTACAAAAAATCAAAGCTAAAAAATTCTGCTGTTAGTCATTTAATTTCAAATATTTATATTCTAACCAGATTAATATTATTTGCAGGATAATTCCTTTTATTCAATAGTAATGAAAAATGGAATTGCTACACCCCTCCCTTCTTTGTGCATTTAGAATCTGACAAGTCAGGACCAGTAAATGAAATCTTAGGTGGTCATCAAAAGAGGTGGTAATCATTGATTTTACAAACAAAACACCTATACTTGCGGTGTAAATTGCATTTTCAAATAACACTGAAATACTGGTATTGAGACTAATTCTGTTCTATTTTCTCAAAGGGCTAGATCTGTCAAGTAATCATATTGTATATATTTTTCTCAGACCACTTGTTTTATTAAAGGTATTGTCACCTTTTTCCAGACATTGTTAATGTCAGTAAATAAGGAACAAGTTCAATTATTTTGTTTAAAGATGAAATAAATGTAAAATAAACAACAACAAAAGTGTTACATTGTATGTCTGTTATCATTTGAAATATTAAACAAAGATTTTAAATATCAACCTGGGATGTACTACAACGGGATATGTCACTCGCGCTTTCTTATCTGTGCCAATGTTGGTGTCCAATTGGAATCGATCGATCGATAAGCGCCGTGTTTAAACGCCGTAATCACGGTACATGCCGGGTTGATCGGATATATTCCGTGCATAAATTTTCCGGTGATTTTGGGAGGTGGGCAATCAAAATAGTAGGAAAAAAAGGTTGTTGGTTTCTTAAATACTTTTTTCATTGGATCAATTTTAAAAATAATAATATTACTAAATATGAAACAGATACAGAAAAGTAATTTACCATATTTAATTATGATATGAAAATTTACGTTTTGTAATTAAAATACGTTCAGAAATAACTTAATCATTAAATTTCAATTATAGCTTTAATTACATGGTTTATATTAATTATTGAATATAATTATGTCAAATATGTCAATAAACATAGAAATTATTTTGTATTGGGACTTATTATTTATGTAATTAAAGTGTACAGCTGCTATAAACATGTAATAATTTTTGGTTTAATAAAATGTCTGACCTTTGTTTTATTCATGTTTGTTTTCAACATGGCCTTTGATAATCTTTGATGTTTAAACATATTTTTCACATATATTTGTAATTATGTTCTTATTTAGCTTTAATCTTCATTTTTGAATAGATTGTTTTCTTACTTCATACAATAATGCCCTTTTAATATATGCTATTGAATGACAGTTTTAATTATAAATTTTTCATAAAAAGATAACATTTAAGATGCAATGTTCATATATGAAATTTATACATACTGATACACTGCAATATGGCATATGGAAAATCGGACTTTGTTCTCTTTGAGGATATTGATTTAGATTTTTTTCTTGGTGAATTTACAGTTAGTGAATATGAAAATTCTGATGATGAGGATAAGATAAGTGTAAAATCTAACGATAATAAAAGAAAAACTTATGTATGTGATCAGTGTGATAAGTCATACAATTCTGTATCGGGTATAAGAGGACATTTAAGGAATAAACATGGAGTTAAGAATGTTAAAGGTTAGAAAAACTTTTTTTATGCAATGTTTCTTACTGTGGTCTTTTTCAATTGTATATAGTATAACAACTAAGATTCATATTTGCAATGGCCACGTCATACTGGTCATCAACCTGCATACCCATTGTTAGAGTTCCAGCTTCGACCCATTTGTCATGTGACATTTCTGTATGTATGTATATGCACCAGACCAGTGGACAATATATCTGTGATTTTTTATACTGAACCACTGACTTATAAAAAATTCTTTTACTCGTTTATTTAAAGGCTAGGCAGCATGAAGGACTACCTAGTTGATAAAAAAAACACTTTATCAATATATTACACATTACAATTTTTTTTTAAATATTTATTTCATCTTATGAATATTAGCTGTACAAATGTAAACATAATTGGAATACAAATACAAAAAATATTGTGAAATGAACAAAGAAATACTTGACACATTGAAATCGGCACTTATAATCTACATAAATTACCAAAAAGAAGTCAAAATGTGCATGAATGGCCCCTACTGCGTTAGTAACGCAGTATAAATATGGTGATATATAAATACTGCAATATACAGTCATTAATTGCACATAAGATATAAATTATCACTTGAATCTTTGATCTGTTTACTTTTTCTTAAAGTTTTTTTCCAAGTTTAATTTCTTTGAAATATTTTGGGTAATCTGGAGGCATGCGGCTTTGAAAAAATGTTTCATCAGATATATGAATGCACAAGTAGGTCCAACTTCATTTTCTCTGTGACACGAATACATATTTTAATCCTTCAATCTGAATCGACAAATTCATGGTATCTTTTGTGACCTTACACTCAGTATCTTGTTCATCATTACTGGTATTCTCAAGCAAAAAGAAATTTGTGAAGAAAGCATCTGATGGAAAGTTTTCAATCTTCGATAAACCTGCAATTGAGATTGAAATAAGATTATACAAAAAATAAGGAAATAAAAGACTTTAACCTTTTCCCTGATACAGCCCCCTTAATTTACTGCTTTACACCCCATAATACAGTAGCCAGATAGATAATCAATAATCAATATCCTACTGATAAGGAGTCACACACTATCTCCATATAGGGTATGATAAATTATAGGTAAAATTGGTCAAATTAGATACCTATATACTTTAACTGGAAAATAAAGTATTAAGTTGTGTTTTGACAATTTTTGTATCAATAAAAAGTTTGTAGAGAATTGAAATACCTTTCCAATGGTATAAATATCATATTTGTTGGATTTATACAAATATGTCTACATGAGTTATAAAGTAATAAACTATATACTTGATGGTGTTTTTTTCTCCATTGTTTCAGATAAATTAGGCTACTTATGTGTTTTAACTAATGTGAAATGGTTTAATTACAAGTTTGACAATATGTATGTCAATGTAAGATTTGTAGAGATTTGAATTATCTTTCCAGTGGTATAAATTTTATATTTGTGGGCTTTATAACAGTATAATTACAGTAGTTATAAACAATAAAATGATGTATAAATTTTTCTCTCTCTTTTACAGGGATTAAGGGAAATATGGCTAATTTATTATTATTTTTTTTTGGTTTATGCAGCATTCATTTTTAGTGAAATAAATAACAACAAGTTCTTTTTTTACCTTTTTTTATACCAGTAAAAAGAAATCTCACTTTGTTTTTTTTTTATTTATTTTATCAGTTTTTTTTTATAATTTATTTCATAATAGTAACTGTCATTTCTGTAATACATGTATATAACTGTTGAATGAAATATTTCAGAATTTCTGCTGTCATGGTCATATATTTTCTTCATGAATTATGAATTTAATTAAATTTTATCATTTATAGATCTAATTTAGATCAAATGATGATAATGGAAAGACATCCTCGAGTTCCACGGCCTTTTCGGCATTTTCATGTTGCCCGACATCAAAGATGATATATGGGATATGATTTATATCATGTCGTATAATACACGGCCCCATGCTGTGTCTGTTATGAAAACAATAGCGCACATGAAAGAATTTAAACTATTAAACATTTCTTTGTCGGTCATTTTCTTAAAAAAAATCGCCGCTGCTACCGGAAATATTTTATTGCAGGGGCCAGAGAGATACCCTTTGTCAGGACGTTAATTAATCCGTGTATATATACACATGTCAGCTATCATAAACCAAAACAAACATCAAATCCATTATACCGTATGCCTGGCATGTGAACGACCCCGTGATCATATAAATACTATTTATTCATTAGATGCTATTTTTAGACACTTTTGTTCCTGTCTTACGATACGTTCTATATTTATTTCATTGACCCGCGCACTCATTAACTGCGTGACGTAAGGAAAAACCCTCACCTGGTTGGTCGCTAATTATTACAAAAAACTTTAAATAGTAACACCATAATTTTATGCACGGAATCCCCTCATGAAATGTTGATCTTTACGATAACACAATTTACAAGGTCTATTTTCCGGGAAAATTGTGATTTTTGGACAGGTAAATATTGAAGTCGGCGAAAGTCGCTTCCATTGAGATCATGCATGTCGGCGATTCTCGCTTACATGCGGTAATCGATAAAGCCGTCGATTCTCGCTTCTATCAGGGAATGGTAAAAGACGGCGATTCTCGCTTCTATAAGGGAAAAGGTTAAAAGTGCAAATAACAATTGACACCATATCAGGATATCATTCATGATTGATATCCAATGACACAGCTAAGGAATCTATAATTTTTTTAATAAAGATGTTTTTTTTTTCTCATTCAGATAACAAATTATGGTTTTTCAAAAATTAAAAGAAACCCTATACCTATTTCTAAAAGACATTATTTTTTCTACTTTTTAAATATCAAAAAGACTTCACTGCAAATTCGTCAATTTTTATGGTTTTGGCTCTCAGATTTCACCAAAAAATTGTTGAAATTTGACACAGCGTAATGAAAAATCCTACAAGATAATTGATCCAAATTTTATTTTCTTGCTATAGATATGTTTATGTTTTACTAAAAAATACTAACATGGGACAAATTTAATTAACATATAACGTTCATTTACGGGCAAAAAATGTACATCACGTTTGCATTCCGCCATGTTATTTTTTTCGGATTTTTGTCACAGTTCTATAAAATTGGAACCCCGTAAAATTTCATTTTATCTCACTAAAATTCCATAAATCTTTAACGTTAAACCAAAGATATTTAAAGGGATCTATTCAAAATATTCTGTCAGTTTTCTTGTTAATTTATTATTTAAAACGAAGTTTTGCAGACAAAAATTACCCTTTCACGGGGGGATCAACACAAAAACATCCAGTTCGATTGAAATTTTTATTCTTTCAAGCAGACAGGACAGTTTTTTTCACATTAGATACTTTTTTTACACCATGTTAAAAATACATCGGGATCAATTTCATGATACTTACAGAATTTTTCAATTTACTTTCTGGGGACTTCAACCCATTAAGTAAACTAACATACCGATCGAAGTTTTCCCTGAAGGTCGACATTTCCTCCGCTTTGAAACTAAAATTGGTAAAATGGCGCGCTGATTCCTGAATTGGAACGAAAACATAAGGAGCGATAATCTCTGTGTTTCCCGTCCCCGTATCGTATGTTCCAGTATCAACAGAAATACATTTGCCTACATATTTTAATTTGTCTAAATACAATGCACAGTATATCATGGGAGACTATTAAACTGTGTATTGCTATACTCAGTATGCTCCAATTTTTGTAACAATTTTCAAAAAAAAAAAAAAAAAAATCCCCCTACCTACCTACCCACCTCTTGAACATTAGGGTCGGCACTACAAACAAACAATTTTTTAAGGATGGCCTAACAAACACCTGACCACGTCATGTGTGTGGGGGGCAAGGGGGCAGACTTGTGACCAAAGAAAGAGCTCTACTATTGAGCTAACCGGATGGCTTCATCATCTGCAATCAGTATAGTTTAAGATACCTAGCCATTTGGTCCATTTCCAGTTTTTGTTCGACAGGTATTTAACAATTGAAATAATGTCTGCAGTTTGTTTTACCAAACAACAATAATTCTAATAAATGTTTAAAGCAACATTTGAATCAAAGTGCCGGTTATCTATTTTTTCTCACCCAAGCAAAATATTTATTCGCAAATGCGTGCAGGCAAGTAGATATGTTGAGGCTCATTAAAAGGTTTCAAACGAGTTTTGCCAACAGTAAGAAATAACACAAAGACGAATCACGTGACACTTCTTAAAGTTATTGTTACTATAGTAATTGCTAATAAACGATAGTTTGACAAATCGATACATCTGTGAATTATCATTTTTGATAGAATTTGTTACTTACATTTACTCACAACTTTTTTGTGCTACCGAGGGGCCAACTTTCTTTAAAGTCAAATACAGTAAAAATTTATTTTGTCTCTGAGGAGAATCCAACTTTTTGATTTATACATTTCTGTTGCAAATCTAAAATGCTAGATAAACAGCTGACTTCTGACTCGTATATAGGTATAACACTCATGTTTATCTTTTATTTTAGTACTTTTTTTCTCTCTACAATATCATATTTTGGCGGGAGCCGCAGTACTTCCGGTTTGATTTAAATGCCGTTCTAGTACGGTATGTTGAAGCAAATCAGCTAAAAATCAATGCGCCCATATTTTTAAATGTCTTATCAAATTGATGAGCATATGCAACAGTTGTTCTTTATATATGTTAGGGTTTTTAAAATAGAAATACCTTTACAATATAGGTCAAGAAAGGGTGTGAAACCACTTCAAGTTAAAGTCTGTTAGTAAATTTCCACCAGTAAAGCTTGAAACTCACCATATAACATAAAATAAGTTGGTGTGTGGTAACCCAATCTTAAAAAAAATAAAAGAAAATGTTAAAATTATTCAAAATAATTTCCACAATTTTTCAACCTTTGAAGATTATGAAAAAAGTTTTCTGTACCCTCATATATAAGAATAAAGCATTGTGACAAGGTTTTTCAAATACATGTAGAATTGAATTTGAAAGACCATGTTTATGGCTAATTGAATTGTTATAGACCTTAAATTAGGTTATAAGATAATTACTAATTAAATTTTGTATTGTTATAAAATCAGGAAGATTTATTTTTACAAAAAGTTGACAAAATTCACCTCAATATCTTTTTCTGCTGTTGTGCTCGATCATTTTGCTATTTCTGTAATTACTATTTTTTGTGCAGTATTTAATAATAATTTAAAATATGGTAGTGAAAATTAGATATAAAAACACTACATGTTTGTTAAGTATCACCCTAAGGTAATGAATCTCACTTAACACTTGTGTCACAAAATAAAAATGAGGTAAAGTCTTTCTTTCATCCGTAAACACTAACAAAAAGACAGCTGAACTATAACACAAAAAGAATCAGAGTCATAATATACAGAATTACAAATACATGTATGTATATTGTAAATTTTACGGTAGATTTATCCAGGGATATCTGTCTCCGTGTATTAACTTCTTCAAACTGCTTCATTGGCATTATTATTTTTTACAAATATATCAAGAAGTATAGCATGCGTGAATGTTTCAAAGACGACTAATATTCTGCATAAAAATTTACCCTGTCACATGTAAAATAACAAATTACTGTACCATAAGTATCTACTTAATATTTATAATTTATCAGCAACAACACTGATCACGATAAATAAATAATGATGAATATAAAATACGTAAACTTCTAACAGAGTAAAATAAGAATAGTTTTTCTTAAAATAGAGAAAAACAGAATCCCTAAAGAAAGCCCAACACGACAATTTTGAAAATGTTGCAGGCTCGGTTTGATTGAGCCTGTTCATGGGGACGGTACTGGAAAGTGCAAGTTACCGTCCACGCCTCCTAGCACCGGCTTAAGCAGAATTCAACATTTATACACAAAATGGTGACATTTTGAATTTAAAAACATCCGCAGATGTGTTCATACGGCGGTTATCATGGAACCTTCAATGTGACACAGTAGTGCCATTCCATGAAAAGCGGCGTATGGTCCCCAATTAAAAAAATGAGTGTGCCCTAAACGAGAAAACATTGGGCGGAACTAAATAAAATGGAATTTTGAAAGGGGATCCGAGGTTATGAGGCCTGTATATCACAGATAAGACGTCAAAAGACAATTTAAAAAGCAGGCAACATAACCTAAGGGTGATTAGACAGTATTCAAGTAGGAATATTGGAGCCACCCAAGTTGAAAAAAGGCCAAATAGAAGAAACTATAAAATAGAGAAAAACAGAATCCCTAAAGAAAACCCAACACGGCAAAATTGAAAAATGTTGCAGACTCGGTTTGATTGAGCCTGTTCATGTACGGTACTGGAAAGTGCAAATACCACATAACATGTATACACAACAATTATGTCGTGCTGAACGATCTTCAAGGATCGAAAATATAACATCTTTGATTAAATGTACGGGGAGACATTTTACGGCCACCACACGGCACAAATAACACTGATGTGACCATAAAATATAGAAAAACGGAATCCCTAAAGAAAGCCCCACACGGTAAGTCCTGTATAAATACACATGTAGATTGGAGTTGTTTGAATACAGACATACAAAAAAAAATAGCCGATAAAATTAAGCCCACGGAAACCAAAATTAAACCAAGAGGAACACAGATATTTTAGAACATAATTGGGCTCATTACAAGTTCAAGCTGTTTATTTAAGAGCAAAATTTATGTGTCAAAATCTTTAAGATGAAAATATCAAAATTAGAACGAGAATAAATAGAGAAAAAAATAGAATAATGCAACCCTTCAAATTAAAAGCCTGAATTAATGAGTCAGACAATATTGTCCAATTATGTATATAAATAATTATATGTAGCTTGATAATTATGCACAATAGTTTCAAAAGGCGTCTTGTTTACAAACATCAACATCATAGCATGATTACGTCATCATGCTAATCAAATATATAAACTACATTATCTTTATGCTGTACAACAAGATTTGTTATAATTGTCACATACACAAGTAATGTTCGTTTTAGCATATGCTGAACAATTATCGTTAAAATTATAATGCATATGTCTTAGTCTTAGTTGTTCTACATTTTTATTTTTCAATATTTGTCATGTTCGTTTCAAATCTCAAATCTGAAGAACTTTAACTTGCACTTGAATGGTAATCCTTAATGAAACTAACAAGTCTGGTTTGAGCTACCAGTTTTTTTTTTTTTTTTTTTTTGTTCATGGGTTTATTCAAACTTTCATTTTATGAAGAGCAAGATTAGTCATAATGACACTGGATTAAAGCGGAACAAAGCTATTCATTACAGTGAAAAGTGAAACATCTGTGCAAACAATTAATCTTAATTTTAGCCATAACATTTTAGATATACCATTACTAAGTAACAATTCCTTCCCCATTCTTCTAAAGTGCTGTTATAGTGAGAACAAATGCTTTTCGATACCTGATACAATTTTGAATGGTGTGCATATATAGATTACGTTTTTTTTGTATTATTTTGAAGGCTTTGTTGTAACATTTTTCTGATCCGTGAGGATCATTTATTCCAGAACACCAAGTTTTGAAGTGCTTGGGTTGGGACATGAGGGTTGTTGAACATTTTCACTATCCCTCATGTACAGGCTAAATCTACCAAGTCTGCAGTTTTCTTGTAATTTTATTGTTTCTATACTTTTCTAGCTATCTATATAATTATCTTCCATTTAGTCAAACCACTGATGAGGATCTAGCCGTTACGCATCACTAGTAAGAATCATAAAAAGAGGTTTAAAAGTTAAATAAAAGTTTAAAACAAATAAAAGAAAGGCAGGTGTTATTTAAGTTGATACATGCTCAATCTGGCTTGCAGGCTTATTGAACATGGATCTATATGGATATATTCGTCTTTGATATATACTCCTCCTCTCTAAAGAATCAAGCATGGCTGAGTTATTTCCTTGTTTACTTAGTCTGACCGATGAGAGCTCCAGTGTATGGTGACAATACATTGGAACTGGGGTCGGATAAATGTCTTGTGGTCTGGACCTTTATGTTTCATTGAAGATAGCCTAGTGTTTGGTTTGTTTTTTAAACATTGTTTTCAATTTGAGTGTTCAAGGTTAGATTTTCTGATATTGTGACACTAAGGTTCATTGCTGATTCATGTTCATGTTGTTCATAAAGTATTCCAAGCCGGAACATCACCAATGATGCTAAGCTTAGCTTTTTTTAAACCGTTTTTGGAGATTGTTATTCCTCTATCTATCTATCTATATTCCATTGATGTCAAACCCCTCGCGGGGACGTAAACATGACTCTAGACTTCAGAGACAGCTACGAGATACAACGGAATCCGGAAAAACCAGCCCCTAGCTCTTATTGAATAGACCCTTTGGTTCTTTTACCTGCCCAGTGTATAGCACTATCAAATATGCGAGGATTACCTGGATTTCTTACCAGTACACCTTTTGGAAGGAAGCACTGAAAGTATCTCTGAAAAAATCCCTAGGGCGTTACTCAGAATTGAACTCGGGACCTCAGGAGTGACAGTAAGTGGTCTTACCATCTAATGCTTTCGGGGAATCTCCTTTGCAACAGGTCTTTCGATTTCTAATGCTTCGAGGGACCTCCTTTTAATTTAAGAATAGTGCAGGAATATATTTAGTGGCATATAACCTAAAATCTCCAGTCCGGAAAAAACGGCTATAGATAGTAAAGTATAGTTTGAAATATTTTAATTAGAATTTCAGTTCTGTGCATAAGTTCCAAAGAGCTTAGTAGCTGTGTTCTTATTAATCTATTTATTTTTAAGAATTTAACCTTAATTATCACCAACATCAAGATATTAGCAAGACAATGAATTTGATAACTGGTATTAAAGTGAAACTTCCGTGGAAAAAAACTATTCATTTCCTTCTCATATGACTTTCAACCGGAAGTAACAAGTTACAATAATGTCAAACATAATTTTTGCACTATTTATCGCTTTTGGCGTTTCTCAAGCCTCTAAAACGCCTGTTCTTATTTGGTCACCAACTAGGTAGGTTATTGGAAAGCAACATTATTATTTTCATTTCAATACTTAAATTGCTCCCCGAATCTTTCACAGACACTTGTGTGGAGAACCAAACCAAACGCCTTAAACTCCAAATAAAATATTTATTTGTCAGTGATACATTACACAATTGACATCTACTCTCAAAATCACCTTATATTTTATACCATTTCCAAATTATTATATCTTTGCATTACCCTTTTTTCCATTGACACATCACATATGGAAGCCCGTGGGGAGTCGGATAAAAAAAAAATTCTTTTTTTTTACAGTTTTCGTTTTAAAAGTGTCATTCAGAAATTCATGCACCGCTTCTGTTTTCACTTGGATCACCTTGACTTTTCTAACAAGCTGAACAGTTGGCAATTGTTAACATTAACAGAATACCCTTGTCATTAACTCTGACATAAACAATTCACTGATAGGTATAGAAATCTGTCATAGATCTGCGTTTCATAAAAATAGCTTTTAAAAACTTTCGCCACTTCCTGTAGACTACATAACCCCATATTTAGTGGTAATTTTCCCAGTGTTCTAGCACTTACAGGGAAGATCAAACTTTTATTCTTTGTAGCTATTTTGCTTGCTTAAAAAGCCTTTCACCAGTGTACAACATTGAAGTGTTACTGTTATGGCATACTTTTAGTTGTCTGGTTCCTGCTATCACATTGTTTGTATCAATTCTTTTGTATCACAGTTCATTTTCTTTTCAGACCACTAAGTGATTTACCGCAGAGTTATGCAGGAGAAACGATCAAAGATGATGTCTTCACAGATAAATACCTTAAACCATTGACCTCAGATCCAAGTCAATCAGTTGTTGTATTTCTACAAGATAAGGTAATAATAAATGTATGCAGATTAGATTTTAACCCTTAACCTGCTAAATTTGTGTAATGGATTTGCCCTGTTTTACATTTGGAACAACCCATTTTAGGTTATAGGGATTTCAAAATACATAAATTGAGCAGCTAACTATAGAGAGCCTGGTAAGCCTGCAGGGTAGGGAAGTGCAGGTTGGGAAGGCTTTCTATACTGGTGGCAAAGGCTAATCACTTTTGGTTCCAGGAGACAAAGGGATGTGTGAGGTGGGTGAAACTCAACACATTTAATAAGCATATTTTGATATGATTTACTTGGTTTTATGGTGCACCAACACAATTCAGGTTGAAGAAATCTTTACATTACATGATTTACGAAGTTAATATTACTTTTTCTTCTGTTTCAGTTGAGTGTAGAAGATTTCACTAACCATGCCGATGTCTACAACCCTAGCAGTGATGGTGGAGCCTTTAAAAATGTTAAGGTTAGTGAAAATTTGGATTTTAATTTTTTAAGACGTGTTTTGAACATTCAAACAATGATTTTTTTTTAATTAAGTAAATAGATGTCATAAAAAAGGAAGAATTATGATTTCACTTCATTATCAGGACAAATTGAGATTGAATGCTGTTGGGCATCTGTGTGATTAAAGATTGAATTCTAGATATGACTTGTAACAGAAGTCTGTCTTGTCCATGGCTAACCTCCAACAGACTTCAACTGACTTTTTTTTATTGAGAATTTATATATTTTAAGTCATATATTTATGTTGGGTTTAAGATGACACATATTTCCAGTTGATAAAAATAACCTTACCTCTATCAAAAGCAATAAAATGACGAAAGGTCAAATAGTGCTTACCTTGTCTGTGTGGTAGTATGTACATGTATGTGTGTACACAAAATTGTGTTCAGCTTATAACTTTGATATTACTTGATAAATGTTTGTAATATACATAATATAATTTATATACTTTCACCACAGTCAGACAATGTGTGGCACACAAGACCCATTTATGCACCTTCAAGGTCATGGTCGCACTTTTGAGGTCAAAGATTAAATTGTGTTTGTCTGCTTTGACTCCATCTTATAACTTTCTTATTTCTTGATGGATAAACTAAACATTCTTGTAACAAAAATTTAGATATAAATCCCAAGATATCTTCACAATGGTCAGAGCATGTGTCATATGCTACATCCAGGTCAAGGTTGTATGCGGAGCTAATATTGACCTATGGTGGGAATATCCATGACTCATTTCTAGTTGTATACAAAATGTATAGGAGACTTTTGGAAAACTGACAATGTGGAGGAAGTGTTGTTAATTTTTTTACAATAAATAAAATACTGACAATACAGTTTTTGATACATTTTCCAACACATATGCTTATTTGTGCATACATTTATTGTTTTTCAGTCGGCCATGGATGACCAGTTCTCTGTACATCTTCCAGCTGTTGTAAGTCCTAAGGAAACAATTGAAAGTTTGTCAAAAGTTTTCTCAGGAAAGGTTATCAAGGTAGACAACCCAGACGAATTTGCCAACTTGAAAATTAAGGATAATGAGGGTTATCTCATCATTGTTTCTCTGCAGCCAATCAGAAGTGAGGAAGAATTTGGTTCTTTCAAAAGAAATGGTAGGTGTTAAAACTTGTCCCATTGTATTTTTAATGACAGGATGAAGTCAAACAGTTGGTAATTATCTTTTTCAATGGTGTATATTCAAGTTAGTAATTCTAGAAAACTAGAAAAAATGATTTTGTATTCCATTACCAATGAAATATTACAATTCTATTTTTAGACGAGGCTATTGGGAAATGTCTACATCACATGAACAAGCGTAGCATCAAGTACAGCGCCATCTATACTGCTGAGTCATCATCTAAGGTATGGTAATGGTTTATAGAAGATTTTAGTGTAATCATTTGCATAATTATGGTCTTAAATATTTTGATTGAAAAAAAATACAAAGGTTTATCAGGAGATTCTAATAACATTGACTGAACAAATATGGGTTTGCTGATATTTTGAAAATTGTTATAAAGAGCCTGTACATATCTTCTTACCCAACTGTCCATTATGTGAGGTATTTCTTTGTTGAATAAGGACATATAGGAGAAGCATAAAGCGTGAGTCTCTGGTTTGACAAAAAGAAGAGAATTGAATTGATGCAGACTTTGATATTTTGATAGAAGAAGAGAATGTTGAATGGAAGTCTGTTAAAAAACAAAGATATTGAATTGAAGTGCATGGTTATGGTTTGATAAAAGTGAGAATGTTGAATTGAGGCATACATGTAGGGCTTTGGTCTGATAAAAGAAGAGAATGTTGAATCAAAGCATAGAGCTATGGTTTGATCAAAGAAAAGAATGTTGAATCATGGCATAGGGAGCTATGCCGTATGGTTTGATAAAAAAAGAATGTTGAATCAAAGCATAGGGCTATGGTCTGATAAAAGAAGAGCATGTTAAATCGAGGTATAGGTCTATTGTTTGTCAAAAATAAGGAAATTTTGTTGACGCTTAAATCTATGGTTTTATTTTAAAAAAAGAGAATGTTGAATTTTGGTTTATTTCCATGTTTTGATATTACCCGAGGCGTAGGTCTCTCTTGAGATAAAAAGAAGTGAACATACCTTTTATATGTTTATAATGAGGTTTGGCGTTAATTCATATATTATTTACTAACATTTATAAGCTAAATAGAGAAATTGTTTGGCTGAACACTTTTTTTTCATTCTCAGGCTGAGAATATGGAGGTACATGGTGGTCGTCAGTTGTTGGAAGAAAAAGATAAGGACAGTAACGGTACATTTGTCAGCATCGAGAGGGTTAACGTATTCCTCAAGACTGTGTCTGTATACATCACACCAAAACCTAAAGATGCTAATACAAAACCGGTCACCTTTCACACAGTATTCCCATTTGAAGATGCACGTAATTTGAACATTACTAAAGTCAACGAAACTGTGAAGTAAGTTCATATGGCATTGCTTTTCATTGTAATCTAACTGTAGTGTATTCCTTATATTGCACATGTTTTTAGCTCACCTGTCACAAACTGACATGGTGAGCTTTTGTGATTGTAATTTGTCCAGTGCCGACTGGCTGGCGTCTGTCTGTAAACTTTTTAATGTAAAAAACATCTCATTATTAACCGCTACCCCAATTTCATCCAGACTATACATGAATTTTCCTTGGTTGGTCACCTTTAAAATTGTTCAAAGATTTGAATTCCATGCAGGGCTAGAGCTTAGATATTTAGCATGAAACATCTTCTAGTAGGTGTCTACCAAGTTTGTTAAAAAAATCTCTGGGGTCAAAATTGGCATCGCCCCAGGGGATCATTGATTTTCCTTATATGTAAAAAAAACCCAAAAGAGCTGCAGCGTAGATATTAAGCATGAAACATGTTCTATTGGGTGTCTGCGAAGTGTATTCAAATAAAAGCCATGGAGTCAAAATTGGCCTCCTCCCAGGGAGTCATTGATTTCCTTATATGCCTATATACTACTCCCCATATCTCAAAACATTGCTGAATAGGGATTTTCAAAAATTCAAAAGAAATCTGTTTTATACTTGTGATAATATAGAAATTAACTTTTATGGTGCTTAGCAAAAGTTGGGTAGTATCGTAAAAACAAATAAAAATCTTTTTCTATTATACTATAGAGGCTTTACTTAGATATTTGGTATGAAACATTGTCTGGTGGACCTCTACAAAAATTGTTCAAATTATAGCTTTCTGGTCAAAATTTCCCCACCCAGGGGGGAACATACATGTAGATATCCCTTATATGTATATAGTAATAAAAAAATTATTTCTAAATCTACAAGAGCTAAAGCTTAATTTCCATAACAACTAATGACTTCATAGCAGCCATTGACTTTTCATAGCAAACTTTAAATTTTCATAGCAACCAGCAGCATACATTAACTTTCTACAACAACGAGTGAATCTACCATTGAATTTCATTGCACACACTAACTTTCAAAGAAAACATATATTTTGTATAGCAAACATTGACATCTTATGAAACTGTTGTTTTCCCTTAGCAACAGCAACCAGTAACATTTTTAAACTACATTCAGATACAAATATGAACTTTGTGATGTGAGTTTAGGATTTAGATTTTATATCTGCTTTCACTTAAGTTTGCAATATTATTTGTTCCTTGTCATGGAGAATATTTACATTCAGGTGGGCTGTCATGGCCCTCTTGTTTCCAATTAGAATAATTATTCTGGAAAATTGGAGTTAGCCAAATGATCTGAAATTTTGCACACAAGCTTTTGATCTAGACCTGCCTCAACTGAAACATTAATCTCAAAGAATAATTTTCAGTACAATCATGTAAAAAACTTTCAGTCCCTTCAATGTATCTTGTAATCATATATATATTTCATTAGTTATATTGACTAATTTCTAAAACAATTGTTCATAACACTTGAAGTGAGGGGTTGAAAATGTCTCTAAAATTGTGTAATAGCCAGTAATTAAATGTTACTTAAATAGCCAAAGAGATATTATGTTAAATTTTATATTAGGACTTACATTTTATGTTTAACTTACTTAAGTAGATATTAATGGAGTTAATTAATAATGTCTTTTGCGTTTGCTAATTTTGCTAATTTTCGTTTTGCCAGGTTTCTTTTTAATAATCTCACTTTATGTTTTCAGGTTGACCTTAAGCTTCAAAGGGGACAATGGATCTGCCATACTTGAGTATGTATCTAATTTTTCTCTTTGGTTTGTGTGTGATAAGAACTAAAGTTTGCTTTTTTTGAGTTGTAAAATTATATCTTTTGCCTATGGAAATAAACTTTTCATGATAATGGCAATGATGATATCATTAATGATGATATTGGCAATGATGATATTTGCAATGATGATGTTGATATTGATGATGATAATTATTGGCAATGATGATATTGGTGATGTGCTGTTGATATTGATGATGATATTGCAATGTTGATATTGCTGATGATATTTGCAATGATGCTATCATTAGTGATGATATTGGCAAAAATGATATTGACGATGATGATGATGTTGATATTGATGATTATACATGTATTGGCGATGATTTTGATATTGGCAATGATGATATTGGTAATGATGTTGATATTGATGATGATATTGGCAATGATGCTATCATTAGTGATGATATTATCAATGATGATATTGTAGATATGTAGATAGTGATGATGATGTTGATGATGAAAGTGATGATGATTCGCACAAGAAAATGTACATTTCATTTTTACTAACCTTATTTTAACAGGATGATGATAGTGGAGAATAGGTTGTTTGAGTTTATATCAGTGAATGGTACTTTCAAGTTCACTGGAAATTCTGGCACAGAGAACGATGTTGATGATATGCCAATAAACTATAAGATACAGGCTACCAAAGGCTTCTGTTTCCATTGTACAAAGTTGAGAGCTGTCCGTGACTACACTAGGAAGGATTTTAATGGCACTAGTGCGGTCGAAGTTATACTAAATGGATTCCAGGTTTGTTTTCTAGCATGCAATTTTTAGCTTGACTGTTAGAAGAATAAGGATAGCTTTTGGGGTCACGCTATGGTTAAATGTTTGGTTGCAAGTTGGTATCTCCAAAACTACATAAGGGAATGGATTTAAACTTTACACACTTATTTGAGAGCATAATAAAAAGTCACTCACCAAGGCCCATGACTCTAACATGGATTTTGACAGAGTTATGGCCCTTTTTGAACTTAGAAAATTTTGTATTATCCAGGCTCTTTTACTATTTATTTATTTATTTATTTGACAGTGATAAATATTCTTGTTGCTAAATACAATATGTTAGTTTCATATTAAGATTTAATATAAATGTTGAATAAGTATCATGTAACACAATTAAGTACTTATGAATATTGCCTCCACCTGCTTTCATCTTTCATGTTAAATGGTGCTTGACAATGGTCTTGTGGTCCAAGTGTACAGAAGGTGTCAGCTGCCAATGTATACATCTAATTGAGTTATTAATTGCTACATTTGTAATCTAAAAGATGTTCATCTAAAATTGATCATTTGATTATGTTGTACTTGAAAATGTAAATTATAACCACATCTGAAAAGTTACAGTCTGTAAATCTGATGGCAGCTAAGGTTTGAAAATGCAAGGAGTGGCATGGGTTACACATGGGGTCTTCCTTCACCTGTGAGGAGGAGCACATTGGGTTTTCCTTCACCTGTGAGAAGGGCTCCAGGGGTCTTCGCCCATTCATGAAAAGGGGAACCTGGGGTCTTCCATCACCAGTGAAAAGGTGACTCTAGGTCTTCCTCTATCAGTGGGAAGGGTCACCTGGGATCTTACTCCCTCAAGTAAGGAAGGTAACAAGGGGTCTTCCTAACCATATTAAAAGGGTGCCTCTAGGTTTTCCAGAATAATTATTGTAACTGAAAAAATTGAAGATTGAAAAGTGTTGCAATGCTTGTTACTCAAATCAGGCTAAGAAAAGCACAAAAATTAATTTCTGAATATATTTCTTAATTATCTTATGCATATGTTTCTGTATTAAGTTCCCCAACTGATCTCTATGTAAGAAATTCATTTTTAGCTCACCTGTCACAAAGTGACAGGGTGAGCTTTTGTGATCGCTTTTCGTCCGGCGTCCGTCCGGCGTACGTAAACTTTTACTTTAAATGACATCTCCTCATAAACCACTAATCCAATTTCATCCAAACTTCACAGGAATGTACCTTTGGTGGTCACCTTTGAAAATTGTTCAAAGAATTTAATTCCATGCAGAACTCTGGTTGCCATGGCAACCAAAAGAAAAAACTTTAAATATCTTCTTCTAAAAAACCCAAAGAGCTAGAGCTTAGATATTTGGCATGAAACATCTTCTGGTGAGTGTCTACCAAGTGTGTTCAAATAAAAGCCCTGGGGTCAAAATTGGCCCCTCCCCAGGGGGTCATTGATTTTCCCTATATGCATATAGTCAAAACTTAAAAAATCTTCTTTTAAAGAACCCAAAAAATTAGAGCTAAGATATTTAGCATGAAACATGTTCTAATGGATGTCTACCAAGTTTGTTCAAATAAGAGGCCTGGGGTCAAAATTGGCCTCGCCCCAGGGGGTCATTGATTTTCCTTATATGTGTATAGCAAAAACTTAAAAAATCTTCTTTGAAATAAACCAAATAGCTAGAGTTTAGATACTAAGCATGAAACATCTTCTAGTTAGTGTCTACCAAGTCTGTTCAAATAAAAGCCCTGGGGTCAAAATTCGCCCCGCCCCGGGGGTCATTCATTTTCCTTATATGTGTATAACAAAAACTTAAAAAATCTTCTTTGAAAAAACTCAAATAGCTAGAGGTTAGATATTAAGCACGAAGCATCTTCTAGTGAGTGTCTACAAAGTTTGTTCAAATAAAAGCCCTGGGGTTAAAATTGGCCCCGCCCCGGGGGACATTAATTTTCCTTATAGGTGTATAGAAAAAACTTAAAAATCTTCTTAGAAAAAACCTGAATAGCTAAAGTTAAGATATTAAGCATGAAACATTTTCTAGTAAGTGTCTACAAAGATTGTTCAAATAAAAGCCCTTGGGTCAAAACTGGCCCTGCCCCAGGTGTGTCATTGTTTTTAACTGTATGTGTAAAGAAAAAACTTGACCAGCTAGACCTTAGATGTTTAGCATGAAACATCTTCTAATGGGTGTCTACCAAGTTTGTTCAAATAAAAGCCCTGGGGTTTAAACTGACCCGCTCCGCGGGCCTATATACAGGTGAGCGACTTCAGGGCCATCATGGCCCTCTTGTTTTATATATTTAGGCTTTTAGACCTCAGTGGAGTTCCTTTAAGGAAATCACCAGGGGTCAGGGGAAAGGATGTTGATTCTATCTTCACCAGTAAGGAACAGCCAGGAAGGGGGGATGGGGTATGCCTTCTCAGTTAAAGGAAGGCCCCTGTTGTTTCCCTCCACCAGTGAAGCTAGACATTTTAAGCCACTTTAATACATGTAGTTATAACCAAACATAGCAAATTGGATGATCTCATTTTATGTGTATTGATTTTTAAATCCATCTCTTAATAACTGTATCTTTTCTACTTCCAGATTGAAGCATTTAACCCGTACAACAGTTCAAGTAGCGAGTATTTCACTAGTGATGTATGGGATTGCGTTGAATTCTTCACGATCCCGATCTGGATGGGTATAATCACAACATTGTTACTACTCACGATTCTCTTCTATGGTATCACGATGATTGCCAACATCACGACCATGGACAGGTTTGATGATCCTAAAGGAAAAACTATCACCATCACGGTTAACGAGTAGTCTCCAAAGCAAAACATACATAAACACTTTATATATAGACTGATGCTTTTTTATGCCACCGCAGCATCTGCGATGCGGTGGCATATAGCGATTCACCTGTGTGTGTGTGTGTGTGTGTGTTTGTGTGTGTGTTTGTGTGTGTGTTATATAGATTATATAGTGAACTTAAAAAATCTTCTTGTGAAAAACCACTAGTCCAATTTCAACCAAACTTGGCAGGATTGTTCCTTGGGTGAAGGGGCTTCCAAAGTTGTTCAAAGAAATTTCATTCCATGCAGAAATCTGGTTGCCATGGCAACTAAAAGGAATTATAAGAACAAATTTAAAAAATCTTCTTGTAAAGACCAAAAGGCCTAGAGCTTAGATATTTTGCATAAGGCATTGTCTGGTAGACCTCTAACAAGATTGTTCAAATATAGCCCTGGGGTCAAAATTGGCCCTGCCCCGGGGTCAATTGATTTTCACTATGTTCATATAGTAAAAACTTAAAAAACCTTCTTGTAAAAACCCAAAAGGCCTAAGGCTTAGATATTTTGCATAAGGCATTGTCTGGTAGACCTCTACCAACATTGTTCAAATTATAGCCCTGGGGTCAAAATCGGCCCCGCCCCGGGTCATTGTTATATAGATTATATAGTGAACGTAAAAAATCTTCTTGTGAAAAACCAATAGTCCAATTTCAACCAAACTTGGCAGGATTGATCCTTGGGTGAAGGGCTTCCAAAGTTGTTCAAAAGAATTTCATTCCATGCAGAAATCTGGTTGCCATGGCAACCAAAAGGAATTATAAGAATAAATTTAAAAAATCTTCTTGTAAAGACCCAAAAGGCCTAGAGCTTAGATATTTTGCATAAGGCATTGTCTGGTAGACCTCTACCAAGATTGTTCAAATTATAGCCCTGGGGTCAAAATCGGCCCTGCCCCGGGTCATTGATTTTTCACTATATGTACATATAGTAAAAAACTTAAAATACCTTATTGTAAAGACCCAAATAGCCTAGAGCTTAGATATTTTGCATAAGGCATTGCCTGGTAAGACCTCTACCAAGATTGTTCAATTATAGCCCTAGGGTCAAAATCGGCCCCGCCCCGGGGGACACTGATTTTCACTATATGTACATATAGTAAAAACTTTAAATACCTACTTGTAAAGACCCAAAAGGCCTAGAGCATAAGGCATTGTGTTGTAGACCTCTACCCAGATTGTTCAAATTATAGCCCTGGGGTCAAAATCGGCCCTGCCCCGGGGGTCATTGGTTTTCGTTATATGTATATAGTAATAACTTTAAAAAAATTTCTTCTAGCAATTGACAAATGCTAGAGGTTAGATATTTTGCATGAAACATTGTGTAGTGAACCTCTAGCAAGATTGCTCAAATTATAGCACTGGGGTCAAAATTGCCCCCGCCCCGGGGGTCATTGATTTTCAATATATACATATAGTAAAAAATAAAAAAATCTTATTGTCTGTAGGTACAAGGTACAAGGCTTCAAAAACTTAAAATACCTTCTTGTAAATGCCCAAAAGGCCTAGAGCTTAGGTATTAATGCGGTGGCATAGCATTTTTCTCAAATGCAATCTTGTTTGTACTTAATTTTGTAATTTAAAAGTACCGTAGTAAATAAGTATAAAAGTGAGATCAAGTTTTCCAATGTTAAAACTGTCTGTTTTGGGTATATTATAAACATTTGCATTTATCTAATGGTAGAATTGGATCAAGAATGGAAATCATTATTTAAGCAAAAAAAAAGTTCTGTAAGCTAAGTTAAGTATTATGAGTAAATAAAGTGATATGAAAAGAAAACTTGTTTATATAATAGTAATGCTTTCACGAAATTTAGTGAAAATGTAAAGTAGGAAATTCTTTATCTTTTAGATCTATCAATCATATTTCATTTGCAGTTTTATAATATAGTAGGTGACACCTTGGCAAATTCATTGATAGAACTTCTTAAAACAGCTCATGAATACTTTGTTAAGCAATTTTCTGACCTGTTTTCATTTATAATTTATGTGTGCGTGTGAAATAGCAGGCACTTTTTCTTTAAAGGCAAAGCTCTTCATATTAATTTTTTTATAAATAAAGCTTGATTGTAAAATTTGTGAAAAATAAGGTTTATTGAGCCAGTTACACTGTTCACACTTTTTGCTAAATCATGAGATATGAACATAAGAATTTAAGAATAGCATGTTTGTACAGTTTGTAAAAAGGTTTAGGTATATTTTGCTAGTTATAGGTGTTCATGCTTTAAAAACATAACATTTTGAACAGTTTATATAATCATGGAGATAATTATGTTTAGAGAGTATAAAACATATGAGCCGCGCCATGACAAAACCAACATAGTGGGTTTGCGACCAGCATGGATCCAGACCAGCCTGTGCATCGCCGCAGTCTGGTCAGGATCCATGCTGTTCGCTTACCAACTCTATTACAAGTAGAGAAACTGATAGCGAACAGCATGGATCCTGATCAGGCTGGTCTGGATCCATGCTGGTCGCAAACCCACTATGTTAGTTTTGTCATGACTCGGCTCATATAGTTGACAATGTGAATGCTTTAATAGTCATCTAAAACATTAATCTTATTCCTGACAAAATTACAAAAAGTAACATAAGTTTACCATCTTATTTTAAAAAAAAAAGAGATAAATTAAGTGAAAAATTTATATCAGTTAAATGGAACAACAACAAACCTGTTTTCATCAACTAAAGAATAAGTATACATATTTCACCTTTATGTTACCATAGAAGTGCTGAGGAAGAACTAAAGTTTTGAAATGATAACAAACAAAAGCAAAGATAGGCATATTTGGAAGAAAACAAATGATGGTCAGTTGAAACACATATTTCTCATTTTTGATGAAATAAAAAGAGGGTTTAGAAAAATCATTTTGGTCATACATCATCGGGGCATTGCTTTGTCTTCAATACATGTATCTAGATAGAATACTTGAACATATATGCAAAAAATTAAGGAAGTTTACCTTCAAAATTCAGAAAAAAAAATTTTAAGTTGTAAAGCTACCTTATTTTACTCATTTTACACTAAAAATATAATTAATGCTGCAAATATCTTAGATATTTTTTTTGTTTTGGCTTGTGTAAGTTACTTCCTGTTCACAGAAACTACCTATATCTGGACAAAATATTTAGACATTTCTTTTACTCTGTTAGTACAATGTAATGGGTTAGAATTTTGATGATTAAAAACAATAAATTTCTGTAATATTGTGCAAAATGTGTTTACAGTTTTTAGGATTGTGAAAATTAAAAAATTTCATAAACTTGAAGTATATTTCTCTCAAGTTAGATTTTACAAGATTTATTTTACTCACCTGGAGGGAAATATTCTTACTCTGTAAAGGACCATTCAGTGCGATCTTAGAAAATATTTTTTGATTTTCTGTAACATCATTGGAAGTATAATGTTAAATCTTGCACGAAGGTTATAAAGAAATTCTCCAAGCTCAATCTCGGGTATTTGATTGGTCAGAAATTGTCACAAAATTGTATATTGACCAATGGAAATCCTGAGATTTGAGACAGAACTTAGAAAAAAGTTTTATAACCTCAGGCCAGATGCATGTACATGGATGATGGAGTAAATTACATTTGAATAACATATTTGAGCCGTGTCATGACAAAACCATTGGGTTTGCAACCAGCATGGATCCAGACCAGCCTGCTCATCCGCGCAGTCTGATCAGGATCCATGCTGTTCGCTTACCAACTCTATTACAAGTATAGAAACTGATAGCAAACTGTATGGATACTGATCAGACTGCGCGGATGCGCAGGCTGGTCTGGATCCATGCTGGTTGCAAACCCATTTTGTTGGTTTTGTCGTGACGCAGCTCAATTGCACTCAGTTTTGTATTGCTAGGACAACTGTACTTCTGTAAAATATATAGTGGAATAAATTAAGTATAATAGAACCATCACCAGAAATATGCTAAAATATATTGTATAATCATTAATGTATACATACATATGGACCTTTTGAACTTTACCATTCCAATGTTTTGATTTAAGCAATAAAAAATTTGCAGACTTTAGTGTGTGTTTTTATTCACTTTGCAGTTGGTGGTATATAATGTACAGCTCATGTGACTAGATGCAAAGAAAAGCAATGGCAGAAACAATGAGATTCATATGACTGAAAATATTTTGCTTTGTCGAACTATATGACTGTTAGAATGTACTGCTGTTAGAATGTATGGCTGTTAGAATGTAAGACTGTTTGGATGTATGGCTGTAATACTATACGCCTGTTAGAATCTACGACTGTTATACTATACACCTGTTATAATGTACTAGTATGCCTGTTAGAATGTATGTGTGTTAGAATATACGACTATTAGAATGTATGCCTGTTAGAATATAGAATGCATGTCTGTTAGAATATATGCACGGGGGCGTCTATGGCCGAGTAGTTAAGGTTGTTGACTTCAAACCACTTGCCCCTCACTGCTGTGGGTTTGAATCCGGACAGGGACTTTGGATTCTTTCATGTGAGGAAGCTATCCTGCTAGCATACGGAACGTCGGTGGTTCTACTCAGGTGCCCGTTCGTGCCTGAAAAAATGCACGGAGGGGCCCCTGAGGTCTTCCCTCACCAGTAAAGCTGGAACATTGCCAAATGATCTATACTGTGTCGATGTGACGTAAAACGTCAAAAAAAAAAGAAGAAGAATATACGCCTGTTAGAATGTATGCCTGTTAAAATATACGACTGTTAGAATGTACGCCTGTTAAAATATAGGACTGTTAGAATGTACGCCTGTTAAAATATAGGAATGTTAGAATGTACGCCTATACGACTGTTAGAATGTACGCCTGTTAAAATATCGGAATGTTAGAATGTACGCCTATATGACTGTTAGAATGTACACCTGTTAAAATATAGAACTGTTAGAATGTACGCCTGTTAAAATATAGGAATGTTAGAATGTATGCCTGTTAAAATATAGGACTGTTAGAATTGACGCCTGTTAAAATATAGGAGTGTTAGAATGTACGCCTGTTAAAATATAGGACTGTTAGAATTGACGCCTGTTAAAATATAGGACTGTTAGAATGTATGCCTGTTAAAATATAGGACTGTTAGAATGTACGCCTGTTAAAATATAGGAGTGTTAGAATGTACGCCTGTTAAAATATAGGACTGATAGAATGTACGCCTGTTAAGATATAGGACTGTTAGAATGTATGCCTGTTAAAATATAGGAATGTTAGAATGTATGCCTGTTAAAATATAGGACTGTTAGAATTAACGCCTGTTATAATATACAACTGTTAGAATGTATGCCTGTTAGAATATACAACTGTTAGAATGTACGACTATTAGAATGTATGAGTGTTAGAATGTACGGATGTTAGAATATACACATGAAAGAGGGGATCCATGTATTTAAGAAAGAAAAACGTGTTTGACGAAAGTTTTATTGAAAGTTTGATTATTGTGTCAAAGTTTCAGTTATCACTAAAATCTATCAGGGGAGACGACTCAGTTATGTCTGTATGCTAGTATTTTTTCACAAGTTGAGCCAATATTGTTGATTTCTTCCCACATTTTGTTGATTATAGGTCACAAATTTTGTACATTTGATGAGGTCATGTGCACTAAGTGACGTTGTACCCGATACAGGAATCTTGAACAATCGACATCCATAGATAATGTTGGGTAATTCATTTCAATTGGGTTATCTCTATAAACAAACTTATCAACATATCACATGTTAACCTTTGACAAGATCAGGTATACATTGTTTTATGTCTACACTCAGAGATATTACCGATAACTGATTTGATTAAATTGACTTATTATTTTGTTTATAAATCGGTTATTTGCATTGATGGGTTATTCTCGGGTCTAATTTCATCATTTTTCTCTTCACGGGGCTTTTGTAAATTTCACTTTTACATCGTTACTGGCTATATGGGTGCGAGCTTTTATTCTATTCTTGGGCGGTAGATCTTATCTTGAACAAAAATGTATTTAAAAAAATATTTCATAGAATTGAATTTATGACATTGATGCAGCTTCAATTTTCTTTAGACGATAATGTCATGAAGTAAATTAAAGAATGCTACCGATTTTGAAGAGTGAGACTAAAAAATTATATACAATAATGAATGAAAAATGTAAGAATCGGCGAAAAAGGCGATATTTTTTTCATTTTGTGATCATGATTTCTGCAAGCATCCAGAGGTACTGCTCCAACACTGTATTGTGCTGAAAACGATTTTTCAAAGTCTAAACCATCTGTACGTAAAGAATGAACGCTGCTATGATGTACGGAAGTCTATTTGAAATTCTATTTGAAATTATAACTTTTTAGTGTCGCCTAATACATAACTGATGGAACAGGAATAAAACGGTGGAATTACTCCGCTTATAAAGGTTTTAGACAAAATAAGTGAACACGCGTGGCATATATAGCCTTTTTCCATATTTTACTGATATATAAATAACAAAACAATACTCGTATAAATACATTTTTTTTTACACTACTACTCAAAATTGGAAAAAAGGAAATAAATAGTGAAAATATGATACAACAGGGGTATAGTCTTGTACAAACATGCAAAAAACCTTCTAATCGGGAAACCTTTCTAATACGAACTTTTCTTCTGGTCCGGGCGAGTTCGGATTAAAGAGGTTCCACTGTATTCTACTTTATCCGTATACATTTATTTAATTATAGATTGTTTATCTATCAATGATAACAAATCAGCTTCGATAAAATTGTTATTTACATTTATTTTTAGACACATTTGATTAAGGTTAATTCCTGGACTGTTTTCCGGACTAACCAGTTCTGATGTCATTTGTAGGAAACATTACCGTGCCCAAAGCAGTACTCGTATGTGGATATTATATATAAGAAATAAATAATACAAATTAACATATACATTGCATATACAATTACATTGTCAAATCTCACGATAAACTTTCTTCTGAAAGCATATTGGTATTTAGACACCGGGCCAAATTTATTGTCTTAATCAGATTTTCTTTCATTCAAATCAGTACGGAATTCATTGCGGCATCCGCCAAAAGCTACAATATATATAGGCATCCGCCAAAAGCTACTTAATGAATATCAAATAAAATAATCTCAAATAACGTTTGTAAATGTACATGTATTTACATTAATTTGAATATGTTTTGCTCTTAACGAGTATTGCACCTGTCCCATTCCTTGGATAAACAAAAGTTTATCTATTCCTTCTTAATTCCCCCATTCTCAGATTTATTTTTGTTGGCATCTTCAAAATTCCAGTCTACTGGGTTAATCATTTGAACTGTTTTCTTGTAAGTCCAAAATGGCGTCATTATGAATGTTACAAGGAATAGTTGCAAATAAAAGGAAATAAACATGGCCGTCGGCATGGCGGACCAAATACGATCCCAGTTCAAGTAAGTATGGTACCACATTGAACATTCTACCACGGAACGGAGGTGGAAAGTGTGAACGAGGAAGAATTGGTTGGCTTTCCACAGGAATGTCTGTGCTAAATCGCATTTCAACAGTGTCCAACATAGGCAGCTGAACGGAGTACTCATTTCGAGAACGAGTCCGCGGCAACCAAAGTAGTGCGTACTCCCGAGATATATCAACAAGGAATATCCAATCAAAGATATCCAGTGGTGAAGATTAAGGAGTACATTAAATTGCTTGTAATATATGTCAGACCACATTAGCATCGAACATTCAAATATAAAAAATCCTACGGTTATCGACATTGCGAAATGACTCGTTGGTGTAGTTGCGTAAACGACATCTTTCTCTAACTCCGTGTCGATGAAAAGCGCCCAGATGCCTATGACTATGCAAAATAGTCCGTATACGGCCCTCACGATAGCTAGATGCCAAAATATCTTCTCTTTCATTCTCAATATTCTGTATGGTTTAAGGACGGCTGACAATACTGTGGAGACGACATAAACGCAGCAGAAGAACACGAACGAGAAAAAAATGAGCTTCAGTTTGACGGACGTCTTCTCAAACTCAAAATCCGCTAAGGAAGGATGGATGAATTCCGCTAAAACCATTTTGGAATCTGTTGTCTGGCTTACCTGAAAGAGAGTTCCAAATTTTAAAAACTGCAAAAATCAATTAGAAATAAACATTCGTAAATTCTAAAAGAAAGTAAAGCCATTTTAGGGCTGGGAGTCTTAGATCGCAAGACAATATTTTCTTATTCGTCTAGTCTACTTTGTTTGTCGTTACCGAAGTAACCTGCCATTGCAGAAGCCTAGCTAAGATCATCCGTGTCAGCATACGCTTTTATAAATAGTTCAAGTATACATACTTTAACTACTCTTGTCTATGATACGAGATCACGCGCGTCTAGTGGACTTTCATAGACTGGCTAAGAGACATTTAAAAGACTGGCTACCGTGTTGTTAAAGTATTGGGGTCAAATTATTTGACTATTTTGCTTTATAGGTTAACGTCGGCACATAAACAAAACTCTTAGATTTTGACAGGAGTTTGTGGTCTTGTTATTGATCTAAGAATAATTTATTTTGTTTTTGTTTGTTTGTTTGACTGACTGAGTTGAGAGGCAGACATCTTAACCATTAGCTATAGGCCGCCGCTCCCCGTAAAGGGGAATAATTCATATTGGTTAAATTATGTCTAAAATGCAACTTCGCCACAAAAATGGAGCCTTGCATTTCAAGCACACCACTTAAATATCGCCTTTTAGTTTAGTACTTTTAATCTCGAAAACCAGATGTTCTAATATGTACAACTGGGGAAGTCCATTGCACTAAATTTTGGGTAACATCGCAAGAAATCTCGGTATCACGTGTTGTAATATGATTTATTATTGCTGATACAAATCTGTCCCTAAATGTTTTTATGTTAATGTAATTGAGTTGTATACATATTTTGGAGAATCAGATTAACTGCTTTCCGCGTAACAAAAGAAGTGAATTTTGCATATATAGTAATCCATAGCAAAAAATGGTAAAATATTGCAGAAGAGGACATTAGGATAGAACAAGATCTTTCAACTAGACAGGAAGACTCTGAACGTTTTGAGACCTTTACATATGAGAGATATGTGGATATATGTATTAACCATGGTACATGTATGTTTATATGTTTGTCTGATAACTTTGTTGATAAAATTATATAAAAAGTCATGGGGTGATCAGTTTTAACGTCATCAGTTGAACAGAAATAATCTAAATGTCACAGTGACACGGTGACATTTACTATCATAGTTTCTCTACAGGCTAAACATATATTATATACATCGTATATACTAAAATATACCTATACCTATCTCTGTATGGAAAAAAGGTGTAAGACATGAGATCTTTTTCTGAAAGTCGAAGACACGATAATTGGCCAATGTATCCAGTCTTCGTGTCGTCGTGTCTTCGCCCATGATAAAGTGGCCAATTATCACATATTAGAGTCACATTAGAGTCAAACAATGGCATGGTAAAAGAAACCTTCCTACTATCACATTGTTATCTTATTTTATTTATTTATTTAAATAATATTTTGAATTGCAGTAAAAGAAAACTTTAAAGCATGTAGAGAGTGGTCTAATTACAAAGAGCTGTCAGAGGAGACAGCCACGCTCGACTAATTAAATACTGGACGCAGTAAAGGAAGACAAATCTATGGGAGAAACAAATCAATTATGATATAAATATATTTTTGTATCAGTGTAAAGAAAGCAATAAAATGTTCAATATTTTTATACCACATAATATGCATGTGACCATGCCAATACAAGTTAAACAGACATTTCTATGTTCTAATGGAAAAGTCGACAGTTTCAAATCTGAAGTCAATCACTTCAGTAACAAAGATGATAAGAGCAAAAATTATATAAAGTTTTTAAAATGAATTTATAAGTTCACAGAGAAATAACTCAGGGAATAAAGATGGTAGAGTTATAAACCTTGTCATGCATGATGTGAGTAATGGCAAAGAACAATTATCTTAAGTCTAGAGTAGATATCATTTATAGTAACAAAGATGATATTTATCCTGAATCAATAAAGAAGTTACAAAAAAAAATAATGAAAAGTCCAAGTTTTACGGGAAGATAATTCGGAAAATACTGACGCTAGGGTTCTGACCATTGTCATATAATTAGTATATGGGAGTTGATATGAAACCAGATTTTAAGTTTAAATTAAATCCTTTGAAAAATAAGTTAGTTTAGAGCAAAAAAATAACAATTTTTATTTTAAAAAATCCAAGTTCAAGGGATTATAATAATTCTGGAAATATTCATGCTAGAGTTATGAATCTTGTCAGGGGTAATAATTCTCAAAAATGTGTGCTAGAGTTATGAATCTTGTCACACATCATGTGGTTGATGATAAGGAACATAAATATGAAGTTTGAAGTACATAAATTCTTTAAGAAATATAGAAGTTATAGTGAAAATAACATTTTTCAAGGGAACAGCTAAGTTCATGGGAGAATAATGCTGAAAATATTGGTGCTAGAGTTATGAACCTTGTCACATAAGATGTGGTTAATGATAAGGAACATATATTTGAAGTTTGATATCTTACGAAGATATGATTATATTCAACTCGTTCAATAAATTTAGTATTAAACTACACTCATTTAATATCCTCTATTTATGAAATACATTTATAAACAACTGCATAATACATATGAGAAAAATGTATATTACATCTGAAATATAAAGATTATAATAAAACCAACAACACTTGCATTTAATGTATGCATTAAAATATCTTACAGTTTGACGTTGTTGTTTTTTGTTGTTGTTGACAAAAAATTGAAATTACTTGAAATATTATAAAATGCATAGCTTCAACTCATGACAAATTAGCATCTAGAAGATATTATTTAATAGTTCATACTCACAATGCTCGGATATATCCTAGAATAGAAAGAAAATGGAAACTAGAATATCTTAGTGAAAAACTATTTTCAAAGCTTTCACTTTCATCATACTTCCCTCTTCACTGCCTATATACACATCAACTGAATGTACGTCTTTGTGTCTGTACGTACATGTCACGTGCGCAGCATATGACACCCGATTTTAAAGATAAAATACGTCGGTTACATGTATACAATAAGTGATAAAATTGTTGATGAGATTATTCTATATTTAGTATTTAGATATAATAATATTTTATATTAGTTATCTATACATGTTGGAACATGCAAGTAAAGGTTAATTTTACATGTTTATTTGTTATAATCAAAGTACACACGTCAGAACAATAAAAAAAAGAAAAAACAAGAGCACCGCTAGGCGGAGCATTATATGCCCGAAAGTGTTTTTTTTATATCAAGGATGAAGCATTTGTAAGACATTACATAAATTAAATAAAGTATTACCTCCTTCCAATAGCAATCCTCCTATAAAGTTTGAATATTGTGGGCCAAATAGAAATTAAGTTATGCTCCGGAAACTGTTTTGAGTTTTAAAGTAATAGTGACTTTGACATTTGACCTTGTGACCCCAAAATCAATAGGGGTATTCTACCCAATATGGACAATCATCCTATGAAGTTTGAATATTGTAGGCCAAATAGACCTTAAGTTTTGCTCCAGAAACTGTTTTCAGTTTTAAAGTAACAGTGACCTTGACCTTTGACCGTGTGACCACAAAATCAATAGGGGTCTCCTACCCAATATGGACAATCATCCAATGAAGTTTGAACACTGTGGGCCACATGGAACTTAAGTTATGCTCCGGAAACTGTTTTCAGTTTTAAGGTAATAGTGACCTTGATCTTTGACCTTGTGACCCCAAAATCAACAGGGATCTCCTACCAAGTATGGACAATCATCCTATGAAGTTTGAACACTGTGGGCCACATGGAACTTAAGTTATGCTCCGAAAACTGTTTTTAGTTTTAAGGTAATAGTGACCTTGACCTTTGACCTTGTGACCCCAAAATCAATAGGGGTCTCCTACCCAATATGGACAATCATCCTATGAAGTTTGAACACTGTGGGCCAAATGGAACTTAAGTTATGCCCCTGAAACTGTTTTCAGTTTTAAGGTGGTAGTGACCTTGACCTTTGACCTTGTGACCCCAACATCGATAGGGGTCTTCTACCTTATATGGACAATCATCCTATGAAGTTTGAATGTTGTGAGCCAAATGAAACTTAAGTTATGCTCCGGAAACTGTTTTCAGTTTTAAGGTGATAGTGACCTTGACCTTTTACCTTGTGCCCCCAAAATCAATAGGGGTCTTCTACCCAATATGGGCATTCATCCTATGAAGTTTGAACACTGTAGGTCAAATGGAACTTAAGTTATGCTCCGGAAACCAAATTGCTAACGGACGGACGGACAGACGGACGGACGTTCTCACAGGACAGTAATTATGTGGCTACTCTATTGTTCTCTCTATTGTTCTTTTTAGCCACCCAAAAGAAAATAGCCACATAAAAGCATTACGGAATGAATGACATCAAAGAGAAAGAACAGTTACCTATTGTCCCTCTAGCCACATAATTACTCTCCTGTGAGTGCGGATAGACAGACAGACAGACGGACGGACGGACGGACGCCAGGGGGTATAACATAATATGCCCGAAATTTTTTCGGGCATATAAAAATACATTGTCTTGTAAATGTCGACAAACTCATTAAATATGTTAAAATGTTTAAAAGAATGATGTATTAATGAAACTAAAGAGATTTTAATTTTGGGTAGGTGGCATTATCGGCTAATATTGCACGATGCAGCGTTCATAAAGGCAGCCTCAAGATTCGTTTGCCGCCAAATAATTTAAGACAATTGACAAATTTATCCAACAGATGTACATTTTAAGTTAATGTGGAAGTTCGTTATTAATATTGACAATTGATTGCGCATTATCTTAAATCGATGTCTCGAGGCCGACTTGAAGAGGAGCGGTGGCCTTGTGGTTACGGTATCTGCCTCTCAACCCGTGTGCTCGTTCAATAAGTACTTTAATCAAGAAAATATCTCTTCATTACAGACACCAGTACTGGGTTAGTTCCAAAAAGCCGGCCCGATAGTGATTAATATTATGAAATTGTTTCACTATCGAACTAATGAGAAAAATTGTTAAATCTAACGAAAGCACTTCTGTTAAATAAGTAAACAGTGGTAATAAACGCTTCGTGGTGGCAATGACGAGAAATGAAATTAAGCAGCAAGTGGATGTGTACCACAATATAACCATAAATTAAATTGTATCTGAAAAAAAAACATAAACCAAATTTTGTCATGCCGGCGCCCGGGTGAGTTGCATAGTCCCATTATTCTTGGAATAGTCAGCGAAAATGTAGTTAGAAATATCTGGTAATTACAAAGCATGTAAATCGTTTCTTAACAATAACAATTATAGTAATTCGCAGGGTAGAACTCTGGAATACAAACCGATATACTATACCTATAATACACTTACTTCAGAGATTGATTGATTGATTAATTGATTGATTTCGGCTATTTCAGTTTTTTTTTGTTTTTTTTTGTTGACTTTTGTTTTTGGGTTGTAAATCATATTATGACCATGAAGATATACAACAAAATTCCACAATACAAAATCATTAAATGCTTGATCAAAATATTTTTGTCTGTCATCAAAGATGCTACTAAAAATGTATATACATGTACATTTATGAACATATTTTAATTAGCGGCAACGGCAGCGCGTTTCTATAAATAAGTCATACCTGTGAAGAATGATTACTTAGTAGAGTTCTTAAAAATATTCACCATGGACCTCTACACACTTTCCCAGACACAGAAACCATTCCGAAAAAGCATTTTTGATCTGTCCTTTGGGTAAACTGTTTATACATTGGTAGAGAACGCTTCGGGTGTCACTGCGGGTTTCGAACCGGCGATCGCGAAGGCAAGATTTCATGTACGGATTTTACCAAAAAGTCACAAGGAAAAAGGTCAGGACTTTAATCGAAATGTAACAAAACCTCAGTTCTTTTCCCCTCTAAATAAGCTTGTGTTCTTTGTAATGTAGTGATTCACTACGGCAGTGAGAACATAATCATGGTAAAATTTTCTAGTGACACTACCCCTCTCCGGAATAGCGACACGGGACACTATACCATACTGTCAAAAATAGAGCGTACATAACTCTTTTATCGAGCAACAACTGGGCGAACGCTGTTTTCACCTACCCGAGTTTATTGTAGGGCCCAAGAAAAAATAAAGCTACGTTTCCCTTGTGGCAACTTCTCTCGGGCGTCTAGGGTCTCGATCTTTGGACCTAGTCAATAAGGCCGAGGTCTTTTCAATCCGCTCCCTTTTCTGGTCAGAGGTTAGCAAATGCGGGATCCAACAGGTGCACACTTTACTTAGCTTAACTTTTCTTTCAAGATGGAAAACACATATGATGCACTAAGGCCCGAAATGCCACTTATCTCATCCACGGTATATCTTTCATTTTCATCAACTATGGCTTTGATAGTTCAGAGGTAGTGGAAATTGGCAGCCCAGAGCGGGAATCATCTTTAACATTAGTTCTACCTACCTTGAACATTAACACCCACCTGGCAATAGTACGATATGGAATGGCATTTTCTCTAGATTCGTTTTTATTTCTGACGCGCATTACCCAATAACCAATGAGTTTTGCACTAAGCTCTTTGCTCTCTCTCAAACCGATATGCAACTCAGCCATGTTAACAACCAGTTCACAAAACCCTATGTATTTAAATGGTATACTCAAATTTTACTGCACGTGTGCGAAAATAGACTGTTGGTTAGAAAAAAATCAATAATCTTTCCAGCTTGCTTTCACCTGCAAATCATGGTTAAATTGAGTTGTTGCCACTAATTCAAATATGCCCCTCATACATTGTATTTAACCCGATGCAAATTACGCTATTCAAAAAGTCATAAAACAGTTCCTATTGCTTCATTTTTTACTATGATTGTCAACAAAAGCTTGTCAGCATCAAATTATACAGACAACTTTAGGGTAGAATAATACTGAACAATACAGTTATACTTTTTATCCAGTTTATTCAACAATAAAACTAACAATAAATATTAAATGTAAGAATTGTGGGAGTATAAAACATTTAAAAGTTTTTAAATATGAAACAAGTGTAGAACAATTTATAAACCATATATCACAAAGCTATAAGATATGTTAAACATTTATATGATTCATTATATGAATTTGATGGCATAGTTAACAAGAGCAATAGACAGTAGCTTTGTCCCACAAATCAAAACAACAGTAACAATTGAATTGAAAGTAAACTAGCCAAATTCTACCAGCCCCCACCCTCACCAACTACATAATAAAACATGCCTTCAGGCTTCTGTATTTAACAAAAGAACTTTAACTCAATGGATTTCAAAGAATTTTTTTTTTTGAAATGCTTACACACATTCTAACATGACTCTTGATTTTGTCACTATACATAAAGAAAAAATTACTGCAGTATGTAAGATGTTATTTTAGCATTACATGAAAAGAAAACATAATTATAACATAAAAAGTATAAATAAAGATGTGTTATTATTGTTGCTGTTTAACAATCTTATTGGAGGGAGGGAGAACATAACAGCCACATACACATGTTTTTCACAACCAGCGTTTATTGGCAGTTTAACACTGATTATTTTCTTCTTTAATATGTATTGTGATATGAGTCATGTTAGAATTCTTAAATAAAGGCAATAAAAAAAACTGATATTACATGTACTTTCTGGTGTCTCCTTGTTATGGGCGTACATTAAAAATGATGATATAAAATATTCCATTAACTAATTAATAGGTATCTAACAGGTATGGCACGCGGCTTGTCCCTTTTGCTTTATTTTCATAAATAAAAAAGCAACAAATTTTCCACTACAAATATACTTCTGAAATAAGTTCTGATATTGACAAATGTCTTAACTTTAAATAAAAAAGCAGGTATTGAAAATTTTACCTGGTTCTTAATTCTTCACTTTTCTTTTAACATTTGACCTCAATTAATTTTCATTTTAAAAAAGGCGTTATAACAGTTATATCTGTGTAACAGGACAGTAGCCTCGATCATTCTTACTTCTTGATGGTTAAAACAAAAGTCATTAAGAGGGTAATAATTTAGTAAATAATCTATTTAAGAGTAATGTTACTAGGTCAATAACCTACAATATATCATTGCATGCCAATATCTATCATCCAGGTTCACAAATTCACTTGCAAATTCATAAATAGGGGTTAAGTAATTTTCTATTGCTTAAACCATCATTTTATATCAAAAATATTCATTACAGTAACCAAGCCTTTACAATTAGTGTAAACGGTTGCCATTTTAGTGCATGTATATAATTATTAACTATACTTGAGTATATTTCACTGCTTAGAATGAGTAGAAGGTGTAATAATAAGTTAGTATGTACATGTATAAATTGTATTGTCACCGGCTTATAACTGATGTTAATTTAACTTTAAATTCTTTGTACAATTAACATATACTAATATAATAACTAGGCCTATCTGTTTATCTCAAATTCATAAAAGTAAGGTGTTTATTAGTAAAAACATTTAGAAAAACAAATAAATAAAAAAATATAAATATGCACATGTTCAAAGCCATATCAGGTGCACTTCCGCACAAACGGACACCTGTGTAGAACCACTGACATTCCGTAAGCTAGCAAAATAGCTTCCACACATGAGAAAATCCCTGTCAGGATTCGAACCCACAGCGCTGAGGGGCAAGTGATTTGAGGCAACCCCGCCACAGACACCCTCTGTATAGCAGCAGGTCATTCTGGAAATCCATGCAGGGTGACCAATCACTATACTGCAGGTAAATTAACTTCAAATTTAATCTTGACATCCCTACATTTGATAATGCACAGTTCCAAAAATAGAAACTGGACAAGTCCATTAAAGAAATTCAGGGGGATCAGGATCAAAAACACATTACTGATTAGCAAACTTGATTAAAAATTATGCATTAAATATTGCAAATATATGTAAATGTTTATCTTTTCAATCTATCAAATCATGTCACACTTTTATAAACAGGTAAAGGTCTAGTTCAAGAACCAAATAAGGCAGGCATATTTTTTAATTCTTCATTTAAATATTTTTTCAAGAATGCTGTGAAAGACGTACTCAGACATACTTGGATTTCGTAACAGTTTATTATGCATATGATCACTTTTGGTAAACATTGAATACTAGGCTGGACATATCAAGATAATGTAGGACCTTAAAATTGGAATTCATATTTTCCTAATATTATGACTTACTAACTTTAAAAAAAACACAAAAAAAAACAACAACAAAAAACCTGGTAAAAACAACAAATATGGTATGCATGGGACATGATTATCACAAGTGGATAGTTGAACAGATGATATATTCGGAACTCTGCAAATGTTGGTTTTTCCCATCTTATACAAACAAACATTACCATTAAAGCTTCAAGAATCACAATCATTCAAAACTATGGATGCTGATTTGGTATGCTTTTGTGCGTCTAGTTGGCACTAGTAACAACACAACACAGCCCAAATGGCGCGTTGTCGGACTTTTGTCTTGTTCTGTCCCTAGTGACAACACGACAAGGCGCCAAACGGCACGTTGTCACGCTGTCGTCTTGTCTTCCTGTCTCAAGCGCGGCACTGTCACACTGTCATATGTTAGCAAAGCAATTAAAAAAATAATATCTCAGCTTATCATCTAAAATCATATTTATAAAAATACATGTACAAAGTTCACTTCCAAAAATAGCTAAATGTATAATCTGCACAAATGAAAATACAAAAACAAAAGGCAGTCATATTGTAATCATATATACATACAATTGAAATAAAGCATTACTATGTAAGCATATACATTAAAGACATTTAATATATACATGAGATACTGATAAATGAAATCTTTGTCAAACATTTGCAAGTCAAATTTTATAGACAAGTTTCAAATGGCCTGTAAGTTTGTGACAGTTAAAAAATAATTAACAAATTGCATGGATCCTTTCTAAATAAAAATTTCAAACCAAAATGCCAAAATTTAGTCATTCAGCTTCTGAATTAAGATAACCATGTGAATAAAGACCATTTTTCAACAACCATTTATTGATTTTATAGAACTGAATAGAATGGAGTAACACCAAATAAAGAATGGCCACTTTTTGTCTCTTAACATGTTTGATTATATTACTTTCAAAACTCAAATGATAATTTTGTTAACTACAGGAACAAATATATAGCCTCACACACTTTAAAGTAAAACATGATTACAACTGTATGTTTATACCAGAGTAAACTTAAAAGATTGTCAAACAGTGATACTTAAAATCACAGCAAAGTTTGGAATGTAAACACAAAAGAAACAGAAAATAACTCATTCAAAATGAAATGTAAGTAGAATACCAAAAAAATCTATAATTTTTATGTACATGAGAAACATGGTCAACATTGTCATGATAGAATAAAATAAATCAAAGTCGGTCACAGACAAAAATTATCAGTCAATTACCTGCATTAAAAGCACCACTGCAGTTTTAACCCTTATCTGACTAAACTTTCACACTAAAATCCTGGTCTTCTCTAGAATTTAGAACATTTAATCAATAGTTTAAGAAATTTCAGTATCAAAATTTATACTAACATGGTGCACACAACAGTAAATTTATTATGCTGTTTGTTGTAAAATTCAGGGAATAAAATTGCACTGCTCTGGAAATGAATCCTAATTTCTAATACCATTCATACTTCATACCAGTTTAAAATAGTAAGGAAAGTTTTGTATCAGTTTCTAAGATTATTTGTTGTTCTTTTTCCCCCTTTAAGGTACAGATTTTTCTCTTCAATCAGAATTCACCTATATTAAGGTCACTTTAAAGAAATTCTTAACAGGCAAAATCTGGAAAAAAATGTATGACAGAAAAAGATTGTATTTGAAAAACAATATCCAAAACATTACAAGAACTCTACAGTTATAGGCATACCAACTTCACACAATGAGACAAAACACATATTTACCAGGAAACTGCCAATGTTACATTGACATTCAAGTACTGCAAAATCATTATTTTTCGTGGGGAACTTATTTTCATGGTTTTTTGTGTATAGATCAATCCACAAATTTAAGATCCAACAAAATTTCATTTCGTCTGCTGTTAAGATTATTTTTTGCAAATTTAAGAACCCATGAAAATGTTCTTTGTGAGAAAACCCACAAAATTAAGTGAATTCACAATATGTAATAATGCACCAGACAAAACAATATTACTATTCCTCTGTTATCAATAGACTTTTTGCTTTGTCATTAATCTCATTCACACTTCTGTTTTAAAAAAAAAAAGTCTATAATTTGATCTTACTATTCATATAGATTAATTTTTATCGACCAAAACAAAGACACCCTCCGGAACAACAACCCTTCTTCGACTCGGCCGGTGGAACCTGGTTTTGTGTAAACGCGAGGAAAATTTGTTCAAGCGTTGTTTGGTGCACAGAGTAATCATCTACACAAAATTGATCTTTTGCTCTCTCCATCACACCGAAGATTTGACCAAGTTTTGCGTTATCATCTGGTATACGGAAATGGATATACCCTTGGTTGTCATCAAAGACCTCCAAGTCTGGGAACGTCAGCTTCAAGAAGTCTATAAGTCCCTGACTACCAGACACAAAGCCTGCTTCATTCAAACCCATGCGGCAAAACAATGTGTAACCATGACCAAACTTGTTTTTTAAGTGCTGGGGACTACCTAGACAAACAAATCTTCCGTTGACCATGATAACTATCCTGGTACATAAGGCATCACATTCTTCCATGCTACAATAAAATGTAGGAATCTCAACATTACCACACCACAAATTTCCGTCAGATTGGCTGGGAATATTTACACAATTCTTAATACATTTTTTTTTTTATGTTTGATTTTTTAAATTTTTTTTTAACTTATTTAGATTGGCTTAACAGTGAAATAAATACATTAAAATTTTACTTGCGAAACAAATCAAATTAAATATTTTGTATGAGTTTATAAAATGAACATCTCTGAGAATACTTGAATATATTTCAAAAACTGCATTAAATGCTTCTTCATACACTTATCAACCCTGTATTTTATTGTATGAAACCGAAAGTAATCAACAAGATGTAAATTTGTTGAATTGTATGCCCGCCATGTCATACAAATCATTCTATTGAAGCTTCTTTGTATATAAAGTAAATCAGAAAATAAAGACAATGCAATTATAATGACTTATTGTCACAAAGCCCACAAAATTAAGCAACACCAGGCAAATATATCTCTTATAGTAAAGAAAATGAAGTTTTAAGAAAATTGAACAAACCCATTGTAAGATAAGCATCTAAAAAAAACAAACCCAGACAGACAGACAGACAGACAAGATCATTTCAATACTAGCCTCCTAATATTATCTTTGAACAATCATTCAAGAATTATATTATGTTATAAAGAATCAATGAATATACAACATACCTGTGTGAAGTAAGGACAAGTGTTCGGCCACTAGCTCTGACATCTGACAGAACGTTCCACAACTGTCTACGTGCTCCGGGATCCATTCCGGTGGTTGGCTCGTCCAGGAAAATAAATGGTGGATCACCAATCAAAGCGATGGCTGTGCTCAATTTTCTCTTATTACCACCACTGAATTTAAAGTATAAAAAACATGTTATGATATTAAGATTAACATTGATAGTTTTCACCTACGAACAAATACATCAATCAATCAATCAATAAAATTCGCAGAAAAATAAACAGTTTTTCTAACTTGTGTTAAACAATCCTTGACACGTAAAAATATTCATAATCTATTACTAAGAACATCATAAGTTATTATTCAATTAATAAACTATGACTAACAACATCATAAGCTATTATTCCATTTTAATCTTACCTATAGAAGCCTGCTTGCTTGTCGGCATGTTTCCGCAACATGAGGATGTCTATAACTTGATCCACGATTTGTTGAATCTGATCCTCGGATATACCTCTAAGGCGAGCATACATATACAACGTCTCTGTACCAGTCATCTGATCAATTAATGCATCAAACTGTGGACAATATCCAAGATTCTGCTGTACCTGTATATTAAAAATCAAATCAAATATAAGTTATGACCTGTATTCCTAGAAGTTATTTCGCGTTTTTTTTCTAGCTTTTTTGCAGTCAATACACTTCCACAAATGTTTGTATCAGTGAAACAAGAGGGCCAAGATGGCCCTGAAAGCGCTCACCTGTATATAGGCCCCTGGGCCCAGGCCAATTTTAAACCAGGGGCTTTTATTTGAACAAACTTGGTAGACACCCATTAGAAGATGTTTCATGATAAATTATCAAAGCTCTAGCTCTTTGGGGGTTATATAAGAAGAGTTTTAAAGTTTTACAACATACATATAGGGAAAAACAATGACATCCCCTCGGAGGGGCCAATTTTGACCCCAGGGATTTTATTTAAACAAACTTGGTAGACACTAACTACAAGATATTTCATGCTTAGTCCCTAAACTCTAGCTTTTTTACTATATACATATAAGGAAAATCAATGACCCCTGAGGCAGGGCAAATTTTAACCCAAGGGCCCTTATTTGAACAAACTTGGTACACACCCATTAGAAGATGTTTCATGCTAAATATCTTAGCTCTAGCTCTTTGGGGTATTTAAAAGAAGATTTTAAAAGTTTTTACTATATACAAATAAGGAAAATCAATGACTTCCCAGGCGGGGCCAATTTTGACTCCAGAGCATTTATTTGAACAAACTTGATAGACTCTGACTAGATGATGTTTCATGCCAAATATTTAAGCTCTAGCTCTTACATTTTTCTGAAAGAAGATATTTTAAGGGTTTTTTTTGGTTGCCATGGCAACCAGAGTTCTGCTTGGAATTAAATTCTTTGAACAATTTTTAAAATTGACTACCAAAGGAACATTTCTGTGGAGTTTGGATGAAATTGGCTTAGCGGTTTATGAGGAGATGTCATTTAAAGTAAAAGTTTACAGACGGACGTACCTCGAAATGGTACTCATATGACTTTTCCTTTTATCTTTTTAGCCATTTTTAGTCACACAAGGCTTAAAAAAGACACACAAGTAAAAACGGAATGAATAGGATCAAAGAGAATTAATGTTACCCATTGTTCTCCAAGTCACACAAGTACCTCTGGGTTTGTACTGACAGACGCCGGATGAAAAGCGATCACAAAAGCTCACCATGTCACTTTGTTACAGGTGAGCTTAAAATTGCATGTAACTTTTACTTATGTTTAACTGATACACATTTCAAAGTAAAATTTCACATACATAAATCATAAATATGAATACAATTGTCATTTAACTTTACAGTTGTTTTGAGTAAAGATATCTAAAACTGTTATGGTGGCCATAAACCTCATGAAACTGTCATAAATTAATTGTATTAAGGTCACATTTTGAAATTGTTTATTAGTTCTTCTATGCTGTCTGATCATGATCATATATATATATTGAACTTTTCCCCAAAATGATGAATAAGTTTTTCCAGATTTAAAGTCCATTTATGAACTTTCCAGCTTAACTGGTGGTGGAAGACCACAGGTGTATCGTAAACCAGCTAGATAGCTTTCTCACATGCAAAAAATAGAAAGTCTCTGGATTGATTCAAAACCACAATGGTGAAGGGCTAGTGGTTTGAAGTCAAACAACCCCAACCATGGATTCCCCTTCATTTAAGAACTTAAGCGAGGTAAGGATTAATTCTAAAAATCAACAAAATACCTGCTTGATGTCTCCTTTCACTGAAAATCTATTGAGGTATGCATTGCCAGTGGTTAGAGATTCATCTCCAGTCATCATTTTAAACGTGGTTGTTTTACCCGCTCCATTCTGTCCTAACAAACCAAAACATTCATTTGCTGGAATACCACATGATACACCCTTAACTGCCTGGAACCCTGATCGATATATTTTATTTACATTCTGAAAAAGAAAAAAAAAATTGAACTTTAAATGCTTGCCAATATCTTCTCAATGAATGAATTTCAATGTAAGTGCATTGTTTCTTATTCAGCCCTTTCTAACTTGGCTAAACGAGAACAACTAACTGGATAGCTTCCTCACATGAAAGAATACAAAATGCCTGTCGGGATTCAAACTTGCATAGGTGAGGAGCAAGTTAGAAGTTAACAACCTTTAACACTCAATAAAGGAACACCCTAGGTACTTTGATTATGTATACTTGTTACTTAACTTAACAAGAGCCACCGCCGGGCGGCGGCAACGCTCGACTTTTTACTTTCTCTAAAAGCAAACAAAGGAATGTTTGAACAAAATCTTAACGTTTCCTTTTTATAAAATTAATCGGTCTATTTTGTCACATAAGTTTTGTCTATATATTTTGTATAAATAAATATACTATTATATATATAAATAGAAACACGCAATTCTATAAATAGAAAAATGCAATTCTATAAATAGAAAATTCTAAAAATAGATACACATGGTGTCACTTGGTGGAGTCACGTGGAGGTGAGACGTTGTGGAGACACGTGGTGGAGTCAAGTGGTGGTGTCACGTGGTGGAGTCACGTGGTGGAGTCACGTGGTTGAGTCACGTGGTGGTGTCACGTGGTGGTGTCACGTGGTTGAGTCATGTGGTGGTGTCACGTGGTGGAGTCACGTGGTGGTGTCACGTGGTCAAGTCACGTGGTCAAGTCATGTGCTGGTGGTGTCACGTGCTGGTGGTGTCACGTGGTGGTGACATGTGGTGGTGACAAGGTCTTGTCCTTAAGTATGTTCTGTTATAATATGAAGTTGATCCCTTCAATATAGCAAAGTTACAGCCATTTACAGCAAAAACAATGAAAAGGTCAAGGTCATTAATGAGTGAAGGTCAAAGTCTGTCTGGTTATTTTTAAGTTTTATCCTTGAAGATTATTATGTTCAAGTTTGAAGACAATCCATTCAAAAATAACAAAGTTACAGCCAATAATAGCTAAAAAAATGAAAATTTCAATAATTTGACCTTCATAGTCAAGGTCATTTATGAGTGAAGGTCAAGGTCTGTCTGGTTATTTATAAGGGTTATCCTTGAAGATTATTATGTTCAAGTTTGAAGACAATCCATTCAAAAATAACAAAGTTACAGCAAATAATAGCCAAAAAAATTAAAATTTCAATAATTTGACCTTCAAAGTCAAGGTCATTTATGAGTGAAGGTCAAGGTCTGTCGGTTATTTTTAAGGGATATCCTTGAAGATTATTATGTTCAAGTTTGAAGACAATCCATTCAAAAATAACAAAGTTACAGCCAATAACAGCATGAACAAGCAAAACTTGGACTTTTAACCTTGAAGGTCAAGGTCATTTATGAATGAAGGTCAAGGTTAGTGTGGTCTACTGAAAGGTCTTGTCCCAAGGGTTGTTGTGGCCAAGTATGAAGACAATACACCAAGAAATAAACAAGAGGGCCATGATGGCCCTTGATCGCTCACCTGACACAACCGCATCCAAGCAATGTCTTAAACAAGCATCATGGCCAAGTTTGATGACAACTGAGTCAAACATGTGACCTCTAGTGTGTTATAAAGATTTTTCCATATTTGGGCAATGTGATCTAATTTTTGACCGGACACAACCCATATTCAAACTTGACCTAGAAATCATCAAAACAACCTTCCTGACCAATTTCCAGGAAATTTGAATCAAAACTGCAGCCACTAGCGTGTTAAAAAGATTTTTCTATTTTTAGATCCTGTGACCTAGTTTTTGACCGGACATGACCAATCTTTGCACTTGACCCAGAAATCATCAAAACAACCTTCCTGACAAATTTCCAGAATATTTTAATCAAAACTGCAGCCACTAGAGTATAAACAAGCTTTTTCTATTTTTAGCTCCTGTGACCTACTTTTTGACCTAAGATGACCCATCTTCGAACTTGACCCAGAAATCATCAAAACAACCTTCCTGAAAAATTTCCAGAATATTTGACTAAATACTGCAGCCACTAGTGTTTACAAGCTTTCTCTATTTTTAACTCCTGTGACCTAGTTTTTGACCAGAGATAACCCATCTTCGAACTTGACCTGTAAATCATCAAAACAACCTTCCTGACAAATTTCCAGAATGTTTGGATGAAAACTGCAGCCACTAGAGTGTTAACAAGCTTTTTCTATTTTTAGCTCCTGTGACCTAGTTTTTGACCGGAGATGACCCATCTTCGAACTTGACCTAGATATCATCAAAACAATCTTCCTGACAAATTTACAGAATATTTGGATGAAAACTGCAGCCACTAGAGTGTTAACAAGCTTTTTCTATTTTTAGCTCCTGTGACCTAATTTTTGACCGGAGATGACCCATCTTCGAACTTGACCTAGATATCATCAAAACAACCTTCCTGACAAATTTCCAGAATATTTGGATGAAAACTGCAGCCACTAGAGTGTTAACAAGCTTTTTCTATTTTTAGCTCCTGTGACCTAGTTTTTGACCGGAGATGACCCATCTTCAAACTTGACCTAGATATCATCAAAACAACCTTCCTGACAAATTTCCAGAATATTTGGATGAAAACTGCAGCCTCTAGAGTGTTAACAAGTTTTTTCTATTTTTAGCTCCTGTGACCTAGTTTTTGACCCGAGATAACCCATCTTCGAACTCGATCTGTATTTCATTGAGACAATTATTCTGACAAAGTTTGATGATGATCCAATCAAAACTGTGACTGCTAGACTGTTAACAACCCAATTGTTGACGATGAACGACGCACAACGCACAACGACGGACATAGCCCCATCACTATACCTCACCATGACCACTTCGTGGTCAGGTGAGCTAAAAAGTTATGATCCAGGTACAAGTTTGCGGACGGCAATGGCATCGGCAACACCGCCGCGACTATAGCAATACCTCTCCTTTTTTTTAAAAAAAAAAAAGTCGAGCTAAAAACTGTGACATTAGTATTAAAAGACGTTTCCATTTTGTTGTTGTTTAAGAAAACCTATGCAAACAGAGATATTATACTGTTAATGTTTAAAGGATTACATTTAAGCATACTATATTTGAGCCGCGCCATGACAAAACCAACATAATGGGTTTGCGACCAGTATGGATCCAGACCAGCCTGCATATCTGCGCAGTCTGATCAGGTGCCATGCTGTTCGCTTACAAACCCCATAACAAGTAGAGAAACTGATAGCAAACAGCATGGATCCTGATCAGACTGCGCAGATGTGCAGGCAGGTCTGGATCCATGCTGGTCGCAAACCCATTATGTTGGTTTTGTCATGGCACGGCTCATTTATGTTTGCCGACTTACTTTCAAAATGAGTGAATCTGTCTTCATTAGCTGATCAACAGGCGTATCGTTAATACGACGTTTTTCCTCAGCAACGTCACCATCTTCCTGCTGACCTCTAATATCAACCTGTGACCCGACAGCAACTGGTTGCCGGTTTCTAAGCATGTTGGAGAGCCGGGTGAAAACGCCAAATTCAATTAGAAGAACAATAATAAAGTATACCACGCCTTGTAATAACATAAACAAGCATTCCCGACCAATGCCAGGTTTCTCCCAGGCCAGGAAATTATCAAAGAATTCAAAGCAGAAATTTGATGGACAGTGATCTGAAAGAAGAAATTAGTCAGTTGACATGTAGTCATTGAAACTCTGATAGATATGCATCATCATTACGGTTACGGAGATGGATAATTATACATTTTTGTCGGGAAAATCAGAGTTATAAACATTTATTCGTCAAAACAATCTTATGCCTACTAGCTGCAACAAAAGACGAGTCTTATAGAATTCTTCTCCTAAATAGACAATTTAAAAAGGGGAAATCATTATTTTTGTGAATAACATTAAATTTCTGTGATCATTACTTATCTTTAGTTAACATAAAATCCTATTCACTGTGTCTTTGGTTTTGTTTATAAATTTGTCAATTAAAGGTAGAAACTAAAAATTAAAGGTTAAAAACTAAGTCACTATAACTATACTTATTGCAATCGAGCCTTGGAGACAAAAGATGGTTAATCTTTATGGCCAATGATTAACATTTTGCAAATTGTTACAAGACAACAACAAAACACATTTTGTGAAATAAAAGTGATAGCATTTGTTAGGGGCTTAATAGGCCTATACAGAGGATATAGAACGAGTGTAAGTTTAATACTGAATATATTGAACGAGTTGAATAAAATTATATTATGCGAGCGTCTGGTGAGAATAACATTATTTTATTCAACAAGTTCAATAAATTTAGTAATGAACTTACACAAATTTAATATTCTATTTATCATATAACAGAAATCTTTTGAAGTGAAAAAAAATAAATTTTTCATTGGCACGTCTATAGTAAACGCTAATATTTAACATGTCTTAACACTACATTATATAATGAAAATGATGTCACGTCAAAATATATGCACAAACATGCAATACCAGCAAAAGCGGCATGGGTATATGATAAAAATATGTTTCACATACCTGGAAAGCAACATGGATCCTGGCGGTAAGGTTCAAAAGCCTTGATATAAGCACACACTGTTTTATAGTTATATCCTTCACAAGTGTCCTTGTACCCTGCATTTGTATACATGTCCATTAGGGCCAGTCCTAGGTCGTAGTTTGGCAGGAAAATAATAAACACTACTTCTAAAGCTTTACCAATATCCTGTGTGCCCAACTGTGGTATACTGAGGGTGTATGTTGCCAGCAAAAATACCAGACCTGAGTGAAACAAGAACTTCATTAACAGGGAAATAAAACAACGCCAGACCTGAGTGAAGAAAACACTTCATTTAAATAGAGGATATTTGTTTAGTTCAGTGTAAGATCGGAATATATTTCACCGAGTGAGCACAAAAAGGTATAATTCACAAGTGGCGCAGCCACTATTGAAATATGAACTTTTGGTGTTCACGAGGTGAAATATATTTCAATCTTACACTAAACTAAACAAATTTTCTTTTTATAACATGCAAAGAAAGGTTTAAAAAGACTTTTTAACCTAGTACTAAAATCAAAAGCGCGCCAAATACTAATACAACGTGACATCATTTATGACGTCATTAAGCTGGTTCCCAGTACTGTGCATGCTGGTATTTCACTAAAACAATGTAACGGGCTTAGATTCAAAACAGTGAAATTATCAAATTGGTTATTTCATTGTTTAAAACTGTGAAATAACCAGTTGTTATTCCACCAAAGGGATATTTATAACACTACAGTGATGATGTCCTTTGGAAGGAAATGCTGCAGATGGTGTGCAGTCCTAATCCATGTCGCTGACATTGGCACTTTGAACAAGAAGTTCCTCTACGAGGTTCGCGTTTTTCTAAACAGTAGCAATCCATATTTAAACCAAATGATATTTTTCATTAAGGTAGACCATGGGTAATGGGCACCACAAAGAACTGTAAAATTGACAACATAGGACAGTTGTATGTCTTCAAGGTCACCTGTATGCAAAATTTAAATAAAATTTACCGTGTGGTTTATGAGTTATGGATATATTTCTGAACTAAGACCTTGCCATTTGAAGGGCTTATTTTCAGAAATGAGGAAACTGTAAATAATCTGTAATATCATCATTATAAAAAATGTTTTTCTATTGCTCATTGTTAAGAAACAAATAATAACATTCAATAATAACATTCAAGTAACACATTACACAACCAAAATGTTTGGTTCTAAACAAAATATTCTTAAAATGTATAAAAATGTAACCCTACCCCACCCACTTTTAACACTAATTTTACCATTTCCCTATCTAAAATGCCTTATTCAAAATATCCCTAAAATTTATCGAAATGAGGGTCTGTTTTCAAACTTTGCCTAAATGTTTTCAAAGGTATATTATTGATCATGCGAAATATAAAATACTTTTACCGTGTAGTTTTTATTTTATCGAACTTTGAAAATATCTGGTATCATATTTGTTATAAATTTTGGCATTATTTAACCAACAAGAGGGCCATGATGGCCCTGAGGTCGCTCACCTGTATATAAGCCCCCCCCCCAACCCCACCCCCCCCCCCCCAACGTTGCAGGGCCAATTTAACCCAAGGGCTTTTATTTGCACAAACTTGGTAGACACCCATAAGAAGATGTTTCATGCTAAACATCTAAGCTCTAGCTCATTGGGCTTTTTAAAAGAAGATTTTAAGTTTTTGCTATACACATATAAAGAAAATCAATGACCCCCAGGGCGGGGCCAATTTTGACCCCAGGTCTTTTATTTGAACAAACTTTGTAGACACTCACTAAAAGATGTTTCATGCTTAATATCTTAACTCTAGCTATTTGGGTTTTTTCAAAGAAGATTTTTTAAGTTTTTGCTATACACATATAAGGAAAATCAATGACCCCCGGGGCGGTGCCAATTTTGACCCCAGGGCTTTTATTTGAACAAACTTGGTAGACACCCATTAGAACATGTTTCATGCTAAATATCTTAGCTCTAGCTCTTTGAGTTCTTTAAAAGAAGATTTTGTAAGTTTTTACTATATGCATATAGGGAAAATCAATGACCCCCTGGGGCGGGGCCAATTTTGACCCCAGGGCTTTTATTTGAACAAACTTGGTAGACACTTATTAGAACATGTTTCATGCTAAATATCTTAGCTCTAACTCTTTTGGTTCTTTAAAAGAAGATTTTTTAAGTTTTTACTATATGCATATAGGGAAAATCAATGACCCCCTGGGGTGGGGCCAATTTTGACCCCAGGGCTTTTATTTGAACAAACTTGGTAGACACCTATTAGAACATGTTTGATGCTCAATATCTTAGCCATAGCTCTTTGATTTCTTTAAAAGAAGATTTTTTAAGTTTTTACTATATGCATATAGGGAAAATCAATGACCCCCCGGGGCGGGGCCAATTTTGACCCCAGGGCTTTTATTTGAACAAACTTGGTAGACACCCATTAGAACATGTTTCATGCTAAATATCTTAGCTCTAGCTCTTTGGGTTCTTTAAAAGAAGATTTTTTAAGTTTTTACTATATGCATATAGGGAAAATCAATGACCCCCCGGGGCGGGGCCAATTTTGACCTCAGGGCTTTTATTTGAACAAACTTGGTAGACACTCACTAGAAGATGTTTCATGCCAAATATCTAAGCTCTAGCTCTTATTGTTTTTTACAAGAAGATATTTAAAGTTTTTTCTTTCGGTTGCCATGGCAACCAGAGTTCTGCATGGAATTAAATTCTTTGAACAATTTTTAAAGGTGACCACCAAAGGAACATTCCTGTGAAGTTTGGATGAAATTGGCTTAGTGGTTTATGAGTAGATGTCATTTAAAGTAAAAGTTTACGGACGGACGGACGGACGCCGGACGAAAAGCGATCACAAAAGCTCACCCTGTCACTTTGTGACAGGTGAGCTAAAAAAATACCTAAAATAATTATATAATTAAAATCAAACTTTTTTCTTCCATAAGGGATCAGAGAGATACATAAAAAATGTTAAAAAGAACAAGAGGGCCATGATGGCCCTGAGATCGCTCACCTGTATATAGGCCAGTTTTGACCCCCGAGCTTTTATTTGAACAAACTTTGTAGATATTTACTTAAAGATTTTTCATGCTTAATATCTAAACTCTTGCTATTTCGGTTTATTTCAAAGAAGATTTTTAAGTTTTTGCTATACACATATAAGGAAAATCAATGACCCCCCCGGGCGGGGCCAGTTTTGACCCCAGGGCTTTTATTTGAACATACTTGGTAGACACCCATTAGAACATGTTTCATGCTAAATATCATAGCTCTAGCTCTTTGAGTTCTTTAAAAGATTTTTTAAGTTTTTGGGGCGGGGCCAATTTTGACCTCAAGGCTTTTATTTGAACAAACTTGGTAGACACTCATTAGAAGATGTTTCATGCTAAATATCTAAGCTCTAGCTCTTTGGGTTCTTTAATAGAAGATTTTTTAAGTTTTTACTATATGCATATAGGAAAAATCTATGACCCCCTGGGGCGGGGTCAATTTTGACCCCAGGGCTTTTATTTGAACAAACTTGGTAGACTTTCACTAGAAGACGTTTCATGCCAAATATCTAAGCTCTAGCTCTTATGGTTCTTTAAAAGACAATTTTTTAAGTTTTTACTATATGCATATAGGGAAAATCAATGACCCCCCGGGGCGGGGCCAATTTTGACCCCAGGGCTTTAATTTGAACAAACTTGGTAGACACTCACTAGAGGATGTTTCATGCTTAATATCTTAGCTCTAGCTCTTTGGGTTCTTTAAAAGAAGATTTTTTAAGTTTTTACTATATGCATATAGGGAAAATCAATGACCCCCTGGGGGGGGGGGCCAATTTTGACCCCAGGGCTTTTATTTGAACAAACTTGGTAGACATTCACTAGAAGATGTTTCATGCTAAATATCTAAGCTCTAGCTCTTACGGTTCTGTAAAAGAAGATTTTTAAAGTTTTTACTATATGCATATAGGGAAAATCAATGACCCCCGGGCGGGGCCGATTTTGACCCCAGGGCTTTTATTTGAACAAACTTGGTAGACACTCAGTAGAAGATGTTTCATGCCAAATATCTTAGCTCTAGCTCTTTGGGTTCTTTAAAAGAAGATTTTTTAAGTTTTTACTATATGCATATCGGGAAAATCAATGACCCCCCTGGGGCGGGGCCAATTTTGACCCCAGGGCTTTTATTTGAACAAACTTGGTAGACACTCACTAGAAGATGTTTCATGCCAAATATCTAAGCTCTAGCTCTTAGGGTTGTTTAAAAGAAGATATTTAAAGATTTTTCTTTCGGTTGCCATGGCAACCAGAGTTCTGCATGGAATTAAATTCTTTGAACAATTTTTAAAGGTGACCACCAAAGGAACAATCCTGTGAAGTTTGGATGAAATTGGCTCAGTGGTTTATGAGGAGATGTAATTTAAAGCAAAAGTTTACGGACGGACGGACGACGGACGGACGCGGGACGAAAAGCGATCACAAAAGCTCACCCTGTCACTTTGTGACAGGTGAGCTAAAAAAAGAAAGAAAAAAATAGTTGCCCCTTCTGGGGTTTGAACCCACGCCCCTCAATTTCAATGTAGTTTACAAGCGATTCTAGCCTATTTGAATACTCTTCAAAGTGGAGGTAATGCATTACCCATGGTCTACCTTAAGTAAGACAATTAAAGAAGACAGTGTAAATCATCTAACTGATTACTTTCAAAGTGATAAAGATCAAACCAAACTATTTCCCTTCAGTTACATATACATGTATGTACAGTTTACAATATATAAGTGAGTAATCTAGAAAAAAATTTTTGTTTGTTTGTTTTGGGTTTTACGTCACATCGACACAGTATAGGTCATATCGCGACGTTCCAGCTTTACTGGTGGAGGAAGACCTTAGGTGCCCTTCCATGCATTATTTCAGGCATGAACGGGCACCTGAGTAGAACCACCGACGTTCCGTATGCTAGCTGAATAGCTTCCTCACATGAAAGAATCCATAGCGGTGAGGGGCAAGCGGTTTGAAGTAAAGGACCTTAACCACTCGGCCACCACCGCCCCTTTAGAAAAAAAAAAATAAAAAAATTTGAACAAACTCACCAGAACAAAGATTGATCATGGAGACGACGACCATTCCACGTGACGGTATCATGAACAGGAAGTGCAACAGGTACACAAAAGGTAACACTGCCCAACCATACAGCATAAAAATCAAGAAAACTATCCCGAGTCGGTTACCGGAAACGTACGCATCCGTCTGGAACGCAGCAAAGATGACCAATATAATCAACACAGGAATCGTATAATTGATAATGTCCCATACAAATGTTGAAGACCAGTAAGCAAATGGACCCACGCCACTAACCACCTGGAGATGTTTCGCTCCGACGGATCGTTCTTTTATCAAAAATATGATAAAACTTGTAGCCATAAAAGCCATTCCAAACAGAACAGATATAGCAATTGTGAATCCAGTTCCGTTGGTGGAGAAGAACAAACGTCGTGAATTATCGTTAATCTTCTTCGGCAAAGGATGATTGATGACTTTAATGTTTTTCGTGGAATCCCCTGTAATTTGTTTCAAGAGTCCATTCATGGTGTAGTGTAAGGCAATCGCAATGCTATGGTATGGTTGACCGTTGTAATGTGCTGTGGCAGTGTCAGGTGTACTATCTTCAAAATCACCAGCAACAATGTAACGTCTACAATGCAAAATCATTTCCCATTCAGCAAGCAATCCACTGTCATATAAATCACTATTCCTTTACATAATCTTACTTTACATTAAAAATGATAATTTATGGGTTTGACTAAAATATGACTGTCCAAAATATGTTGTTGCTTGAAAAAGGAATCATTTCATGGTGCCAAATGAAAAAAAATATCGACTACTAAGGAGTAAAATGATGTAGCAACAAGAGATATCGTATCTTGACCAGCTTTAGCTGATTCTTAACAAAAATTAACATTTACTTTTTAACAATTGGTCAATTAATAAGAAGCTACAAGAAACAAAATTAACTCACCTATTAAAGGTTGAAGTGCCAATATCATCCTGAACATATTTAAAGTAATCATCCATTTCCGTGTATCTCGATCTATCCACTTTCACAGTATTTCCACCGAACTGCCCGCTATAGAAAGATGCTTGACTCTCCGTGGTTGCTGTCGCTGTTGAACCGTTACTGAACGCCACAGTGTAGTCAGAAAAAGGACCCAAGTTAAGTGCTAACGCTGGCTCATCGCCAACATTTGGAATTGCTTTTTCTACCGCTAATGCCATTACAGTAAAGACAACAGGAAGAAGAAGCTGGGCCACAGCTACTGATAAATTACGTCTTGCTTGAATGAACTTCTTCACAAACATACCATAAAACTGCTGCATGGCTAAGGACAACCCTGTATTTTTGTGGACACCTTGATTATAACCTAAAGATATACAAATTACAATCATGAGCATTGCTTATATAGGGAATAAGCTATCTGAACCCAATATACTCATTCCTGAAGATCAATATAAACACTTTTAAATTTACGAAAAACACAAACATAATAGACATGTTTAACCTTAAGTTGTTAATCATATCAGACAAATGATATCTACCTTGTGTTTTAATTTTACTTTTAACAACTAAACTTACCAGCATAGTTCTTTTTCTCCATGGCAACAATAGTTTCAACAGACCCGTCATTGTAGTAAGCACCATTGGTAGCTCCATTCTTTAAATCATTGACAACCTGGGGCTTCTCCGGACTGCCTATAGGTGGCAGCTTCTTCGAGTCAAAAGGTGCTTCAGATTTTGTCGAATTTGCTTCAAAAGCAATCCTTGGTAGTTTGGTTGTACTGCCATAGGCTGGGTTTGTATTTCCACCATTTTGAATATTTTCCGGTTCCTCCGCCTCATCTTCACCAGTTCCCTCGCCAACCCTAAAAATACCCCACATTTTATAACCTTTAAAGCTACATGCCTCCAGATAAGTCAAAATATTTCAATAAAATCAAACTTGAGAAAAATGTACTAAGATGTAAGGAAAAGTAAAAAGTTTCAAGTAATATTTTACATATAATGTGCGATTAATGACTGATTTTTCAGTATTTACAACTATATTTCAACCGCGTTACTAACGCAGTAGTCTATTTATGCTTATTTTGATCACTTTTTGGTAATTTACATGGTTTGAAAGTGCCATTAATAATCTGTAAATTGCTTCCTTTTGGTTACATCACGATATTACATATTCAAATACATTTTCAAAATTTTCGTGAAAATTAGCATGAATCTGGAGGCGTGCTGCTTTAATGTTCACACTTCATTCAATGTAAGGCCAGAAATTCTTATTTTAAGCTTAATATGTTAACAATACTTTACATATCTCATTACAGTTTGTTTCTACAATATTTACACATGTAAACAAACCAGACCAAGATCAGTCGGCATTATCTTTTTATTTTTAATTGGGACCAGTCTGGTAAGACTGTAAACATTCTTAAACTAATCTTGGTTTGTATAGTCTGGTTTGGAAATATCCTTAAAATAGTCAAAGTTTATATGAAACGCAGTCCAGTCTGGTTTGATAATATCCTAAAACTAATGTTAGATTTTATGAAACAATTAGGGACCAGTCTGGTTTAATTATATCTTTGAATTCATTTCATTTTATATGAAACAAGGACATGTCTGGTATACTGCCTAATTTTTAGATATATTTTAGGAATGAGAATGAAAATAAAGTGTATTGCTTATCTATGAGAATTATAAATCAATTGTTTTTTGACAAACATAATATATATATTAAACAGTAACATACTTTAGAAAAACTTCTTCCATAGTAGTGGCAGACACACCAAAGCTATTTACTCCAAGGTTACTCATCTGGGCCTCTATTTCAGTGAAAAGTTTCTCAAATTTTGGTGATTCAGTGAATGGTAGCAAGTAGGAGACCTCTGCACTGATCTGGCTCTCAACAAATGCTGTGGGTATGTGCGACTGCACGAGTTTCGTAAGACGGTCAACATCGCATGTCTTGCCTTTCACAACTACCATGTGATAACCAGCACCTATTTGTTATACAGAAAAACATGATGATGAGAGATGTACATGATCAAATAAGATGTTTTGTACAGTTCTTTCTTTCTAATCTATAAGTCAATGAAACTAAAGTAATAAAAGTGTACAAGTATTCTACTCTAAATAAATAATGTGAAAAACAAGAATCCAAATGTAACATGGATTCCTGAAATTTATATAGAACTTTCCCGGACAAATCTCGTACATGGTAATTTTGTAATTAAACTTCTAGCAGTGAAAGTATTAATCAATGTATTTTGTTGTGAACAGCTTAAAGAATCTGACTATATCTCTAGTTTACAGCCCATCAGTACATGGTATATAACATTATACTAGATGTTACTCAGAAGTGGCAAATGTATACTGTTCCCATTTAATTCTGGGGTACTAACAAAGATTTACTATTATTGCTTTATGACGCACTACCCCCCCCCCCCCCCCCCCCCACAATAGAGTGGCCATTGTGTTGCATTTGTAATCGATATATTCACCAGGTTTCTACTGTAAAATTTTGTTTGTACTCCCAAAATTAGATTGGAAAAACCCACATTTGCTGTATGCCGGAGTATATCTATTAGGAAACTGGTGACAAAATAAGAAAACTTTTATCATAGAAAACCGATCTTATCTAGAAATAATCATATTTCATGTTTCAGACTTGCAATTATCATTTACTAGCATTTAATGCATCAATAAAATTAAAAGGGATGTGTGAACTGTACCGTAAAGTTTCTTTAAAAACATAGAAGTTCCAGAACACTTGACAACCCCATCAGCCATGATAGCAATTCTGTCGCCTAAAATATCAGCTTCATCCATGAAATGTGTCGTAAGGATAATAGTACGACCCTGGCGGTACCGTTGTAGAATATCCCAGGTCTGACGTCTAGCTGCTGGGTCCATGCCGGATGTTGGTTCGTCCAAGATAACAACCTGTCAAATATTACGTCATGATCATTAAATAGACATAAAAATGGATTACTTTTAATTGTATATCATACCTTTAACTAATTTCTAGTAGCTTCAAACCTAAATTACAGTTTAATAAACATAGTAAATAGCATACATTGCCTTTTATCATATACCTGTATAGTTACTATCACATTATCAAGGACAAATACAACTTGGCAAAAGCAAAATCCAGTTTTTACACATGTGAAATCTACTCCCTGAGGAAGTTGCTTGGACTCTTATCATTTATTTCATACATTATATCTTTACATGTAAAGTTGAAATATATGGTGGTATGAAATAGAAGGCTTATTGAACAGAATTTGTGTGAACTACTCATGAATTTTGAAAGTCCTGATTAAACAAGGAAGCCATAAATCCATGCATTCAGCCTCAGTTTTTCTCGTTCTCCGAAATTCAGCAAGTGTGGGGTTTTTCCCAATCTAATCCTAGAGCACAAACAAACTTTTACAGTTACAACTTGGAAAAAATATATCAATTATATCCCCCAATGCATTGATCACTCTATTGTAGATGGAAGTGCGAGGGAAGCTGTAACAGTAAAAGTTTGTTTGTACCTCACGATTAGATGGTGAAAACCAACATTTAGTGGCCTTCATGCAAAAACGGAATAAGTTCTTCTAAATTCAATAGCAGGTAATCAGTTATTGCACTAAGATGACAAATTATTTTGCTTTCCATCATTAAATGAATTCTATAACATCTCACTATGGACAGTTCCAAAATACACAAATTTACTAGGACAAAGATTCATTACAATACCTTTGATCCAGCAATGAGAGCTATTCCAACTGACAGTTTACGCTTCTGACCACCAGACAATGTCTGAGACAGGGCAGATCGTTTCTGCTCAAGGCCCAGCACTTGTATCATCTCATTTACTTCACTATCAACATCCTTGCTTGGGCAACCCTTTAACTGTAATAGAACAAAAAATATCAATCACTTTTATTATGTTTCAAGACAGGGTCTTCCCAGAAATTCCTGAATTATAAAAATAAATGAATCTTCAAGAATATATCCATAACTAGAACAACATCGGAAGACTCTCCAAACAATAAACTCACAAGTCAAATACTGTGAGTTCAAATTTTGTTGGAATGAAATTTTAAGGTTTTGTCCAAAAGGACAAATTTGTACGTTCTTAATATTAAATGTCATGCATTACAATAAAATCTTACAGGATAATTTTTTTTTTAGTCTCATGTTAATCCACAAAAAAAACCCACAAAATTAGAGCCCTATTAAAAAAAAATAGTTTTGCAGTAAAAAGAAGGATATATGAAGTTTGTGAGCCTTGCAATGTATTAACATACCTTGGCAAAGAAGATAAGATGTTCTTCCACAGTCAGCAGGTCAAACAGAATATTGTGTTGTGGACACAACCCAAGGTATTTTCTCACACTGTTAATGTCTGTCCGTATGTCCTTCCCATCAATTAAAGCTGTTCCACTTGTAGGCTCCAGAAAACCTATTTATTAATAAAGATTTTAAGAAAATTTGTAAAAGCCATATCAATATTAAAGCATATTTTTTATATAAAAATGCCTCTTTTAAATAAATTTTGTCGTGTAAGAAATCTAGTGTATAAAGCTATACGTGTATAATTGTGATGAAACATTTTATAAAAATTTAAAAAACAGAAAAAAATCAAGTTGTTTTGATAACCATATGCTCGTTCACTGAAAGATTTACTTACATAGAATGTCTGTGTAACTTAATAACATGAATATTGTACATAAACAGAATATTCCGCTGCAATTTTTAGTAGGTTTGGCGATAATTTCATGCTTTTGACAAATTTCTTTCATCATCTTAATTGCAATATAAATAATAATTTCTCAATCAACAGACAGCAAATATATAGTTTTATACATTTTAACCATAAACATGTTTAAACCGAAATGTGATTTAAAGCATTTGCCAGGCCACCTGTACTTCCAGGCCAAACTTAAACGCCAGAAAATAGCATGTATCATTATTACAATTAAATGGTGTCCTGGATCTGAGGTTATAAAGAAATTCCGTAAGCTCAAGCTCAAGCTGACCAATGACAAAACACAAATAAAATGTTTTATATGTCCTGTTCTTAATGAAAATTGAAAATTTGAGCCACATCATGACAAAACCAACATAGAGCGTTTGCGACCAGCATGGCTGGTCTGGGTCCATGCTGGTCGCAAACCCACTATGTTGGTTTTGTCATGACACGGCTCAAATTATTCTACAACTACAAGGCTCTCTATAGATGTTAAGAGTAATGATTTCTACACAAACCTGTCAGCATAGATATGGTGGTTGTTTTGCCAGCTCCGTTATGTCCTAATAAAGATGTTATCTGACCCTCAAACATGTTCAAGTTGGTGTCATTCACGGCCACTTTGTCTTTAAAGCTCTGTAAAAACACATTTTTAACATTTAACATCTCAACAATGATGAAAGAAAAAAACATACAGTTTTCTGTGAGTAAGCAGGACGAGAGATTTGGTATTTTACAAAACAAAAAATGTGATTTTACAGAGCAAGAATTAAACATTCTTTTGCCATTCGAGTACAAAAAAGTACTACTCGCATAGCTAAACCATACTGATATGTGATTTACAAATCTGTCTATGTTAACTATCGTACAAACAATTTGTCTCTCTCCTATGTAAGTAAATAAGTAAAGTACATATATTGATAATCATTCTTGTTTTCCAATTTCATTTACTTATAAAAGAAAAATAACAGCAATTTTTATGGATACATAATTTTTCTGCACTAGCATTCGGCCTTATGATCAAACACTACATTTAAGAACAGTTCACTTCTAATCTCATAAAATTCTATTTTTTTAATGTCTTTATCAATAATATATTCAATTGCAAATGAAAAACAAAAGTTTTTTCCTCTTTTATTTTCAAACATGTAAAGATTCAGTTGTTTATCATGTCATTTTATTATCCCTGTGGATGAGCCCAGATAGAACTTTGAAAATAACCAGCATGAGATCATTATTTCAGGGAGCAACATTGCATTCTTCTTATTTCAGGGCCTTGCATTATTGTTATTTTAGGGAGTAACATTGCATTCTTGTTATTTTAGGGCCTCAACATTGCATTTTTATTATTACAGGGCCTCACATAGCATGTTATTTCAGGGCCACAACATAGCATTTTGTTAGTTCAGGGCCTCAACATTGCATTTTTGATATTCTAACAATCTCACAAAATAGGTTATATAGGTGTTTTCCCATACTGATATATATAACGAGAGTTGGTATTTCATATCAATAATTTTGTGTACCTGTACTTTCTAAATGTTATTCAGAAAGTCTAAACTTAACTTTTGCAAAATTTGAATTGACTATGTTAACTTTAGGAGAAACATATTCTTAAAAATTCTTCCTGGTCTGACAAACCCAATGTCTTAATCATTTATTAAAACTGTTTTATTTTTGGTATCCTGTTTCAGTCTCCAAAAATTCCTAATCGGCCACGTAAATGATCCATCTTTTGTTTTTTCTCATATTACATAATTATACAGTGATTCAAATTTTGTAAATACATTTTACTACCTATCTGACAATTTATTTTAATCACTACATTGTGAGTAAAACAATTAGTCTCTTATCCAATGTTATAATCTTGCTAGAAAGAAAGCAAAACAACAAAATAGGATTTAGGCATTGTAATTGATAACTTTCAACAAATAAATGCATAAAGCTGGCATCGCGATAAAATCTCTTCAGGTATACAACAGTTCCATTGGATCCTGTAGATAGTATCTTGTATAGCTGAATACAGAAAGCCATATGCATATCCGTCCAACAATAAACCTGAAAAATACTGACATATATTAATAATAATATATGAAAACATAACTATTTATAACAATATTTTGTTCTTGACAAAAATGAAAACCGCGTAATAACATCCTTTCTAAGACACTGGGAGGGCAGGAAGATGGAATAACTATAACTCTATAAAATGTGTAATCATCATCTGAGTCGGATGCTACTTCTAGTAACTCCTACTCATTTATGGTAGACTACCCAAGATCAGAACTGTCATCAATACGTATCAATTTAATTCTATGAGTAATAGCATCCTTAGCTTTAACAAGAAAGTCCTTAGCTTTAGACGCCTTGTCAATATTGTCAAATAAGTCTAAAACAGTGTTATTGAACTCAAACTGTTTCCTGTTCTGATAAGACTTGAATGAAATTAAAGAATCCTTTTTTACCTTCTTTGTCGCTGAAGAAAAAGTACACTCAGCATCATGTTTCAAATCATGTTGAAGCGAACTAAATTTGTCATCAAAATACTCCTTTAATTCAGAGACAACGTACTGCTTCCCTCTGAGCTGTAGAAAAGCTTGCACGTGCTGGCAAATTTTCTCATGACATAATATTCGTCTACGGCTGTCAAATACTGTCTTGAGTGAGAAACAATAGTAAAACACCAAAAATATACCTACACACGAGTACAAAACACGCTTAAACCGTGTAATGTAAAAGATATGCATAAAAAAAAAATATGTTCTAGACTTATCAAAGCATAAACTAAACTATGAGCTGGAATGAAATAACAATGGGAAACATTACTACTTTCTTCAGGTGATAAGCATCTAGCATGCCTTTAATACATTATTAAAACAGTATAAAACACATATTTTGTCCTTTCTATGAAAGAAGAAAATATATATTCACTTTATGTGCCTTTAAACTACTGCAATTATGATACATGACTAATTTGAACTTTATACACATTTAAAGAGCACTGCTGTTTAGCAACATGACCAAGAAAAATGTGCGCAAGAATATACTTATTATCTGTAAACATCATGCAATGTGCAAAATGAGACATAAAACAAAATAAGTCAATATATTATGGGGAAAATAAAAAGTACAAAAAATAAACAAGAAGAACATACATTTTGAAGTAATGGTACAAAATGGTCATTGTGTTGTTTTTATCGAAATCATACAAAGCAAGCAAATCTGAAGCAATTTCAAACCTCTCCAAGTTTGTACAAAGAAGGTAGGTAACTTTTGCCACTTAAAGCAACCATTTCCTGCAGAAATCTTTTTTTTGGTCATGATAATAATAATTACATAAAAGCAATCAATATTATGCATACTGCAAATGGTAATGTAGGTTTCTCACCTGATATAACTTTTAAACTTTTATCAGCAAATTACAAAGAAAAATTCCTAAAATGCAATAATAGAATATAATACTAAAATTCTTCACATTTAAACTATTCACATTCATTCAGTAAAAGGAAACTAAATCAAAGATTTTCAGGAAATTTCTACATAGAAAAGAAATAGACTGCAGTATCAGAAAACTATTGTTTAGTAAATTTATACATGAAAATCAAGAAAATTCTATACAGAATAAAATAAGTGTAGGAAGAGTGACCTCCCTTGAATTCAAATTTTTCAGATTTCAAAGGATGTCGTAAAAATGTGCAACTTGGCCTCTGCACTGGTTCAAACATATTATTACTGCAGCAAACTGTTATGAAAGAAAGGCACAATCTTACAGAAATTAAAGATTGTTAGTATGGACAAATTTAGGTAATGTTAACAAGGGAAGTTTAACTCATTGGTAATATTAAGTAACAAAGACAAAAAAATTTACCGGGTATATATAGTTAGTTTTTTCCTCAAGTCTTATGAAGATTTAATATATAATTTTGGTCACATATAACTTAAACCAGTAACTAACCAATTTCTCTAATCCAAAGATTTCTGAAAGAGCTGTCAGTTACAAATGACCATTACACTCAATGTCCGACGTCAATTGTCACAGAGAAATGAGCCGTGTCACGACAAAACCAACGTAATGGGTATGCGACCAGCATGGATCCAGACCAGCCTGCGCATCCGCGCAGTCTGATCAGGATCCATGCTGTTCGCAGGCTGATCTTGATCCATGCTGGTCGCAAACCCATTATGTTGATTTTGTCGTGACGCGGCTCAAATTTCTTTCAGCTTAAGGATCGAACCAGTCACCCCTGAATTATTATTTTATTATAACTCCATGCTCTCTCTATTGAGCTAAAAGAAAGGACCTCCAAATAATAAAACTTCATTAAAACTATTTCATCTATAAGTTAATAAGTTAAGGAGTTTCAGGTAATTATTTGTATAATCAATTTGATTAAACTAGAAATGTGTCCATAGGACACGGATGCCCCCACACGCCACTGTTCTGTCAATCTTATGACTCTAGGTCAAATATTTTTTGGACTACATGTGCCACAAGTTGAAAACTAAAAATCAACAAAGGGCAATAATTCTGTTAAATTTGGTCGCAGCAAAAATTCCTTCCTTTACTACCATCTACACATTAAGGTTGTTAATCCCTGTAAGTTTAAGCAAATTCTGCCATCCGGTTTAAGAGGAGTTGCGTTCACAAAATTTCTACACAGTATATAATGAAAAAATCAACAAAGGGCCATAATTATGTTAAATTTGGTTGCAGCAAAAAATTCCTTCTTTACTACCATCTACACATTACGGTTGTTCATCCCTGAAAGTTTAAGCAATATCTGCCATCCGGTTTAAAAAGGAGTTGCGTTCACAAATTTCTACATAGTATTTAGTGAAAAAATCAACAAAGGGCCATAATTCTGTAAATTTGGTCGCAGCAAAAATTCCTTCCTTTACTGCCACCTACACCTTAAGGTTCTTCATCCTGGAAGTTAACGCAAAATCTGCCATCCGGTTTAAGAGGAGTTGCATTCACAAAATTTCTATATAGTATATAGTGAAAAATCAACAAAGGGCCATAATTCTGTTAAATTTGGTCGCAGCAAAAATCCTTCCTTTACTGCCATCTACACATTAAGGTTGTTCATCCCTGTAAGTTTAAGCAAATCTGCCATCTGGTTTAAGAAGAGTTGCATTCACAAAATTTCTACATAGTATATAGTGAAAAAATCAACAAAGGGCCATAATTCTGTAAAATTTGGTCGCAGCGAAAATTCCTTCCTTTACTACCATCTACACCTTAAAGTTGTTCATCCCTATAAGTTTAAGCAAAATCTGCCATCCGGTTTAAGAGGAGTTGCGTTCACAAAAATTTCTACATAGTATATAGTGAAAAAATCAACAAAGGGCCATAATTCTGTAAAATTTGGTCGCAGCGAAAATTCCTTCCTTTACTACCATCTACACCTTAAGGTTGTTCATCCTGTAAGTTGAAGCAAAATCTGCCATCCGGTTTAAGAGGAGTTGCGTTCACAAAATTTCTACATAGTATATAGTGAAAAAATCAATAAAGGGCCATAATTCTGTTAAATTTGGTCGCAGCAAAAAATCCTTCCTTTACTACCATCTACACATTAAGGTTGTTAATCCCTGTAAGTTTAAGCAAAATCTCTGCCAACTGGTTAAAGAGGAGTTGCGTTCACAAAATTTCTATATAGTATCTAGTGAAAAAATCAACAAAGGGCCATAATTCTGTTAAATTTGGTCGCAGCGAAAATTCCTTCCTTTACTACCATCTACACATTAAGGTTGTTCATCCCTGTAAGTTTAAGTAAAATCTGCCATCCGGTTTAAGAGGAGTTGCGTTCACAAGATTTCGGGACATACGGACGGACTGACGGACGGACTGACGGACGGACGGACGGACAAGTGCAACGCTATATGCTCCCACATTGTGGGGGCATAAAAAGTAAGTCACTCTTGAAATAAGTATGTTGCCTCCATTTCAATTCAAGTACCAATCTTATTTGGGGCATATATTATGCTCTTTTGAAATTCTACCCTGTTAATAATAAGCTAAATTTTGACCTTTCAGCAAAGTTGAAAATAAAGTCTCAATTTTACCCATAAAAGTTAAGTAAACATAGGAAATAAGCGATATTTGCATAGTCTCAACATAGAAGACATATATGTAAGTTAAAGCAAACATTCTTTGAGTGGTACCATTTTAGCAAATGGGTATCAATATTCTAAATCCTTATGCAAACATAAATTTCCAATGTACAACTAAAAAAAGTAAGGAATGGAATTAAGAAAGAATTTCAAGCAAAGAAGGTAAAATGATTTGCAATCCACTGCATATCATGCAAGTTAAAAACCAAACCGTGAAAATTTCATGAGGATAGGATGAACGGAAAAAAAACATTGAGAAAAAATACTGCTAGATCTAGTGATGAAGACAATATCAAGAAGTGGCAAAACAAGAATCTTACATTTCCTTTCTTAAAACATTGTTTTATACGATTTCCTCCAAAAACCTAAACACACAGAATAAATATTACAACTCATGCACATCTTGCATACAAAAAAATCATTGCAATTTGGTTATATATTCTGTTTTAAAAAAGACAAATAAGAAATGTATATAAAATGTACATTCGGGGCTAAAATTGATAAAAGTTCCAGGAGTTTTAAACATGCTAGTAACTACACTCATGCTCTTAAAGTTGTGAGATAGTCCTTTGAAGTACTGGGTCTTCCATAATTAAAAACTTGACCTTTGACCTACTAACCTAATTTGAAATATGATCTCCTGATAACAACTTACAGTCTTTAAATAGAAATGTAGACTCGGAGATGGCAAAATTCCGTGCCTGATACAGAAATTATTTTCACCTACTAACCATATTCAAAATGAGATCATCTTTTGTGATCTCATTAAAAATACGATCAACTTCTAACTTCCTTGGTTATAATCATTTGAAAAGTCTTGAGCTCCCTGGCTTCAAATGAGATTAAATTATCTAATGACATGCCAATAGTGAGTTAAGTTTTTGGAATTTTTGCTTCAGGAATTTAGTAAAAAGAACGTTTTCACATCACTGTAATGTTGACCTATAACCTTGATGACACGTCAATATATGTAATTGAATATTGGTCATCTTCTGACCTTGTCCACTTGCCCTTCACTGCTGTGGCTTTGAATACTGACAGTGACTTTGGATTATTTCATGTGAGGAAGCTATCGAGCTAGCTTACGGAATATCAGTGGATCTACTCAGGCGTCAGGAGCTTGAAATCAAATTTATTATGCACAAAAGGATGAAAAGTTGGTGGTTCTACTTTCTGCTTCTTTGTGACTGAAATAATGCATGGAAGGGCAGCTAAGGTCTTCCTCTACAAGTATAGACTTGAAAATTGCCATATGACCTATACTGTGTTGGTGACCTTGTTTTTAACCGGTTACAATATGAACAGCAACAATATGGGACCCACAAATAAAAACATCAAACACCATTACAATTATTTGTTAGTAAAATATCAACTTAACAAAATTGTAGCAAGAACATAACAACATTTATTTTCAAAACATCAAATTTTCAATACAACTTAAGTTAATCAGTTCAAATCAACACCAGTATTTCAAAAGGGAAATAGATCTACTAAATATTACTAGGCCTACAGTAAATATTGTTTGTTTGCCACTTCTGACTATTCAACTGCAAAAATATTTTGTTAATAAACATTGCTTTTTTCTTAAACTTTCCATGTCTCCATGCAAAAGAATTGGATTATATTTTTTCCTCCAACAGTTGTAATATTTTGTAATTATATCAAATAACTTACAGATAAAATAGAATTTCCCTACCTAACAACCTATACAAAAGCTATGAGTTGAAAGTGGCAAATAAACTTTTCCGAGTGTGGCCTACATATACAATATAGATAACACAGTTAAATTTAAAACAAATTTGCATTCTGAAGGAAAATTCAAATATTCATGAGAATAATTATCCAAGTAATATTCATGCAAAATTTTAACCAAGATAAAAACCATCTTAATGTTAACTATTACCTTTCTTAGATGACGTATGCTGATGCCAACTTTAGAGCCTTGGGGATCCCGCTCAAAATGTTCACTGTTCACGGAACCATCTCCGTTGTTTTCATATCCTGAATCTTCAACTTTTGATCCACACCAGTATGATGGCTGAAAATATATCATAATTATAACCTATGAATAAAACAAAAATATGTGTTACCTTATAACCTATGAATAAAACAAGAATATATGATATCATATTACCTATGAATAAAACAAAATATATGATATCATATTGACTATGAATAAACAAAAATATATGATATCATATAGCCTAAGAATAAACAAAAACATATGATATCATATAGCCTATGAATAAAACAAGAATATATGATATCATATTACCTATGAATAAACAAAAATATATGATATCATATAGCCTAAGAATAAACAAAAATATATGATATCATATAGCCTATGAATAAAACAAGAATATATGATATCATATTACCTAAGAATAAACAAAAATATATGATATCATATAGCCTATGAATAAACAAAAATATATGATATCATATACCCTATGAATAAAAAAAAAATGATATCATATAACCTATAAATAAAACAAGAATAATCATTATTTGAGCAGATTTCAGTCATATACATAATTCATCATGTAACTTTTTATGAATACATAGCAACAATGCACTGCAAGGATAAATGGCATCTTTTCTTTTACCATACTTAAAATTTGATTATCTTTCTCTTTTTTCCCCCCACCAAATTCAATACACTTTTTTTTTGGTCATATCTTGGAAGACGATAATCATACACCTAACTGGCTATCCTGGATAACTAACCAGTAAATACCATTTCACACGCTAATAAAATGTAATGGAGTTGTCCTGCTTTGACTTTGGAACAGTCTTTTAAATATTATAATACTGCATGTTTGTAATGTTGCTTTTCATTGGCTAATCATGACATTTATATACAGGGCTACTGTCAATTTATGAAGAAATTTGAAATTCACTTTTTCCTCTAAAAAAAGAAAGAAGTTTGCTGTATTATAATTCAATATAGAGATTGTTGACAAGTCATATGACCATATATAAACGGCAGTTTATAATATAATCCTCACCAAGCAGCTTGGGTTATATTTTGAAAAAAGTTAAGTGTATTTAACCATTTAGCCTGCTAGCAGCAAGTACCCACAGTCTGCACTGTTCGCTTGCTTGGTCAATACATGCACTTATTTTGAAAAGTTCCCCTAAAAATGATGAATGGTTATGTCTAGATTGAATGATGGACAAGTCCATTTTAGACAATTAGCAGGTCAAAGGTTAATGATATGTAAGAGGATCATAACAGTATCAGACTGTGAATTTTACCTAATACTCTACAGTAAAACCTGTCTTTATAATGGCCATGAGTACCTTGTCAGGAGGCACCAAGCCGTTTGATGGTCACCCCATTTTTTTATATTTTTTTAAACTTCAGACAAAATTTATAAATTTTCACAACTGACAGTTTTAGCAGACGACAATTTTCCCAGCATGCACAGGGTAAATGACATGTAAACAATATCAATCCTAAATAAATATTCTACAGTAAAATCAGTTGAATGATGTGACCCCCTCAGAACAACAACTACTAACTATCAAAACTACCAGTCTATCAAATGCCAAAAACTTTGTAATTTTTATTTCAGGATTTAAATTGGGTTTTATTGCTTAGAAAAGTTTGAGATCAGGTAGGAAAGTCTTTTAACTGTGTTGATTTGTTATGTAAAGATCTAAAATACATGACTGTATATTAAAGACAAACTAGGCCTTGTAAATAAATTAATACTTTTTTTCTTTCTACAGAAAGGGAAAACATGTGTTTTGAAATGTTATAATTATGAATTTAGAACATTTTAGGTGCTTATTTCTTGAGGTAAATAGCGTAACATAATTTCTGATAAAGGTACCAAAATGTGAACAAAGTGGCATTTTGATTTTCATACAAAATATTAAATCCCTATTTCTGTAGTAATTGCTTTAACACAAAAGCTAAAAATAGCTCATCTATCTAGCCAATGAGTAACATTCTAAGTAATAGGACATCATAAAATCAAGCTTTTGAAAAATGAAAATATTTCCATTTTTAAGAAATAATGGGGAGTTTATGTCAAAACTGAAACTCTTTTTTTATGGTGTGCATGTAGTTTTCACAAGGTTACAAGGAAGAGTGAAGTTCTACCTCTATGGAAAAGAAACCAAGAGAGAGCTTTCTACCATTCTTTTCTATACGAAAATAATGTATCTACATAGCACTCTTCATGGTCGGTTATCCAGAAACTGTGTCTACATGTAGTGTACACTTTAAAAAATTTACAAGATAAGGTCGATAACCAGTATCTTTATCATTCTTATGAAAGCAAAAACATCCTTTTTAAAACTTGTTTTCATGAAAAATAAAAATAAATAGAATAAATGAATGAATAAATGAATGAATGAATGAATGAATGAAATAAATAAATAAATAAAAAAGAAAGAAAAAAAGAAAGAAAGAATAATGAATAAATAAAATATTTTTTCTTACTTTTTACTTTTACATTAAACAACAGTTGTAAACAAGAGCACCGCTAGGCGGAGCATTATATGCCCGAAAGTATTTTTTTTTTTTTTTTTTTAGTAAAGATGAAGCATTTGTAAGACATGGGAATTAAATAAAGGTAATAAAGTATTACCTCCTTCAAATAACAATCCTCCTTTGAAGTTTCAATATTGTGGTCCAGAAACTGTTTTCAATTCTAAGGTAATAGTGACCTTGACCTTTGACCTTGTGACCCCAAAATCAAAAGGGGTCTTCTACCCAATATGGAAAATCATACTATGAAGTTTAAACACAGTGGGCCAAATGAAACTTAAGTTATGTTCCAAAAACTGTTTTCAGTTTTAATATAATAGTGACCTTGACCTTTGACCTTGTGACACCAACGTCAATAGCGGTCTTCTACCTAAAATGGACAATCATCCTATGAAGTTTGAACACTGGGCCAAATAGAACTTAAGTTATGCTCCAGAAACTGTTTTTAGTTTTAAGGTAATAGTGGCCTTGACCTTTCACCTTGTGACCCCAAAATCAGTAGGGGTCTTCTACCCAATATGGACAATCATCCTATGAAGTTTGAACACTGTGGGCCAAATGGAACTTTAGTGATGCTCCGGAAACTGTTTTCAGTTTTAATATAATAGTGACCTTGACCTTTGACCTTGTGACACCAACGTCAAGAGGGGTCTTCTACCTAATATGGACAATCATCCTATGAAGTTTGAACACTGTCGGCCAAATAAAACTTAAGTTATGCTCCAGAAACTGTTTTTAGTTTTAAGGTAATAGTGGCCTTGACCTTTCACCTTGTGACCCCAAAATCAGTAGGGGTCTTCTACCCAATATGGACAATCATCCTATGAAGTTTGAACACTGTGGGCCAAACTGTTTTCAGTTTTAAGGTAATAGTGACCTTGACCTTTGACTTTGTGACCTCAAAATCAATAGGGGTCTTTTACCCAATATGGACATTCATCCTATGAAGTTTGAACACTGTAGGCCAAATTGAACTTAAGTTATGCTCCGGAAACTGTTTTCAGTAATAAAGTCATAGTGACCTTGACCTTTGACCTTTTGACCCCAAAATCAATAGGGGTCTTCTACCCAAAATGGACAATCATCCTATGAAGTTTGAATATTGTGGGCCAAATGGAACTTAAGTTATGCTCCGGAAACCAAATTGCTAACGGACGGACTGACGTTCCAACATTTTGGCTTTAGGGGCTATTTTCTTTGCTATTTTCTTTGTTTTCTTAAGGGCTGCTAGCCCCTAAACCCTTTGATCACGGAATGAACCTATAGTTCTCTTTTGTTCTCTTTACTGTTATTTAGCCCCTAAACCCAAAATGTTTGCTCGGACAGATGGACGGAAGGATGCCAGGGGGTATAACATAATATGCCCGAAATTCTTTCGGGCATATAAAAATATTCATTAAGCAATGTTACTCGTAAATTAATATTCAAATACAAAATCTATATTGGTGCTAAACAGGCTCTATCAAATAGAATGGTCTGGAGACTGGCCGAGACATGTTTAATTGTAGGGAGAAGGGTTTGCATAGTGCATTTCCAGACCTTTCTATTTCAAACAGCCTGTCCTAAAGAAATATATTATATAAGTATTATCTACAAAGATAAAATGTTCAATAAATATAAGCTAAAAGAAAAATCATGCGATACTGATTTTTAAAAAAAAAAAATTCTAAGTTTGTTGACAAACTTATATTGATTGTTCATGCTTTTAAAATTGATTTTGGGTTTGTGTGACTTACTCAATTCATGGATGTATGTGTGTCACAGCTACAATAGGGAGATTGTTATAACATTTTGATACCTGACTGATTGGATGTAAAATGAACAAAAAGTGGATAAACGCTAACCTCTGCATGCTTTTCACACTCAAGAGTGTCCTTATCACAATTGTTTATTGTACTTGACCTTCACATTGAACAAGCCCTATAAAGTGCATTATCAATAAACATGAAAAAAATTCATGGTCTGCAAAGAATACATTTTTTTTTTAAGCCAAGGCCTGAGCAATTTGCATTATACTGAGGATCGCCTTATAATGAGGGGGGGGGGGGCTTTGTAACAGGGCTGCAGGATACTTTTGTTGAAAAACTTTATACTTTGATTGCATTGTTTCTTTTTTACATTTTATTCCTTGCGTTGACAAATCTTCTTTGATTGTGTGCATGTTTTAGGTGTTTTTATGCATATTATTACTTATGTTAACAAACCTACTTTCTGATTTTCTAAAACAAAACATTACTTGTGTTGACAAATTTATTTTCATTGTGTTGTTTTTTTGTTTTTAGATTTTATTACTTGTGTTGACAAACCTACTTTTATTGTATGTTTTATTTTACATTTTATTTCCTGCTACATTGATTGTGTTGTTTTATTTTTACATTTTTTAACTATTGTTCACAAACCTTCTTTGACTCTGTTGCTTTTTTTTTCTACATTTTTTTTCTTGTGTTGACAAACATACATTGCACTTAACTCAAAGAAATTTAATGGTCTGTATTACAGACAAAATCATATAATCAAACTCATCTGCAAGATTAATTTGACCTTGCAAGTTAGTGTAAATAAGGAAAGCAATGATTGGTCCAAATCTTAACACTTTTAAGTTGTGAAGATTTACTTACAATGTTTTAATCACATCTTAATTAAAACCCAGCAAACTAGCCTCGGCCAATATATAAAGCATGTAAGTAATCTCTCGCTACATAGATATTTTTTTTAACACACTGACACTGCAAACCTTTTGGATTGAGACCACCTGTATAGTAAAGCATGTAAGTAATCTCTCGCTACATAGTATTTTTTTAACACACTGACACTGCAAACCTTTATGGATTGAGACCACCTGTATAGAGCCAGACAAGTCTGCATGGCTAGACCCTATACTAAAAATAGACAAATATTCCTGATGATTTCCCTAAAATCTATAATGGAATGTTACCGAAATGAATGTTGGACAAGTCCATTCACAAAATTCAGTAGGTCAATGGTTAAAAGGGAAGAATCAAAGAGCTTTTTATTTCATACAGGCTAATTTACAGACTAATTTATGGTAAAAGGCTCACATCTACAAGGAAAGCTGAGGTAAAATAGTAACCTTGTTTTTGCCACACCAGTAAGTTGCCTACAATGTATGTAAAGTACACAAAGTTTATAACTCAAACTACAACTTTGAATGAACAATAGGACATGTACCTTTACAATTTAACATCTGTTACATTTTTGCATTGCTACATATCATTTCTGCTAAGGAAATCACCACAATTCAAATGCAAACATCAATAATTCACACATACTAAAAATTACGATTGCTATGCCCTTATTTTATGAAAAATAATCATGTTGTTTCACAGGAATCTGGAAATTTTCATACATAAATTGGTGACCCAGCTTTAAATTTAAGAGCAGTTTGAAGTAAGGAACAACCATCATTAATGAGCCGCGTCATGACAAAACCAACATAGAGCGTCCGCGCAGTCTGATCAGGATCCATGCTGTTCGCTTACAAACCCTATAACAAATAGAGAAAGTGATAGCGAATAGCATGGATCCTGATCAGACTGTGCGAATGGGCAGGCTGGTCTGGATCCATGCTGGTAGCAAACCCATTATGTTGGTCTTGTCATGGCGCGGCTCATCTATTTGGCAACTGAAAGAAGTGTAAATTTAAGAGTAGTTGGATGCCTGGAAGAAAATATCATTTCTTTTATGCCATTGACAAGAGAGAAAATTTAAGAGCAGTTATTTCTGACTGCAGAGTCACACTTGTCACACAGATTTTAACGGCTTACAAATAACTTAACATTTAACCAAAGTTAAAGCTTAAAATGTGTTATTTTCTCTCTACCTACCAGGAATGGAAACCAGAGAGGCTGAGCGACACCTGCATCCCCGGGGTTGACGTTGTCCACATACCAGGCAATCACCATGTATAACACTGTGTCTACCAGTAACATTACCATGGCATCCAGCAGAGAGAAATTATCATCAATGGTACCAGGGGCGTAAAAGTTATTCCACTGTGCGCCATCACCTTAAATTATTAGCATAAATCATGTAAAAAATATCAAAACATTACAAGTACTTATCTACAGTCTTCAAAACTGAAGTTGTTGTTTTTTTTTGTCAAATTCATGTTGAATTAAACAAGAGCGATCAGTTATCACATGTGTCGCCTCATGATGGCCAATTTCATGTTGGGACAAATTTTGTGACAGACGGACAGACAGACGGACAGTGCACAACTAGACTTGGTACTGATCATTCCTGTAAAGTTTGGATAAAATTGCACCAGCAGTTTATGAGGAGTAGTCCGGACAAGCTTTTGTGTATCTGGCAACACACAGAAAAAAACACCTTTTTATCAAAGGGCCATAACTCGGCCAAAAATCATTCAACCGGAAAACCCGTGCAATATGCGCAAGGACTTGAGCTACAGATCAATCCTGTAAAGTTTCATTGAAACTGCATTAGTGGTATAAGAGAAGTAGTCCGGACAAACTTTAAAATTAAAAATTATTAAAGGGCCATAACTCTGACAAAAATCATTGAACCGGAAAATGCTGACAATATGCACAACTAGACTTGGTACTGATCATTCCTGTAAAGTTTGGATGAAATTGCACCAGTAGATTATGAGGAGTAGTTCGGACAAGTTTTGTGACGGACGGACAGACAGACGGACGGACGGACAGACAGACGACGGAGAAGTGATCCCTATATGTCGCCATTACTCCCTAGAGGCGACACAAAAATGCAAAGTGTTTTCTTATTTTCTGCAGAATTCATGTACAAACATCCAATCAAAAAATTACTGCCAATAACTTTAAAGGAACTCCACTGAGGTCCAAAAACATAAAACTTGAATTTCTTACATAGATCATCTGGGACACTTAAAAAAGACAGATATGTTTGTTTGTTTTTGGGTTTTACGTCACATTGACACAGTATAGGTCATATCGCGACGTTCCAGCTTTACTGGTGGAGGAAGACCTCAGGTGCCCTTCCGTGCATATTTCAGGCACGGAAGGGCACCTGAGTAGAACCATCGACGTTCTGTAAATATAATTAAAAATATACTCAGAAATAAGTTGAAAATCTTATTTTTGTGCTATATCTTTGCCCGATATGAGTGAAAAACATTGCAATGCTTTTCAATTTTGGATCATTTTTTACAAAAAGAATAATCATTCTGGAATAAACAGGTTAATCGAATGAACTGAAACTTTGCACCCGTGTTATCAAATGAAACATTAATCTCGAAAAATCATTTCTAAATACCCGAGTGGAGTCCCTTTAAACCTGTACCAAGTGGCTATGATATACCTATATTTATAATTTATATGACTTGTAATGACAGATGGACACTAAATATATTAATTATATATACAGCTTAGGCAATTAACAGTTTTGATCCCTGTGATATAATGTATATCATCATCTCATCATATCATCATCTCATCACATTAATAAATTGAACATATCTATCTGAATGAGATATAAAACTGTGAAGTTAATATGGATCAATATTGAATTATTTTTATATAATACTATACATGCAGACAGGTTAAAATACAGAACTCTGCCTAGAAATTATTATAAGCAGAAATAATGGCATATATAAAGTTGCCATGGTAACTTTTTATAGTGAAAATACATCACTCCAGTATCCAATATCCAATAAGTCACTCTGTGTAACTTAAAGACAACAAACTGACAGTAAATTATTAACTAAGGCAACCATTCAGTCTCTGACAAAATTGAACATCATCACATTTCTTTGGGATCAATATGACTATTATTCCACCTCATATGATTTATTACAAAGCATTATTGTGACATCAGAGAGGTAATAATCTGTAAACATAATAAAGTTTGGCTTCAAATACATGAAATAAGGATCTTGATAAGAAAATGTCATTCACTTCTCTCGAATGAACATTTTGTTCCATCACCCTTATTGAGATGTGACAATTATATATTATCACCTGACAATTAAATATTTTACCAGGTAATTTTATCAATAATATAACTATTTCTTGTGCAAAAATGTTCAACAATCCAGAGAGAAAGTGTCATCTACCTAACTCTTAACTTGATGAAATGAACATCCGTTTATGGAATTGTCAATTATCAATTTTGGGGATATTAAGATGAGAATTTACAGTAACTTAACACCAGTTTAAAGCTGCACGCCTCCAGATGAGCCAAAATATTCCAAGAAAATCAATATTGAGAAAAATATACTAAAATATTAAGAAAGGTAAAAAACATTCAAGATCCAAGTGATATTTTACATGTCATATGCGGTTTAAGATTCTATCACCATATTTCTACTGCATTACTAACGCAGTAAGGGCTGTTTTGCATATGTTGACCACTTTTTGGTAATTTTCTTGGATTGTAAGTGCTGATTGCAATAGGTAAATTGCTTTATTTGTTTATCTTACAACATTTTACTTTTAAATACATTTCCAAAATTTTCATGAAAATTAACTGGAGGAGGGCGGCTATAATGTCAGATTGCACGAATGGTGGCGGTGTTGGTAGTTTTCACTCCAAATCAAGGCAGTGAGCCACATTCAATTTACAGAGCTCAGTCCAGCCACCGTATCCTTCCTGGGCATGCTGTCAAACAGTTTACCAGTAGTAGTTGCCTTCATTTTCTCAAGGAACTGATTATTTCGGTACATGCCAGAGCAGAGGTACAATGCAAATGACTTTAGAAATGATTTCATGAACATGACCTGCACTGTCCAGGAATCGAACCCGTGTCGCCCAATTCACAGTCCAATGCTCTACCTATTGAGCTAACCGGATGGCTAAACTACCGTGCAGGTTGACCTGACATTATACTGATTGATGGGGCAAATCACTTTAACTTAAAATCGGGATGGTCTTAAAGCGGGGCTCTACTGAACAACAAAATGTCTAAAGGTAGGTCTCTATTTGTAATGAAATCCCTTGTCCTTATAATGAACTGTTCCAAAATCTAGAGGGCAAGTCTATTTTAGAAATTCAGCAGGTAACGGGTAAAATTCCAACCTATTCATACCTGTTCCTTCATATATAAGCATGGTGTTTATACCAAATGCCATGCCAACATTATGTAAAAGGCAAGCGGCCATTTTCTCCGATTGTGACATCGTCTCATACTGGTCACGTAAAAAGAAGTACGGAAAATACGTCAGGAAAAACAGAATACCTCCAGCAAATGCTGCTGAAAATGCTGAAATTAAAGAAACAAATAACCAAAATATTCAAATTGTAGACACTTGTACTGCAAAATTACATACATATTTTATAGCTGTTATAAATATAAATGCAATTACTTCTGTTAGAATAATAAATTTACAGTTTCTTAATACTAGAAACCTTTTTATAACAAAATTGAACTTTTAGCCCCAAAAAATCACACTGTTTAGTAATCCCTAGCTATATTTTCTTAAGAAAAGTAAAATTAAATCTAAAATTAACTTACACTAATAATTCATAGCTTTTATTACTTAAGAAAATTGCATTTTTTGTCAAAAAGTCTAAAGTTACCTTTTTCTTACAAAAAAAACCCCCAGCAATATCTCATTTATAGTCAAAGTCAGTAACACAAAACAACAAGAAGCAAACAAACCTTTACTGAAGAAAGTACTGATCATGAAACAAAATGCGATGGTTGCAATGACATATAGTAGCAGGAAAACAAAAAATATCGTCGGATGTGTGTAGTTGAGAATTTTTCCTTTTTCACCAGACTTGATATTGAAGATGATAGTATAGAAGATGCAGACTAATACAAGGTAAATGAGATTCTTCACAAACCATGACAACCAATATATAGATGTTTTCAGCCCCATCATCTTCATAGATTCCTGTTATAAAAACAAAACAGCATAACTAAAACATTTTTGTAAAATTAAACGTTAAAACTGTCTATTAAGCCTTATGAACTGTACTTAAAATAAACAAGGTTTGAGCATAATACATTTTTGTACTGCATTTACATGTCTATTAAGTAATGGCTGTGACTTTGAATTCTTTCATTTTAGAAAGTTTTCAAGCTAGCTTACAAAATGTCATAGGTTCTACTCAAACTAAGGCATGGGCATGAACCTGTGTAGAACCTCCAATGTATCTTAAGATAGCTGGATAGCTTCCTCACATGAAGAAATTCAAAATTCAAAGTCCCTGACATGATTCAAACCTGTAACAATGAGGGGCAAGAGAACTGAAGCCAGACCCCTTCAGTCCTTAACCACTCAGCCACAGAGGCCCCATCCCCACCTACAAATACGCAAATATGGAAAAAACTGTCTTATGTAAATATTATATGGTTGTATATTCAACTCCTATCCTTCCATTGTATATAATCAATATATTTTGTTTATTACATTCTCATTAGTTACTATTAGCTTCATTAACAAGATATAAGCACCTGATATATATTTAGGGACCACACAATCATCAATACTTGACCAAACAATACAAAGGTGAGGAAACTAGTGGCATTATATACAATATTTGGTCAATTTACCAATTCATGATCAATAAAAAGCTTTCATAATCAGTCTTATTATAAGTTAATAAAGACTTATTATATAAATAATAACCTGTCCCCAGTTCTTCCATGACTGTCTTTTATAATATACATGCTACACACATATTAAAGTTTTACCACATAAAAGTACAGGTTAAAAACTCAATGCAAACCTTCAGTTTCTTTTCCTTTTCATATGCAATATTCATTGACATTTGAAGAGCGTTAAGAATAAAGCCGAGAACCAGGAAGAGTGGTAAGTTTGTTTGTAGAACCGTTGCCAGGACATCTTGTAAGAAAGGTGGATACAGCATCTTTTTCACACCAACTTCAATGTTAGCCATTGAATTTGCACTGTGTTTCTCGATGAAAGCTTTGTCTATGAAGTATTGTAGAGCTAGGAACCCAGTCTCGTAATAGTCTGTAAAAATAAGATGAAAGTTTAGTTAAAGGCAGTCTTTAGATGAAGACCCCACATGGTATACATGTATATAATAAGCACTTTATTTCTTCTTTTTTTGACACGTCAAAACAAGATCTTTCAAACAATGCCTTTTTCTTCCCCAATGGCTGACAATATTTTGATTCATATTACGCTAATTTTATCTGTTTTGATGCAAGGAACATTGTAAAGTCATTAGTCATTTGGTCATATCAACATCTTGATGATAATTATATTCTTATTTCCTTTTTACATCAATACAAATACTTGTTAAATTTGTCAATATGATTTTATGAATATGAACACATTACAATATAGATTTGTGATTACTTCTCTAAGATACATCAAACGTTTCTAAATTTTAAGCACAATGAATAATACAGAGAAACTAACATTCAAATATCAAACAATATGAAATAGGAAGACATAAATTAGGTCAAAGTAATTCTGCAAAATACATACATGGTTCTCCGCCTGTACTTTCATTGTTACGGTAACCGAAGGTCGAGAAGAATTGGTAAGTATTGGCGGTCCTCCAACGATCTTCATCTTCTTGGCCTTTACGCAGAGTAACACGCAATTTATAATCAAGTGTATCTGGTGGATTTGTGGTGACATCGGACGTAAATACAACAGCAGCCCAAAGCTCCGTATTATCATTTGTGTTCCAGTCATCAAGAAGGGCTTGTTCAGAGGCAAACCCGGTCTCTATAATAAAATATTGTATTTTCTGATAATTATGTTTACATTTCTTTTTTCCTTTTCGAATGGGTTTCAAATGGGTTTCTTCTTATATTAATCAACCCACAAAGTCTTGATTAAATTGGCATCTTGCAACAATTTCAAGGTAATCTTGGAAAATTCAAGCATTGCGATGGCATTTTACGACTTTCTAGTTTCAAAGGAACAACAACCCCATTTCCAAGTGTGCATTTTTTTTTATTGCTTTGTTTTTCTATAATCTAAGTCCCTGTACCTCAAAAATGTTATGGTGTTATGTTACAAATCTGAAGCACAAATGAAAGGTATACATGTACCTAATTTAATACTCAGGACCGTAAATATAGAGAGGTAATAAGAAATGTTTTTTTGATCAAGTTTTGGTTAAATTTTCAACGAAAAATAAATACATCTTTTGCAATTATTTTGCAATTATTTTGCAATCATTAAACTCCTGCAGCAAAATAAGCATAATGCATATAGAAAACTTTGCTAAATTTTGAAATATTAATATTTTATTAATGTTTATTGATATTACACAAGAAAATTACAAAACAACAGTGAATTCGATCATTTCAAGTAAATAATTCATGACTTTACAAACTGTAATGTGCTGCATATTCAACTTTTAAACCTTAAAATCAACATTACAAGTACTGCGTATAAGTTAATCAATATAATAATTACTCTTGCACTTTAAACAAGCTGTGCTAGATCTTAAACTTTACATTTCATAAAAGATAATGTGGGAAGTGGGAACCAGTCAAGCAAACAATTGCTGTATCAGAACCATTCTCCAATCATTCATAAGTGATTTGGGTACAATAAGGCTGTTCTATCATGTGAATAAAAACATGCACGATTTTCAAATAACATTTTACAGACATATATTGACGATGCAGCAGGAAGAGCTGCAAGTTTCATTAATATAATTGAGCCGCGTCACGACAAAACCAACATAATGGGTTTGCCACCAGCATGGATCCAGACCAGCCTGCTCATCTGCGCAGTCTGATCAGGATCCATGCTGTTCCCTTACAAACCCTATTACAAGTAGAGAAACTGATAGCGAACAGAAATACTTGTATGACTAAAGCTATTTTTTTTAAATGTTCATTTTTACAATTTCATTATTTTTGTTCCTACAGAACATTATGCTTTCAAACCGCATGCTGGCTCTTGGCCAAGCTCTAAATACCCGTTGTGTCAAACCCCATGTACATACTCATAATTACTGGTATCATAGGAAATTTATCATTGAAACAAAATTTCCTGGTAATTATTAAACTTATAAGTTTACAAACACATGTTGGTCATTCTAAGTATGTCTTCACTTAAACCTCTTACTTAGTGAGAGTACATGTCTCTTGTAAGTTGGCACGTGTACTAATGCCTTATTCTAGAAACTTCCAAGGTTCTAGCTCTTTTGACATCACTTCAACATGAACTAGCTTGATTATAGGAAGTCAGATAAAAGTTCTGTTTCCTATCTCTCTCCTATCTTCCTACCCTCTTTTATAACTGCTGACCTTAGTACATGTAAACTTAAAGTGCTTTTTTCCCCTTTTTTTCCAAACCATTTGTATTAAAGATATTGAGTTTTATCAAGTAAATCACTACTTGATTATTTTGAGTGCATAAAATTGTCACAAAAAAAAGGCACAAACCCTTTAGTAGTTATGAAGATACCAGTTGACACACAATAACTCAACCAAGAATTTAACCAGAATTTCTAAGTTTAAAAATATGCAAAAAAGCAAATCAGAGTAATGGAACTTGTGCCATTATCATGTAAGATAATCACAGAGAACAAGTGTGTGAAGTTTCAATCCATTCCCTTCAGTAGTTAAGGAGATACCAGCTTACACGTAAAAACTTAACCACAGGGACGTCGACTTTGACAAATGGGTGACTGCATTAGCTCTATTATTCGGCGAAAAGTCAAGCTAAAAATATATATTACATTGTGTAATGTATACTTTTTATATTTTTTATATATTAGCATTACGAGTATATACAAAATAAGTCATTACCTAACTTCTCTCTGTTACCAGAAACAGATATATCTTTTTTGGCCTTATAAAATATTACTTATATCCCATTGTTAATGTTAAGGCTACTTGTATAACAATTGAATCGAACCACAAACAAAGAGGAAATAAATATGACCAAACACCTAAAATCTATTTAAACTTAATTTTCATCAATGGCAATTCACCATACATGAATAATGAAGATGGTAACACAATAAGATTTTATCACCCAAAAAAGGAAATAAATCTGACTAAATACCTAAAATACCTAAAGTGATAATCTATTTGATCTAGATGTTCAATGACCATTCACCTGGCATATGGCAAAACCCTGGGGTGCTTTTATGAAACTACAGATATCCTTAAACTTTTAAATGCTCCTATAGTAAGTATACAATGTAGCTCCAAAATGTTAAGTATATGCTATCTTGTAATATAACAAGGGCGTACCTTCCAATAAAACACATTTATTTGTGCACTCTTAAACAAGTAAATGTATGACTGATAAAACCTGCAACTGTTTTTTATTATTAAAATTGTAACAAATATATAAATAGTAACAAAGGGGACTAATATTATAATATAGTGCTGGAACCAGAAGTGACAGTTGAATTTGATACTAAAATCTCTAAATGATATATTATGCTCAAATTTGATATTTGAATTGCTATAAAGTCTCTATTTAAATGTGAGATAAACAACATTTTAGTGGAAAGAAAAAAGATTTTCTTTAAAACTCTACACAATATAGTATATGTAATAACAGTATGAATACTAAACAAACAAAACCTGGCAGTTTTTACCAAGAAAAAAACATTAACTTGGCCAGTAATAAGTAATGCAGCTTCCGAAGCAAAGTTTGTACATTCTCATATTCAAATTAGACATTATTTAGTCAGAGCTATAGATTTAAAAAAAAAAAATCGCAATAAAAGCATTTTACCCAAAGATTAGCATAGTGCGATTGTTCCAAATGCAAAATTACCCAAGTCCAGTACAGGGTAAAATCTCGATACACAGTCTATTCAATCTGAAATTGAACGAATTAGAAAGATAAATAGAAAATATGGAATAACTTACTATTAGTGGCTGCCGTTTTTCCGGAATCTATTATACTCTGGATAACCTCATCAGTAAATGTTGTGTTTGGCGTGTAGAAGATCACCGTTTTACCCGTAATATTTCCTCCCAACTCCGGATACGCACTGTCCCATTTAGTGTCATTGTCAATGTATTCTGAATCAGCCAAATTTCGAATCAACAACAACAAAAGGGCAAAGAATACTGGTACTAGAATCTCAAACACTGTCACCACCTTTTTACGACCTTGTAATTTAAAGTTTTTCCATAGCAGCAGCAAAAACTGCCCTCCAGCAGACGACATGTTAGAAACTGGTGTTTCCTATATCCTGTCTGTTTATTTTAGTGTCTGCAAGATTGATCTGAAAGTAAAATAAAAGAATCAGACATTATATTTAATTATTTTGTTGTTATTCATTTATTCATTCATTCATTCACTCATTCATTTATTCAATGAATCATTTCCAAACTGAGACAATTTTTTCAATTTCCCTTACTTTTCCAATATCTTATGTCAATATTATTTTTTAATAAATATATGATCACCACTAAAAAATTTATCAAATTTGTATGAGCTATTATTCAATTCCATATATGTACCTAAACTAGAACTCCGCGAGTCGGATGTGTCGCCTTGTGAACAATGTAGTTTAGGGGAAATGGCCAGGACAAAAATGAAATATGAAAATAACAAAGGGCAATAACTAAAAAAAATAATAAGTGCAGAGCAGCAGTTTCTGTACACTGCACTTCTTATCAATAAGATCTATCATTCTATGATGTTTCAAGTCCATAGCTTTCATACTTGAGGAGAAATGACCAGGACAAAAATAAAGTAAGAAAATAAACAAAGGGCAATAACTCAAAAATAAGAAATGCAGAGTATCAGTTCTTAGAATATGCACTGCACTTCTTTTTAATGAGATCTATCATCCTATGAAGTTTCAAGTCCATAACTTTTATACTTTCGGAGAAATGTCCTGGACAAAAATTAAGTATGAAAATTAACAAAGGGCCATAACTCAAAAATTAAGAAATGCTGAGTACCGATTCTTGTGCACTGCACCTCTTAATAATGAGATCTATCATCCTATGAAGTTTCAAGTCCATAGCTTTTATACTTAAGGAGAAATGGCCCGGACAAAATTAAAGTATGAAAATAAACAAAGGGCAATAACTCAAAAAATAAGAAATGCAGAGTACCAGTTCTTGTGCACTGCACTTCTTCTAAATGAGACCTATCATCCTATGAAGTTTCAACTCCATGGCTTATATACATTAGGAAAAATGGCCTGGACAAAAATAAAGTATGAAAATTAACAAAGGGCAATAACTCAAAAATAAGGAAGTGCAGAGTACTGATTCTTGTGCACTGCACTTCTTAATAATGAGATCTATCATCCTATGAAGTTTCAAGTCCATAGCTTTTTTAGTTGAAGAGAAATGGCCCGGACAAAATTAAAGTATGAAAATTAACAAAGGGCAATAACTAAAAAAATAAGAACTGCAGAGTACCAGTCCTTGTGCACTGCACTTTGGGTTATTGAAAGAAGCATGCATACCAAGTTTGAAGTCAATCAGACTTATAGTGACTGAGTTATGCTCCGGACAAGCTTTAGGGGACGCCGACGACGACGCCAACAACGACGCCGACACAGACGCCGCCGCCGACACCGCCGACAAAAGTAACCCCTATATGTCACCTTTTCAAGGCGACACAAAAATGATAAAATCCAGTAAAAGTGTATGATTCAAATTAGAATAAATACTAAATCACTCCAACAGATATAAATGCCCAACTTCTCACAAACGAATATTTCAAAATTCAAAAATGTACAATTGCTGGCTAATTTAATGCAAATATTGTTCTACACATCTTACAATGTAGACTAGTGACAACATGTATTGAACTCATCATCAATAATCATAATCCATGGAGGAAACACTATCATAAATATTTGATATTGATCAAATATCACCACAAATCAAATGTATACACATGATACTGTCACTGATATTTGGTAATTTATTGAAAACTTCTTCACACTACCTTTGTTTACTATAAATTAAAAGGTTATTAAGGGTGGAACAACTCATCAAAAACACCAGGTCAGTTAAACTACGGGATCCTGGTAATATATATCCTTCATCAGGTTATCTTTTTTTACTGACAAAATATTTATCAGAATACCTTTTTACATATGGATACTGAAAAGTACAATGTTTATTCTATAAGTACATCTAATTGCTTTTAATATTGTCCTATTTAAGTGTCCTAATATTATCTGTCACAAACTACCCCCTACATGTATATAATCACTATAAAGTATTCGCAGCTTCAGGGCTTCAGGCTATATAATGCATTCCTTGCATCTAATGATCTAAATCTTGTTAATTTCTAACTATTACCTGCCAAATTTCTTTAATGCTCCTACTTTTTGAACAGTCAATTAACATTTTTTGGGATATCAAGATGAAAATTGACAGTTAAATAGAAAGCAAACAGTATAGAGCTTTATCATTACTAATAAAACTGCACGTTTTTGTTGGATAACCATAACGTTTTATATAGTTTTACATTGTATCTACATGTCTGCTGTCAATTAATGAAGAAATCTCATTTTTTTTCTCTTAAAGTAAGTTTCGACCTGTATCATAAATTTGTTATAGAGATTTATGTCTGGTTATATGGTCTTATATGGTCTTATATAAACAGTAAATGTTTGCAATAACTGGTATTATAAAGATATCTGACATGTTATATGGGCTTGGGTTATATCGCAAACAACTGTAGAGGCATACACAGCCATATAACCTGTCAATAATTTATAACTAATCTATAATACAGCATAATTATTTTATTTGAGGATAAACAAAAAATTCTTTATATATTTACAGCCTCAGCAGTATATACATGATTAGTCCAACTAATTGTACTGTGCGATGCGATATTGTGCTATTTTCGTGTCTGGGCAATATCTCGCCTCTACGTTAAAGCGAGATTCTGCCCCAGAACGAAAATATCTCAGAATCAAGCTTTGGCACGACAATATATTTTGACTAATACATGATAATCATGATTATCAAATGAAAAGTAATGTTATATTAAACATGCAGTATCATAAAGAGCATTTATCTGGTTCTGTCACATATCCTTCTTAACTGCACTCAGAATACATGTACACAGTGATGATTTTTTGTAAACAAGAGGGCCATGATGGCCCTGAGGTCGCTCACCTGTATATAGGCCCCCCCAACCCCCCCCCCCCCAACGTTGCAGGGTCAATTTAACCCAAGGGCTTTTATTTGCACAAACTTGGTAGACACCCATAAGAAGATGTTTCATGCTAAACATCTAAGCTCTAGCTCATTGGGCTTTTTAAAAGAAGATTTTTTTTAAGTTTTTACTATACACATATAGTTAAAAACAATGACACCCCTGGGGCCGGGCCAGTTTTGACCCCAGGGCTTTTATTTGAACAAACTTTGTAGACACTTACTAGAACATGTTTCATGCTTAATATCTAAACTCTAGATATTTGGGTTTTTTCAAAGAAGATTTTAAGTTTTTGCTTTACATATATAAAGAAAATCAATGACCCCCGGGGCGGGGCCAATTTTGACCCCAGGTCTTTTATTTGAACAAACTTTGTAGACACTCACTAAAAGATGTTTCATGCTTAAAATCTTAACTCTAGCTATTTGGGTTTTTTCAAAGAAGATTTTTTAAGTTTTTGCTATACATATATAAGGAAAATCAATGACCCCTGGGGCGGTGCCAATTTTGACCCCAGGGCTTTTATTTGAACTAACTTGGTAGACACCTATTAGAACATGTTTGATGCTAAATATCTTAGCCATAGCTCTTTGAGTTCTTTAAAAGAAGATTTTTTAAGTTTTTACTATATGCATATAGGGAAAATCAATGACCCCCCGGGGTGGGGCCAATTTTGACCCCAGGGCTTTTATTTGAATAAACTTGGTAGACACTTATTAGAACATGTTTCATGCTAAATATCTTAGCTCTAACTCTTTTGGTTCTTTAAAAGAAGATTTTTTAAGTTTTTACTATATGCATATAGGGAAAAACAATGACCCCCCGGGGCGGGGCCAATTTTGACCCCAGGGCTTTTATTTGAACAAACTTGGTAGACACCTATTAGAACATGTTTGATGCTCAATATCTTAGCCATAGCTCTTTGAGTTCTTTAAAAGAAGATTTTTTAAGTTTTTACTATATGCAGATAGGGAAAATCAATGACCCCCCGGGGCGGGGCCAATTTTGACCCCAGGGCTTTTATTTGAACAAACTTGGTAGACACCCATTAGAACATGTTTCATGCTAAATATTTTAGCTCTCGCTTTTTGGGTTCTTTAAAAGAAGATTTTTTAAGTTTTTACTATATGCATATAGGGAAAATCAATGACCCCCCGGGGCGGGGCCAATTTTGACCCCAGGGCTTTTATTTGAACAAACTTGGTAGACACTCACTAGAAGATGTTTCATGCCAAAAATCTAAGCACTAGCTCTTATGATTTTTAAAAGAAGATATTTAAAGTTTTTTCTTTCGGTTGCCATGGCAACCAGAGTTCTGCATGGAATTAAATTCTTTGAACAATTTTTAAAGGTGACCACCAAAGGAACATTCCTGTGAAGTTTGGATGAAATTGGCTTAGTGGTTTATGAGGACGGACGGACGCCGGACGAAAAGCGATCACAAAAGCTCACCCTGTCACTTTGTGACAGGTGAGCTAGAAATAAATAAAATCTGCCCCTGATGTTATGTCCTCCACACAATTAAAGTAATTCACATCATGTACATAAATAAACAGGCATGAAATAAACAAGAAAGAGTAGTTCAATTTAAACAATCCATTTACTTTATAAATGTACTTTATGAAAAATTTCCAGAAAATAAGAAATCTGATGATTCACCTTAAGCATGTAATATCGCCTTATCTCTAAGTTAAGAGCTGGGACTGTGTTTCCTGTAGGTGAAGTATTCTTTTAACATAGGAGAATTATTTCGCAATACAATACTTGTTATCATGATATCTTTTACCACCAAGCCAAAAATAAACACATTTAGTCATACCACATCCTAGTACACATATTTTAACTATTTACTTTTGACTATATCTAACATTAAATTTCAATTTTCAACACCCTTACTATCATGTTTAAAAGCGAGTAAATACTTCACAAAATCTAAAGAATACCATGATAATAAAGCCTAAATACTTTAAAATAATGTAACTTAATAATATGGTAACTCCTCCCGTAAATACTGTATGGGAAGATTTAAATATCGGGTCATACATGATTAAATGTTAGTCCGGTTAAAAGCTAGTTTAATTATTTTATAGCAATGCAGTCAACTAATACATGTTACTAATAATAAAGTATGCTTAACATAACTACCTGGTAGATTACTGAACAATTTAACTATCAACATAATTGACTCAAGTCAATCAATGGCTCAGAATAAATAATGATAACATTGTTGCTACTTAAACTAACAAATTAAGCTTAAAATCTAGCGAAAGGATGCTACTAGCTACATTTATGCAGTAGGACCTTACTAAATTGAAACTACTAATCGTATTATTGGATAGTTCAAAATAATACAACAATTTAAACACTTAACCTGCAAGATATGAAAGTGATTAGCCTTTGCCACTGCCTGACCAAGCCTCAAAGTTATAAAACTTTTTGCTGATTTTTTGTCGCAAATCTCAGGATTTTCATTGGTCAGTGAACATTCTGTGGCAGTTTCTGACCAATCAAATACATGTTCCTGAGATCGGAGTTTGAGCCTAGATATATTTATAACCTTGGATTCAGGGTTGACCAAATCCAATTTTTGCAATGGACACGCCTTCAGGCGCGTTCAGAGCTATGTCATCTACACATGGGATTTTGTCGGCTTCAATCGTGCAAGTGTCCTCAACCGAATAACAGCCTAAGAAATAGTTCATGAATTTGATCCTATGAAACTCCCATACTTTGTCGGGATATCATATCTATCCTTTTAATTTCAAATTAAGTTATTAAAGTAAAAATATGAAAGTATTTGATTGATAAAAACGCTGTGGCCCCGTAGTATTATTGCGCAATATGCAAATAACTGCAGAAACGACTTACCGCTGTTGAAAAAGTAGGACAGCAAATTATGCTATAATTAAGGAGTAAGCTCAAAAATTCCTAGAAAATATAAGTAGGAAATAAATATTTCTCCATTAAACATACCATTTTTATTAACAGATCAAAAGTTTTTCATGACTCAGCAATTCTAGAATATCTCACGCATTAATTACATAATTTTCTAGGTCACGATATGAGTTAACCTGCTATCAGCTAATGTGATTTGTGATAGATTATAATAGATAACACTATTCTAAAAATAGATTTTACCCAATCACCACTACATCACCTGTGCTGACTTTCGGACAAGCGATTAGGTAGTACACATTATACATGTAATAAATCAGCGGATACTTACTTTGTTTACATGCAATACTTTAAGAAGTTTTATACAATTGTAAGAAGCAAACAAGTTGAAAATGGAATTTAGTGTGAAATTGAAAGGGACAACTAAACACTGTAGTGCTAAAGTGACATTTAAATTAAAATTAAAACGATGACTGTGCTCTGGCCTCTACATCTTTACCTTGTAAATGAATAAAAAAACATCTAAAAAATACACCTTTAATTGCTGATGTTTTTAACCAAAAATATTTTTAATGAGACATATCCAAGAGAAATGAAAATTAAAATACTAATGACTTATATTTTATTGTCTATATGCCAACTATGATATAACACGAAGCAATTCTAATTAACATTCTCGCATGCTTGAAGTTTATTTGCATGGTTTTATTTTAGAAATATTTTGTTGACAGTTTTTTCTTTTTACACTGATTTACAAGTTTGACTAGAATTTTGAGGCATAAATTTCATTCTGAATTTAAAAATTTGGACATGTTCTGCTTAAAAGTAGACAAGGAACATCGCAATGCGATGCAACCAGGTTTTCAGCAAAATATTTCACAGAAGCTTTGTCATGAAGGGGCATTTGTTTTTAATTGAACTTTTAGGAGGAATTATGGCTTTTTTAATATTCCTCAAACAAAAATGATTGAGAAATTTTATGTTGTCTATTCGCCTTTTTTTCCCAAATATTTTAGAAAGGTAAACAGTACTTCATTTTTGCTTAATTTTTGCGTCTCTTGTCATTTTCTTTTGTCAACAATATTGGCGTGTGGTGTTTTGTGCGATATCAAGAAAAGTATGTTCATAATTTTAAAAAAATACTTGAATGATGTCTTGGAAGAAACATGGGAATTTAGTGAGCGCCAGGGCACTTGATGACAAAGCTTCTGTGAAAGTTTGGTCAAAATCCATTGAGAAATGTAGGAGAAGTTGCGCACTGTAGAAATTGTTCACTATATATTCTGTATAAGGAAAAAATATACAAAGGGCCATAATTCGGTCAAATATTATCCAATCACAAAACCCCGACAATATGTGCCAGGCACTTGATAACAAAGCTTCTAAGAAAGTTTGGTCAAAATCCGTTGAGAAATGTAGGAGGAGTTGAGCACAGAAGAAATTGTTCTCTATATATTCTGTATAAGGAAAAAATATACAAAGGGCCATAATTCGGTCAAATTATTATCCCATCACAAAACCCCGACAATATGTGCCAGGCACTTGATAACAAAGCTTCTAAGAAAGTTTGGTCAAAATCCGTTGAGAAATGTAGGAGGAGTTGCGCACAGAAGAAATTGTTCACTATATATTCTACATAAGGAAAAAAAACAAAGGGCCATAATTAGGTCAAATATATACCAATTGCAAAACCCTGGCAATATGTGACAGGGCACTTGATGACAAAGCTTCTGAGAAAGTTTGGTCAAAATCCGTTGAGAAATGTAGGAGGAGTTGCGCACAGAAGAAATTGTTCACTATATATTTTATATAAGGAAAAAAAACAAAGGGCCATAATTAGGTCAAATATTATCTAATCGCAAAACCCCGACAATATGCTCCAGGGCACTTGATGACAAAGCTTCTGTGAAAGTTTGGTCAAAATCCGTTGAGAAATGTAGGAGGAGTTTTGCACAGAAGAAATTGTTTACGCCTGCCCGCCCGCCCGTCCGCCCGCCCGCCGACATACCTCAATCTAATAACCAGTTTTTTCCTTCGGAAAACCTGGTTAAAAATTTGAATGATATCAGATTGGGACACCTAAAATAGATTGCTCTACAAATCTCGTACTTGTATGGAACAAATTGTCTCTGTTACATCTTTTGTGTTTTTTTCTTCTGAAAAAGCCTTGCAATTGTCCGTCGCATTCAGTGCATTCAGCACTTTGATTTATCTTGACATGTTCTACATGTAAATTGCTAAAGGACTAAATGACACTGAGTTCCATAAATGGATGACAAGTTCATTTAAGAAAATCCAGCGGTTATTGGCTAACCATAAAGGACAACAAACACCAGTGGTGGAGAACAATTGTCCAACACTTATACCTGTTGAAACATAGATATAATACTTGGCCTTAATCATATGAAAGGGAAGGAGAAGTGAGTCAAACAATGGTCACATTTACAGGAAGGTGATCATTGAAACGTTTAATCTTTATAACATATCATAAACTTTACTACCCTGACTAGCTATAAATCTTGATTTATTCCTTGGCCAATGAAAAACTTTAAATAGTAATTTGCAGCTTTAAGTTAACAGAATAAGTATCAAGCTTAAAGATAACGCTATCATGTTTAACATTACAAAACATTGATAAAAAAAAAAATGAATGTTTACGTAACTTAGTGTCCTAGTTTTATATTTATGTACTTTTAAAGTGCAGTTCAGTTGCAATCAATTTTAAAATACCTGTATGAAACAATTGGTTAATTTATTCTCAACTTTATTTTCCTTTTATAATGTAGATTTCAAGTACCATTTATATGTAGTTTTTTTAAATGAATATTAAAGGTAGCTCAATACAGAATATAATCTAAATTCTTCACAGTGGCTCTATTAATAATAAGCCAACAGAAAGTCAGTTTAAAGATATTAAGAACTGGCTCTTCAAAATTTATAATAGAACGTTAATTAAAACAGAATTTATGGCTATTCTTGGAATCTTTTAATTTAAACTGAAGTGAACACTGGACCTTAATCTTTTTTTTTCTTTTTTTTTCAGCTTCAGGTCCACAAATGTGGAACCCCATTTGTTAGTAAATCTAAATCATACAATCGTACATAACTGTGCAAATACACATCATACAGAAAATCATTAAAAAGGAGGCATAATATGTTCACATTACATTTATAGTATAAATTTTGAAATTGATGAGATAATATAAAAAGAACGTTAGAAGAAAACAATGGTTTAGGACATTAATCTTGATTTGTTATTATATGACACAGTACAGGTGCATTCTATGGAATCCTCATTTTGTATAACATTTGTAAATGTAACTGAACTGTAAACTCTGAAGTATATTGACCAAATAAATGTTCTTATGTGTACAGTGACCCTGGATTAAATCTTTGTACATACACCCCCCCCCCCCCTGCCCCCTGGAAATGCTAAATATGAAGACCAGCTGAGACCTTGGGTCACTATTCTGGATCAGTCCGAGTGTACACTAATCCTAGATTTTTTTACAGCAGTTCTTGTGTAAAATGAATTAGGTAAACTCTTGTTCACTTTGATTTTCTTGAAATGTATTTGGACTAATCTGGAGGATTTCAGCTTTAAATAAGCTGATCAATGAATCCTATTATGATAAAATCACTGGTGAACGTCGCATGGCCATGACTTACACTATACCCCTGTTCCCCCTCTACAACCCAAAACCCTTCACCTGTGCTAAAATATGACTTCCTAATTACTGCCAATATCTGATGCTGAATCTTCAACCTTCCTTATTTAAACAAACACAAAACACTGTATGTTTCCAAATAATGAGAAACTTACCTTAACTGTAGTGCCTAAACACTTTATACTGCCACACCTTTTTCAAAAATTTCCCAGTAAGATACAACATGGAATCTTCAATAAAACATTCTGTCAATACCCTGCAATATCAGCGGCACAGTTTTTAACTTACTGTTTAATACATCTATAGCTACACCGGTATTGGTTTTAGTCACGTTTCAGATCACGAGAATTATCATTAGTTCACCTGTACTGATCACCTGTTCTATTAAGTTTTCTACCCATAAATGGCTTTAAGTAAGTAGATAGCTTGAGCTGGGTACCATTCAATTGAGGTCAATCTATAAATAGATAAACATAAGGCCAAACATTTATTATGGAGCAAAGAATAAGACAGATTTAATATTTCTAATCATGTAATGTAGAAAAATGCTATTTTCTTAACTATTTTATAAGACCATTTAATATGATCAGTTCAATTTTATTAAAATAGTATTCATTTACTTTTAAAGCCATTATAAGACTGCATTCAATGCAAGTTGGAAATTACCAGTTACCTAATAAGGAAATGTTTAGCCTTGTTGTTTTAGCTTATATAAGCCCTCACATGTCTACATGAGGTTAAAAAATATCTAAATTAAAGGGGTACAAAGACACAGCCTCATTGAACCTTAATAGGGCATAGAAATACAGAACATGTATGTAGCTTCAAATACAAACTTACATAACATACATCTACATACATATGACATTGTACATACCATTATATAATTTTAATACACTTAATGGATCTAAAAGGTGAAAGTGTCCTACAATAATTTTATAAACCCGTATGATTACAATAAAAATGTTTTGTAATTTAACAATTCTTCATGTCCAAATATTGCATATCACTGTGATGATAAAGAACAATAATTATAGTTTGAGTGAAAAGTAATACAAACAATTGAGCTAAAATATTTCACTTCAGTGACTTTACTACTTATATAACAGACTCCGAAAAAAGGCCTCTTCCCAATTGAAATTTTCTTTGAAATCATGCAGTTTTCCCAAAAATTTGAACTTAAACCAGCTTTTTTACTTCCCAAATCAGCAATTTTAGCAATAATTTTTTCCAAAACCAAGAGGCTAAGGCCTCTTCACAATAATGTGAGAAAAAACACTGCACTTATTTTAACCCATTACGTCATATACACGCCTTTTAATGCCTTTTTCACCCCCTCCCTTTTTGTTGTCTCAAATGGTGAAAAAATGCCTTATTTAGGCCCCCAACACTTGTTTTTGTTTGAGAAATGTTGTTCAAAAAAGTGACCTCTTTTTCGGCGCAGCCCCCCAACCAAAAGATACATCAGGGGGTTGCCAGAAGGGGGATGGCCCCCTTCTGTTTGGGGGTTTGAAGGGGGGCGGAGTCCCCCTCATCGCCAAGAAAAATTTGGACTTGTGAGAGGCTATAAATGACCCCAGATTGATCATAAGGTAACGTGTAACCAACGGTAAAAAGCATTTGACTGTATCTCAATCCATTGAGAAGTTGCAGCAATTTGAAATCAATTTAGATGGAAAAAATCAACGCAAAATAGTGATTTTTGGCAATTTTGAGATGTCCCCTCGTTGCCATGGTAACAGAAAATTTAAGCCTGAGCATGTTGTTGCAAGGGCAATGGTCCAGTCAACATTTGTGCCAAGTTTGATAAGTGTTGAAGCAGTTTTTATAGTATTATAGCAATTTGAACTTGTAACGGGAGACTTTTCAATGAAAACAGCCATTTTTCACAAAATGCTCATGAAGTAATGGGTTAAATTAAAAGGTAAATAATTCTTGAAATATACCAATAAAGATAAAATATGATACTTATTTTAAATTTAAAAGGGAAATAATTCTTGACATAACAATTAACCTAAAATATTTCACTTATTTTAAATCAAAAGGGAAATAATTCTTGAAATAACCATAAAGATAGAATACTTTACTTACATTTTCTAATTTTAAATTTAAAAGGAATAACAATAAATCTAAAATATGATACTTATTCTAACTAATTCTTCAAATGAAAATTCTTGAAATAACATTAAAGCTAAAATATTTTACTTATTTCAAAATTTATAAAGGGAAATAACTCTTAAAAATCAGGATGTTCAGTAGACCCTGAAACTTAAGGGTCAATGATCTGCCACACAAAATTAAAAAAAAATTTAAGGATCAAACCAAAATATTCAAGGGTCAGCATATTTTGAGTATCATTGATCTAAATTTATACAGTTTATTTATCAACCTCTATCAACCACATTTTGTATTTGGTGGAACTGTTATAAAATAATCAATTCTGTGAAAACTGATAATAAAATAATGTTGCAAGTCCTATCTGTGCCTGTCTTTCAAGCCTACAAAATTGAATTGTTACAAAATCAACAGAAATGTTTTTCTGTTTTGAAATCAGGAACGGCAGAGCAGCAAGATAGTCATAGCTACTATTCTCAAGTCTCCTGGGACAGTCAAGGACCATATGAGACTGGCAAATAAAGCAAGGGAGGAGATACCATGTTATGCTTACATATGATAATAAACCATGGCTAACTGAAAGGTCATTACCATAGCAAAATGATTAAAATAAAATTATTCGTGTCTTTTGATCTTCAATTTGCAAATAGTATTTTGAGAATTTGTACACATATATCTATTTTTGCTCACTTCACTACTAGGAGCCATCATGGAGCCATGCGGCAACAAGTAGGAGGGCTCCCAAAAACCAAGGCATCCTTGGTACATAAAAATGAAGTTAGTGGTTGAACTTAGGTAAAGACAATTAATTAGCCTAGGTCCAATAATTATTCAGATGTCTCTTTGACTGCTGGCAGGCTCAATTTGTTAGCCTAGTTAAGTGAGACCTTAAGTTAGCTGCAATCATTTTCCTTGTTTCATTTATAGCACAAACACTGTAAAATATCAAATTCACTGGGGTTTTTTAACCGTTAAGTTAACATTGCAAGGATTACTTAGCATCAGAAGGTAAGTAAGTATATACATATATATACCTGATCTAGACCCGAAGGTCTATTCCAGGTAGCCAATGTTGCTTTGTGATAGTTTTACAAGCCAATAAACACCGGGTCCTTTTAAAAAATAAACAGTTCATGAATGAATGGTTTGAAAATAGGTTGTGCGTGAGATTAGGTACTTGTATGATACATGGTTGTGGTGACTTAACAAGTACTACCTCCTGCCAAATGAAGACTTAATCATAGAGTGTAAACAAAAAGTGACACAGACAACATGTGTTAAGTTAAACATTTGAAAATAACTTTGGCAAACACAGGTAATCTATGATATTATGGTATTCTGCAACTGCTAGTAAAAGCAACACACAATGGTGCTAATATTTTTAAGACTGGTACACTAGTTATGTAAATATTAATGAATGTATTTGTGGCAAGAAAACTATTTTATAAAATTGTTATAATTGACTGCTATTTTCCTTAATTGTTTTTACACAGTCAATTAAAATATATCATAATCACATATACTGACATATCCTCTCTTCATTTAGTTTGAATTTTATAGCAAGCTAGCTGAACATTGTGAGAGTTAAACAACTTAACTTGAAGATTTTGACCCATTTATCTGTCCATACTTACATTTTTGGGGATTACAGTGATACCATAGTAACCATCTCTGAAATTACCCAAAATGGCAGACATTAAAAATAGTTTAAAAAATGATATTTAAATTGGATCTTCAGAAATAAATTTTTGACAAACAGTTTGGGAAAAGGATCACTTATTAAATAGAAGAAAAATCTCATTCATGTATGATATTAATATTTGAATATTTTCCAATAAACGTTAAGTGCCATATGATATCATAGACCCTCAGCAAGGTTGGCAAAACCCCAGGTTTTATGAGGATTGTCCAGCGGGTAATACTGGGAAAACCCGGGTTTTTCTGGGAAATACTGGGCATATCTGGGTAATAAAAATTTTCAATACTGCATGATACTATTATGCTTTGTTTATAATTAATAGTACCAGTAAAAACCTAACATATTGAAGTGAGCTAATCTGTGTTTGAAAAGTTTCTACAAGTAAAGCAGTAAAGGTTTAATCAAACAAAAAAGAAAAGGTATTAGAAATTTTCATTCTCTATCAAACATGAAACCTAAGTACCCATAGGAACTCTAGAACAGGACCGCATATTGCGGCACATAAATCAGAATCTGTACTGGCTTTACATATTGTTTGTCCAACCTTTGAATATCTTTTCATATTATGCGAGTGGGTGGTCTTTAATTATCTGATCTCAACTTAATATAATCTGCTTATATATTTAGAAATCAATCTAATTTATGGTATATTGAAAGGAAAAGGAGTGACATCCGCCATTTACTGCAATGTTCGGCGTAAGATATGCTTGATTTTTGTTTTAATTTTTCTAGTACTCTCTTTATGTCACTCAATACATGGGAAACTTTCACATTTCCTAGTAATGAATACCAGATGAGTGCCTAAAATATTTATCTATGGATCATGTATTAATATTCCTCTTTTTTTTAGTCAGGCAAATCAGTTGGACCATATTACTAGAGTGTCTGTTTTCTCCATGTTAATAAATCAAAACATGAATACCCCCATTATAATGCTGCCTATACATGTCAACACGTGTAAACAATAAACCGTGATCGTTATACCCGGATGATACCTGATAGTTGACAAAAATAATGGGAACAAAATTCTGAAAAAATAGTAATCAAATGTAGCCAAAGGGGGAAAACTCATGCCGAAAACGTTGCGGAGAATGGCAGATGTCACTCCTTGTCTTTTTTATAATACCTTAAAATTTGACCAAATTTAAAAGAGACAGATTGGGTTCAATTCATAATATATTTTTTGATGCCATATACTCAGATAATACTAAGAAATATTTAGATATAGCAGAAACGTTTTTAAAAACCGTTACACGATCGAAAATATGCGTCGCAATCTGCCGTCCCGTTCTCAAGTTCCTATGCAAAGTACATTGTACCAAATTTGAGATTGCCGCCACTATAATAAGTAACAAACTATTTTTAATGTTCTATATTATTGGCTATGCTATACTATAATAAATAAGTTTTATTATAATATAAAGCCCATATAGAACATTAAAAATATAGTTTGTTTCAAGTAGATTCTACCTGTGGCCCTGTGAGTGGAAGGGGGCATAAAACAGTCGGTGGAATTATGGGTCAAAACATGGCTTTCTCAAACTGTTCATGCTGAATTAATTAGCCTAGGAGAATCGCATTACAATTTCATCTTGTTGATCCCGATTTCAATCTGTCAATTTAAGATATCAATACAACTAGCACCTTTGAACTGGCAAACACATTTTACAGGATGACCTGAAGAAGCTGGCATTGTGGGAGAAATGCTGGGGCATGATTTTCCACCCAGAGAAGTGCAGCATAATCAGGGTCCACAGGAAGAGAAACCCCATCATATACCCATACTCCTTGAAGGGCCACACACTCGAGATAAACTCAACAACCAAGTACCTCGGAGTCCATATGTCTGAACACCTCTCCTGGAACCAACACGTTGACAAGATAGTGAAGATTGTGCAATAGTACACTCGGCTTCCTTCGACGCAACCTGCACATCAGCAATGAACAGGTCAAGAGCACAGCTTACATGTCACTCGTGCGACCAGGCCTTGAATATTGCTCCACCGTCTGGAACCCTTATACCAAGGACCTTACAAGCAAGCACGAGATGGTCCAGAGGAGAGCTGCAAGATATGTGACGAATCGTTACCACAACACCAGCAGCGTATACTCCATGAACTAACACTTGGGTTGGGAGACATTAGAGTCACAACCGACCAAAGCCCAGCTGGCCATGATGTTCAAGATCACCAATGACCTTGTGGACATACCAGTCAGCCATTACCTCACCCCTGCCCCGAGTCGCACTAGAAGTGACCACTCCAAGAAGTTTTATCTACCATCCACATCATACTACAAGAACTCCTTCTTCCATCGTTCAGCCACAGCCTACCTGCCTCCATTGCAGAGGCCCCTGACTTGGTATCCTTCAAGCAGGGGTTATCATCCCTCACATTCTAATCCGCCATAAGGGGCCCAGCTACAAATACCCACTAGTGATATCCAAGGCTGTGCCGGCGGCGGGCATGGTAACCGGAGAGGTTTGGGTTGAAGAAGCGAAATGTAGCTGGCCAGACTTTGTGTATATATCTCTTTCTTTTGTCCTGTTATAATCAAGTGTGAGTGCGCCGATGTAGAAACATAATTTTCCAAACAAGTGTCTGACCAATTTGATTCAAATTTCACTTTCTTACCTAGCAGCATTTATTATAAAGGAATTACAGTCAAATCGGCCCCAAAGTCAGATCGGCCCCAAAATTGTCAAATCGGCCCCAAGTGAAATCGGCCTCAAGTCAGATCGGCCCCATTTTTTTTCTTAATTCATTATTCGTTTTCTTATCTTTAATTGCATCAATCATTCGTTAATCCAGTAGCATTGCATCTCTATTTATTATTATCAATAAACTATAATTTAAATTAAAAACTACTCTTTTAAAAAAATGCATTTAGAAAATTAGTAAAATACATTTTTGACTGTTGCTAAAAAAATCAACCTTTTTATACATAACTGATTAAATTCACTTCACGCAAAATTGTTTGTTAAAAAAGCTGAATTCAACGCATGATTATTTGAGACAATAACTGAATTAATTAAAGACATGTGATAATTGTTTGTTTTTCACATAATTATTTATCTTCAAAACGTAGACCGACCTTTAAATGTTCAGATATTTAATTGCAATTTAATGTAGAAATCAATCAACAACCATAGCACACCTGCATAATTACATTAATAACAATTATCACTAGCATCAAAACTGTCTCAATTTTGTAATGAATTATTTTTAATTGGTACATTTATGTTAAAGTACAATTCTCAGTTAATAACCTTGTAATTTTTGGCGAATAACATTATTTTAACAAAAATAGGATTTTTCATAAAAATAACTTTAGGGCCGATTTGACTAGTTGTGAGGCCTAATTGACTAGTTTTGGGGCCGATTTGACTAGTTTTGGGGCCGATTTGACTTTTTAAAATTGTTCTGTGGCCGATTTGACTAATTTTGAGGCCGAATTGACTAATTTTGGGGCCGATCTGACTTGGGGTCGATTTGACTAGTTTGCATTATAAAGTTATTTCAAGAAAACACACAATTTAATCTATCTATCTATCTATCTATCTCTGAGTACTGCCAACCCCTCTCGCAAGTGTTATAGGCAGGAAATTGCCTAGATGGAGTTTTAATGTAGGTGGGAAGGCTTATGGCTACTAGATTATGGTAGATTTTAAAAAACATAATAATTCATTAAAACGAATAAGAATGCATACCGTAAACTCTTATTTTTATTACTTCTCTGTAAGACTATCCTTTGCACTGGCATTTGTTTACAAAATGCGTCTGTCCTAGCTCGTAACTGTCGAGTTATTCCGAATAGTCGACCCAGCCAGAGTTATCTGTCCTTTGAATAGTTTTGGTTGAACACTACTAATTTTAAGTTCCAGCAGTGCCAGATTTTGTTTTGCTACCCATACCGAAATAACATCTGGCACTGCGTAGAAGATTTTGGAACCATATCTTTATCAGACAGTCTTGGGTACATATTTTGCTTCCATCATTTTTCACATATTTTGTGGGACATAAGATAACATTTGATAAACATATATGTGTTTTCATAATTGAAAGATCGCAATATCATATACAAGTGTCTATGTTATTTAAAAAAAAGCTTTAATGGTGTACATATAGACTGTATTTTGGTTCAAAACACAATGATAGGGAAATTTGGGTATGGTTCATTATATCTTAGTGAAAGTGTATATTGTATACATGATAAAAAAACAGCACTTTTTTAGGATAAAACATTTATTTTTAGTATAATTGGGCAATATTTGGGTATATTTAGGCAATATTTGGGTATAATTGGGTGTATTTGGGTATATTTGGGTATTTCGTGCTGCCCCCAGTAAAATACATGAAATAAAAGTGCGAGACCTTGTTCATGACTGGTATAACGTTCCAGTTTCAGTCCAATATAAACATAATAAATTACTATAAAAAAATATACAATTAAACCGCTACTTGCGGAATTATGTCCGTATTCATGAATTTTATACAGCTTAAATGAAAGTGTTCGAGATTAGGTTTTATTGAACATGGTCATGAAAGATGTACTTGCGTCGTCATCATTAGCGTTAACAGAATTCGAATATCAATATTATTTGAAAAGTTATTAATGATTTTGATATTTCTGCAAATATTTTGTTATTTTTGATGTTGTTTTATTTGATTTAATCATTATGAAACTTTAAGCCATACCTAATAAATTTTGTAAAATCGGATTCTCGAAAAAAAAAAAGAACCGGAATCACATGTTACCTTACACTTACAGTTTTAGAGGGGATCAAGCGTGCATATAAAATTCTAGTGGTTCATTTGTTCAATTGGCTTGTCAATGTGGTAATAAAGTCATCGGGAAATTCTACAAAAACAGTCATTATTTGAAGAAAATGAAATACATGTACACATTTATACATTTAAATCGAGATTTTCCGGGCAAATTTAGGATGATTAGATTCATAACCACCTTATTCACTCCGAAAACGCCTCTTCTTACACATGTGACGGAGATGAACTTCCTTTAGCTGACATAATTATGACCCTGTGATTTTTTTCATTTCTTTTTTTCCCTTCCTTATTTTAAGAAAATACTTCCTGGAAAAAATTTAAGTCCATTAATTTAAGTTTAAATGTCTGCAATAGAGATAATTGATTAAAAATCAGAGCTCAAAGACAGATTTTTTTTCAAGAACCTCGCATTTATACATCTCTTCTTTCTTCATATAACTGAATAACCTGAATAACTGAGTAGCCTATGAAATAAATAAAAAATAGAAATACAAATGTTCATGAGATGCCAGGTACTGAAAAAACTCAAGCTAGTAGTGAACTTTTTGCACGATGCTCATTTGTCAAAGAGAAAGAAACAATCATGGCTGATTGTTCCGCCTTAAAAAAAAAAACACTTGAAATTTAATTGTCCAACTTCCGAAGTCGTTTTACTTTGTTATATTCAGATGTCCTTTTGACTTGCTTTATAAATTAATTATGCTTTCGGATAAGTAAACTTTAAATAAATGGATGGAACCTAAAATGTAAGTAAATTATGTACTCTTTAAGGAGACAACCATTAATTGTTTTTGTTGTTGTTGTTTAATATTAGCATACTAAAACAAATAATAATACAACTTAATCTGAATTTCTAAAAATAAAACGGAAGACCTTATACATATAAAATATATAGAGAATAAATCTGTTTGGTTTGTTTTTGTAAAGGCCCACTATGCTACAAAATGCTTTTGTTTTCACAATAGTTTATTTTGTGTGTACTTTTAATTTAATGAGTTTTAAAGGTTTCTAAAAGTTACTCATTGGCAAATTATCCGAATAATCATTTTTCCCAGTTAGTACATGTACATATATTGTGAATTACTATTTTGTATGAAAGTCAAAATACTTTTTTCGCTTTAATATAATATCACAAGTAGGGCTTCTTTTTTCGGGTAACGAACATCTTTCATACTCTAAACCATTATTTAAATGTTATTTTCACTGATGTTTGTCCTTTTAAAGGAGTAAAAATTTATTCGTTTCCGAGTCAACATGTGCCTTTAAAAAGGGTAGGTTGCTGATCCGATGCGGGATACTGTTCTGTGCAAAAAAAGGGTTACATCCGACCCTTTAACTTTAATACATAATGTATGCACATTCAATTCGTTAGAAATAACAATAATACTTAAAAAAAAAACACGAATAAATTAATTACAATCACGAATAAATTAATTACATCACATGAAGTTCATGACAATAAATTGTGTGGGGTTTTGAAAAACACGAGCTAATCATAACTTTACGTTCACTAAATGTCATGAGAAAAAAGAAAACACATTTTATATTAAATTTAACAGCCAAGTTTATTATTATTTAATTTTAATAGCCCTAATTGTGAATGTGCACAAAGTCAAGAGCAACCCATGTAGCCTAACATATCTTTGTTACTTAGCTTTCTGACAAACTTTGCAATGAACATTATACGATTGTCCACGGACTTTGAGGGACAGCAATCATACAGTCTATGGTACAACCATCCCGACATTTACACAGTAATTAAAGAGGAAAACACGTACCAATTCGCTAATCATGTTATTATCTCACTTTGCATCTAAACATTATTTATTGTGATTTTCATCCGCAGGTGGCGACTACTAGCAGCCAGTCAGGAGTTCTTATGTACATTGGGGCTAGTTATGCTAATTTTTAATAACACCTGTTCTTCTTGAAAAAAACACTGAATGGTCAAGAAAAATTTACGCAGAAAACGATGACGTAAAGGTCCGTCAAAA